AAAATACAAATTTATTCCGTATAAGTACCGACCAGTTCAAACGCTTTTGGCAGGGGATCCAGAGAGAAGACTTGTTTTTTGCCATTGATATCTTAGCTTCTGTCGCCAAAATGTAAATAACTTTCGTTACCTTTTATGGACAGATGAATCAAATTTTTCAAATTCTGGAATGTTTAATAGAAAAAACCACCATTATTGGTCAAGAGAAAATCTTTTGTTAGTACATCCAAGAGGCCCACAAGTCCGTTTCAGTTTCAACGTTTGGTGCGGTATAATTGGTTCAAAAATTGTTGGCCCGTTCTTTTATGAGGGAACCCTAACTGGTGAGAGATATGTGGAATTTATGTCAGAAATTCTGACTAATTTCTTAGACGAATTGGATCTTATAAGTAGACATCATCTGCATTTTCAGCAAGATGGCGCACCTGCCCACAACTCCAGAGGTACTTATCATTTTCTAAGTACTACTTTTAATGATCAGTGGATAGGAACAAATGGCCCAATACAGTGGCCTCCCAGATCACCAGATCTAAACCCACTTGATTACTTCTTGTGGGGTTACTTAAAGAACCAAATTTACAAGCGAAGGTACGATAACCTTGACGCGTTAAAGACTGCAGTTAGGGAAAAGATAACCCAGATAGATGGTAGGACCATACTTAAGACAGTTCGAGCAGTTGAAAAACGTGCCCAAAAATGTATTGAAGAACAAGGTGGTGTTTTCGAGCATCTTCTTTAAAAAAAATTGTTATTGTATTTTGTAAGATTATAAGTTGATGTTGAAAATAAAGTTTGTCGATACAATTTAATTGTTTCAGATTGGAGGCCATAACTTCAACAATTTGTAACCTAGGAGAAAAGTTATTGTAAGCTTTTTTGTTTAAAATTTGATGCTTTAACAGAAAAAAATATAATATACAGGGGTTTCCATTTAAAAAAATGTTATTTTACTGAAAAAAATCAAAATAACGACTCTCAATTGTTTTTTTTTATTTCTCATTTTTACCAGCGTTAAAAATGCTACTAGTTTGCTAATTCAAACAACTTTGTATTTTCACTAATAACAAAGTTACTAATGGTGGACACTTAATTTGGATAACCCTGTATATTATCAAAATATTCATTGTTAATATTTTAAACCTATAACACCCTGCTACATTTTTATTATTTTGAAAAAAACTAAGATTTCAATAGTTGGGCCAACTGAAGTGGGAAGGGGCTCGTAGCTGAATTGTGTTAAGTCTAGTGTAAGATCATTAGTGTATTGGCAAAAACCTAAACCTAAAATAATCATTCAAAATAGCATTTACAGGTCAAAAGAAATGACACGATCCACACCACACAATAACTTTTTGTAGACGCATTGCCCCTTGACCTGGGAAGACAATAAAATGCAATTCATTAATGTCTGCAAAGTTAACGTAACCCAGATCATAGCACATATTCAACCTGGATCTACGCGGCAGTCACCCAAACAAAACCTTTATTTAGTTCCTGTTTTTTGTCATATACATATGAAATTCTGTGTTTGTGTGGCGATGTTTATATATGTATTTATTTATTATGAATTTAGTTTTCGTTCTTGGTTTCTCTTTTTCGCTTTTTCTCCTTTCCTACTTCAATTATGACTTGTTCTATATCTCTTTGAGAATGACAGAATGAATAAAGAATTCGAATTCAAATAACTGACCCATACTTGTTGAAACGCCCTTTACTTGATCCTACCATTTTTCTAACGTTGATTATTCCACGCTATATAAATCTACATCGTTAAAGAGTGGCAGATGTATTTCCTAACTAAAAAGATCTTCACTGGAAAGTACCGTTATCAAATAACAGAATGCTTGTACTGAAATATAGGTAGGTACCCACATAACCATTGTCATGGTTTGTATTGAAGTTTTAACGTATCTTATCTTTAGCATATGCCCCCACAGGGGTGGGTGATATCACCCTCATGGGTTACAATTGAAACAATGTAGTATTTGTAAACAATAATGTAGACATATCAAAACAGTTCACTGTAAAACCAGCTCTACCAGCTAATTTTCTCATTCCATCCCTGATTGTCTGATTATTAAGGTGTCGCCAAACGTTACCACATAATGTCCTATTTCTCTTTAATATTTCTAGCGTTCCAATGTATAACATTTAATAATTTTTAAGAATAAGTGTGAATTAAAAAATGATTAAAATGATTTATATTATAAAACATACATAACAAAAAATACATATCACATTTTAACTATTCAATGTGTTATGTATTTTTGAAAATGTTTTACGTTTAATTTTTCAACGCTGTATCGAGTGACAATTGACAGTTAACGACAATCGCTGCAATCGACGTTAATTCTTCTGTGCTACCGGCGTCTCGTTGCTCCACATTGCTTCCACGTGCTGGGTATCCCCAAAATTATTGAAAAATGGACCATTTTAAAAACAGTTTCAGGCTAACGAAATTCTGTAGCACGTTTTGTATAGGTAAAGATGTAAAAATGGCACCATATCGCAGTGCTCCTATACCAAACATCGCACAGTAAATGATTTTTTAAGAACCCTAATCTAGTTATTTAGTATAATTAATAGACGTCATTCGCACGTCCAGCAAGTGACGTCATCGGGACGTGAAATTAGCAGGTCATTTTCGTTCAATAACTCCCTATTATGTAAACTGTTCGCTTGAAAGTGGATTAGTTCCGATAATCACGATTTCCTTAGAACACCAAACACCTCATTCTAGCTCAGATCCTGACGACGTGAACGATTACAATTAGAAACGGATTCAAAGTAGCTAAACAATTTCCATAATGTTAACGGGAATCAAATCAATGGAAAGCATTAAAAGTAGTTTCACATTGAGGGTTATTCTACCGTAGACCCTAACTGCTAACGGAAAAGTAAACTGAAAGGCAATAGAGCTAAGAAAGCAACTTAATATTGCACGAAGTCTCGCTTTATTAATCAATTATTCGATTAGCAATTACGCATGTGCGGCTTGGTGCTTCTAAGCTCAGACTCACTTGTGTATAACTGACGTCACATTGTATGAATCCAAATGATACCATCTACAAGGATCTTGGCATCCCCTACTTTAAGGTATATAAAGGGTGTCCCAAAATTAACGCAAGATTTGAATTTGCCGCCATTTGTGCAGTGAAGTGTTGGCAACCCTGAAAAAAAGCAATTTGACAGCTAACAGTATAGGGTTATGAAAAATGGAGCGTTACACGATAGAACAACGTGTCTTCATTATTAAAGAATATTTCAAAAATAGTGAAATCTTGGCGGCTGCAGTTCGAAAATTTCATACAAAATATGGCCGGAATAGTGTTTTAACTTCGTCAACTGTGAAGAGATTAATTGAAAAATTCATGGAGACTGGATCCGTTGGAGACGCCAAACACACTGGTCGTCCAAAAACAAGCCGTTCAAATGTGAATATCGAAGCAGTGCGTGAGAGTGTTGCGGACAATCCAGGAACCTCAATTCGACGTCGTGGACAAGAATTGCAAATGTCAAGAACCTCTCTACAGCGTATACTCACCAAAGATCTGTGTCTTCATGCTTACAAACTTCAATTAACACAACAATTGAAGCTTAATGACCATGCAGAGAGAAGAGAGTTTGTTGAATGGATTATTGAACATCAACAAATGGACCCTGATTTTTCAAGCAAAATCATCCTAAGCGATGAAGCACATTTTCATCTTGATGGCTTTGTCAATCGCCAAAATTGCCGCATTTGGGGTTCGGAGAACCCACGTGTGATTGTCGAAAAAGAAATGCACCCACAACGCGTGACTGTCTGGTGTGGATTTTGGGCTGGAGGCATAATTGGGCCATATTTTTTAGAAAATGATGCTGGTCAAGCAGTGACTGTTACTGGTGCTCGATATCGCGACATGATTACACAGTTCTTTCTGCCAAAATTGAATGATATTGATGTACCCAATATGTGGTTTCAACAAGACGGTGCCACATGTCATACAGCCCGTGAAACAATTCAATTACTGCATGAGACATTTCCCGGTCGTGTACTCTCTCGTTTCGGTGATCAAAATTGGCCTCCTAGATCGTGTGATTTAACACCATTAGACTTCTTTTTATGGGGTTATTTGAAATCACAAGTCTATGTCAACAAGCCCACAACCACCCGTGCATTAAAGGAGGAGATTCAACGCTGCATCAACGAAATTCAGCCACATTTATGCAGAAGGGTCATGGAAAATTTCGACAAAAGAGTGCGCATGTGCATGCAAAGCCGTGGAGGCCATTTGTCCGATGTGTTATTCCATACATAACCCTATCCTATGTACTTTATGAGTCAATAAAAATATAACTATTAAAAGACTAAAAAGGCATTTTCTATTTAATTCAAATCTTGCGTTAATTTTGGGACACCCTTTATTATAGGTATGACCCAACTGTTCTGCAAACAAACGGAGTCGCACAGCAACATTTTATTGCGCAACACAGTGGATTATACAGTCGAGCAAGTTACTCGTATATCAATTTTCTAAAAATGATAATAAATTTGAGCTTTAGAACTCAAACTCAAACACGTTCGAGACGATAGTGTACAGACACATACAAATATAATAGTATACATGTAAATAAAATAACTAAGTCTGTGGATGAGAGTACCTATAATCGTCTTTGGTCAATCGGTAAACAAGAATCAGAGGTTGAAATTTTGAACACATTTTTGTCAGTTTCAGGTTTGCAGCCAGATACCTTCTTCGTTTTCAGTACAGCAGACGGCAGTATAGCCTCACATTGATCTAAAATCGTCGGAGGCATCCAACAGTTTGAATGTGAACTTTTCGAACTACCCCGGTATACGGATGACCTGTACCTCTATGAATGTAGAGGCGGACTGCTCGTGAACCATGTGAAAAATGACAGTTATATATAGATACATTTGAATGACTTACAACACCGCAGAACTTATTTGTTTTGTGATTCACAAGACTGACAATATTGACATATGTCATACATCACACAAATGTCAACGATTACCGCCAATTTGTTGTTCGTCGCCAAAGCCGCTAAAAGCCGACCTAGAGAAAGGGCCTATTTTCTTGCAAGAAAAGAAAAACCAGTGGAAATTTTGTTATATATCGTTCGTTAACCGTTGTTCCAAGCTAACAAATCACCATGCCAGACTACAATTTGTCTGAAGGATCTTTACAGGTATGTGTTTCTGGTACAAGCTGATACTTGTTATTATGGATTTTTTCATCTGTGATTTTTCGTTAAAGATCATAATGAAAGGTGGGAACTACCCTACGCCCATAATGCAGGTGCTAGGCAGTAAGAAAATCAACTCTGGAAGTGCGGACAAGGAACGCTTTCGTATTTTATTGTCTGATGGTAAACACACCATATCTTTTGCTATGCTAACTACTCAGGTCAGTGGAGGTGAACTGGAGACCTACTCAGTCATTAGGATTGATAAGTACATCACCAGCCTCATCAACAACAGTGGGAAAGGAGACACGTAAGTATAAATTGTTATGAAACTTGACTCGACATGTACACTGAATTTTGTATTCAACTGGCAAGATGAAAGAGCAACAACATTTTTGACAAGTTCAGTAGATTCCACTGATAATATCTTTGTGTATGTATTATTTGTCATTCTCATGTCATTAGTTTTACAATGATTTTATAACAATACTCACTTTTTTTGGAATACATTTTTCACATCAATTTTTTTCCAGTCGTGTATTGCTTATTTTGGATATGGTAGTCCTAAATCCTGGCAGTGAAGTTGGGAACAAAATAGGCAATCCTACACAATTGCCTGATGCATCAAAAGAAGAACCTGCTGCCAAAACAAATGGCACTCCAAATACTAGCAGCATACCCAGGCCTGTTGGATCCAGTAGCATGTGTGGTGAAAGCGGAGCTGATCTATCTACCCAGATGACCCATCCTATTGCAAGTTTGAGCCCATACCATAACAAGTATGTACTCATTTGATTTGCAAGTTACAGTTAAAATATCCTTCGTTCACATGAAGAATTAATCTTTCAAAATTCCTCTTTGGAAATTGATTTTATTTTTTCTTATTTTTTTCTATGATATAAGACCATTTTACTAGATCTGTTGCATATTTTCTTAAAATTATTCCCATTCTTCATAGTTCACCCTTCATTGCAGATGCTGATTATACCATTTAAATAGAATTGATATGTTGACCTTTAAATATACAATTACATATTGCCTGACGCGATCTTTTCATCACATTTGGGCACACCACATTACTATTGTGTGTCAAAGGACTAAATGTTCGTCTTAACCGTTGCATCAAAAGATTAGGTTGGAATAACAGTTTTTATACACCAAGTGAAATGGATGAGTTGGTGAATTTAATAGCAGTAATGCTCCTACTTCATAAAAATTGTATCATTAATGTTATTACTGCAGCTGCTTAGAAGTTTTGAAGTGAATAATTTCTTAACATCCACTAATTTTGTGCCACTTTGAATTTGATGATTTTCTGGGGAGGTAAGTGTTAGCAGTCTATACTCTATCCGATTCAAACCCCATTTATTTTGCGTCATAACTGAACTTTGGAAGAACACAGGATTCTAACACTATCATCAATTTACATATTAACATGTAACATTTGTGTAAAGCAACCCTGACAGTTTTACTCTCCTTGGAAGTAACCACTTTTATATAGCACGCAGTTTGCTTTTAAGTGTGCTTTGGCAAAAAACATCACCATATGAAAGATCTACATTTTACACTGCATCCAACTAAACAATTTACCAAAATATCTGAGATATCCCAAATTATAATGAATTTAAGAAAAAAGTAAAGAAATTGCGATGCTAGAGCTGCTTTTATACTGATCAAGAATTTTTATAATTGTAATTTTTGGTATGTCTTGTGTATCAATCATTGTATCCTTCTTTGACTTGTTACATGTCTTAATTTACTGAAATGTGATCAATAAATAAATATCTATCAACTAACATTAGAACTGCATCTTATTGCTTGTTGGAGCTGGCCCAGCCATTTATGGCATGCTTTGAGTACTGTATAATGCTGAATACATTCAAACTTTTTTGTTTATACCCTATTTCACAAGTATCCATCACACTTTGACATCTACTGAGGTGAACAGCTGATCAGCAAGTGACATTTTTGTATTCGTCTGCAATGTTGGCAATAATGAACCGGGTGTAAATCAGCCTCCAGTATTGGAGTTGCAGGACTGCTATGAGGAGTGGAAGAACCGTCTTCAGAGCTGTGTGGCTTCAGAAGGAAGTTATGTTGATGGTGACAATATACAGGGTGTTTCAGTTTATAGTTGCATAACTTTAAGATTCGATAGAACTTTTAAAATTAATGCATAAAGTCTATATAAACATGGGGCGAAAAATCCGTGGCTTCCGAAATACAGGGTGTTTAAATTTACTTTCTAAAATAGTTTTTTTTAAATATTTCGAACAATATTTGATGTATAACAGTGAAAATTGGTATACAAGGGTTTTTTGGTACGACAAAACGAACCATGGCCATAGTTTTACTGTAGCCGCTAGAGGGCGCTCTCTACTGTACCTGTAGTGTATTAAAATGACCGAAATTTTTTTCTTAGTGCAATTTTTTGCTTTTTGAATAAAAAAACTGATTCTTCGCACTTTTCAACATCATAAAAAAGCTCTCTTGTGAATTTTCGTTATAGTTAGCCGTTTTTGATATTTCGATTTTTAAGGTTCGATGCATTTTTAATTATTTATGATAAAATAACGTTAAAAAGTCAGTATCTCGATAATTTTTAGAAGTAGGCTGTGCCTGCAAATATTTTTGAAATTAAAGCAGAATAAGGTTAAACGTCAATTAGTTGACAGTTAGTTTTGTTGTAAGTTGAAACCTGATACGTTTTTTTGCAATTGTGAATGCACGAAATCTAGTTTCTTTTACCTGTTTTTTTTGTAAGTTTTATAAAAATGCCATTTTTATTCTCCAATCAAGAGTTAGCGGATATTCATTTTGTGTATGGCTTTGTAAATGGAAACGCAGCAGAAGCAGCCAGAGAATAGGCACGAAGATTTCCAAACAGACGACATCCAACTCGCTCAGTATTTGTAAGAGTACATCGCCAAATAATTGAAAATGGTTTTGGAAATCTCCAAAGGGATCAAAACATAAATGTTCGTCAGCGCAGATTTACCCGTATGATTCTGCAAGAGTTTGATAGAGATCCGACCACAAGTGTTAGGAGAGTTTCTGGTGCCTTGGGAATTTCAGCAAGCCATGTTGCCTGCATGGTTAAATGCTGCGACCTTCTTGGAATTTTTAAAGGCTGAACATGCAAATATGTGGGATGATGTTATGTTAGATTTAAGAAGATTGGCCTGGTTCCAGCTTGATGGTTGTCCAGCTCATTATTCGAGAATAATTAGAAACTGGCTGGGCGAAAATTATCCAGAAAGATGGATCGGCCGTGGAGGACCAGTCGCCGGGCATCCACGATCCCCTGACCTAAATCCATTAGATTTCTTTGTGTGGGGATTTCTAAAAGAAAAAGTGTACCAGACTCCCGTAACCACAAGAGATATGCTAATAGACAGAATCAGGAATGCATGTGATGAAATAAGGCCTTATTTGAATAATGCTATGCCACGTTCGATCATTCGTAGATGTGAATTGTATATTGAACAATTGGGTTTACATTTCGAGCAACTACTTTAGATTTCGTATGTTTGTCCTAACTATCCAATAGCATTTTAGTTGTAAATAATTAATTTAAGTTGTTAAAAATAATGTTGGAAAATTAAACAAATTAATATTCTGTTTTTTTGTGTTTATTTGGAGTTAGGAATTATTTCTGTGTTTAAAAACACAATCTAAACGATCATCTTAATTACTTGTAATGCCCAAATCGAAAATGTAAAAAAAAAATATTATTTTCCCATAAATATTTAAAAATGCATCGAACCCTAAAAGTCGAAATATCTCAAAAACGGCTAACTATACCGAAAATTCACAAGAGAGCTTTCTTATGTTGAAAAGTGCGAAGAATCAGTTTTTTTATTCAAAAAGCAAAAAATTGCACTAAGAAAAAATTTTCGGTCATTTTAATACACTACAGGTACAGTAGAGAGCGCCCTCTAGCGGCTACAGTAAAACTATGCCCATGGTTCGTTTTGTCGTACCAAAAAACCCTTGTATAACAATTTTCACTGTTACGCAACAAATATTGTTCGAAATATTTAAAAAAAAAACTATTTTAAAAAGTAAATTTTAACATCCTGTATTTCGGAAGCCACGCATTTTTCGACCCATGTTTATATAGACTTTATGCATTAATTTTAAAAGTTCTATCGAATCTTAAAGTTATGCAACAATAAACTGAAACACCCTGTATAATAGCAATTATATTTGAGTAAATTAAAAAAACAGCCCCATCACTTTACAGACCTCATAAATATAGGTTAAACATTGTTGCATCCTAAGTCTCATATCGCGTCCAGAATAGAGAACGGCTAATTACCGGTAACGCTCTATATAGTTGGGCGTCTTGCTACGCTAATTAGTGCTGAATGTTTGTATTAGTTGCTTAGAGGGATATAAAATATTACAGATGGATCATCAAAGCTAGAGTTACCAATAAATCTGCCATCAGAACATGGTCGAACGCCAAAGGTGAAGGAAAACTGTTTAGCGTCGATTTGGTCGATGAAAGTGGAGAAATTAGGCTCACAGCTTTCAGAGATATGGTGGACAAGTACTATGATTATTTACAGGTATATAACAAACATTAATCAACTGCTTTGTAGTTGAATTACTATGTTTTATACATAGCCCCATAGAAATACTATTTATTTTTGTAGGTGGACAAGATCTACTACATCACAAAATGCACACTAAAAACAGCAAACAAACAGTACAGCACATTGAAAAATGATTATGAGATGACCATGACCAGTGAAACCGTAGTGCAGGAATGTAATGATAAAGATGACTCTAACATTCCACAGACCAAGTATGACTTTGTTACCATTGATAGAATTGCCTCAGCTGAAGTGAATTCTCTAATTGGTGAGTGAATTATTTATTGATATGTCACATTAATCTTGAGAGGAATTACACATGAGCTATCATCGACGATATATAGGACCCAATGGAGTGAACATTTTCATCCAGTAATTATTTTCCTGATTTCCAGATATTGTTGGTGTTGTCAAAGATGTTGGTGACATACAAAATTTACAGTCGAGAACAACTGGTAGAGAGCTGAAGAAGAGAGATGTAACTTTGATTGATCAGTCGAATACTGCGGTAATTATCACGTTGAAACTGTAAGGGCCAGTTTCACGATGTCTTTTTAAAAGATAAAAAGTGTTGTCATACAACCAGAACTATCCAAGCGTTCAAGTGAAACAAAACGGATCGGCAAGGTATCTTCACTCTTTTACCAGTTGCACCACGGGTGCACATACCACGGTACCATCGTGCGAGGACAGTAACCTGTATACGATTTTTGTATGTTTAGTAACCAGCAACTTCAGAGATAGGAAAAATGGGCGGAAAATGGATAACCTGTCAGGTCAAAGGGGGGACAAGAAATTGTGAAACTGACCCTCAATTGATTCAGTACTACTCTTCAGTGATATTTGTTCTGTAGGTTTCTTTGACTCTATGGGGAGCTGAAGCAGAGAACTTCGATGGTACTAACAATCCAGTGGTTGTTTTAAAGGGAGCACGTATCAGCGAATATGGCGGCGGGAAAAATTTGGGTACTATTGCCAGTACAAACATCAAGGTGAGGCAGTTAAAATGTGTAATTATAAATGTGAAACGTCATGTCAAAGGGATTGTCAAATGCTTGTGGTCCAGTGCACATTATTCTGAAAGTTGAGACTTTTTTATAGCGTAGCTAACGTGCGGTAAACCAGCAGCGGAAATTAAAAAAAAATGAAAAGTACTAGCTATTTATTTGATACCAGAAGAATGTTGCTTATAAATACTGTTCAAAGGTCGATATTCCTATAAACGGTCTTTGTACGAGAGATGAAAACCTACGCGGCGCAGAATGGGAACGTCAAGAAAAACCATCTTTGAAACACTCGCTGTAATCTAACATGAAATAGACAATTTCGTTATTGCTATAAGAGTGTTAGACTAAGATCCGAATTAGAAGTGACCACCCATCTGTTTAAGGATGAAATGTGTTTTATTTTGGGATGTTAAAAAAATATATCGCGAGTGAGTTGGTTAAAAAATACCTAGTGATGCTAAGATCATTAATCAGTTTCAAGGTGGGTTCATGCAAGACTTAACGTAACTTAACTTAAGAAAATGACCATTTAAAGCGCATGCGCGGCCATGATTGCCAATGTAGCAATGGCGACAATATCAACATTAAACACACTAACAAAATCATATGTTTAACATCAAAGTAGCAGATGAAAGAGTAATCAAATCCAAGCGAATAACCAAAATTTCTGTATTATGTACCGCGGTTATAATATGGTTTAAGATGACACACGGGTTGATGACGTCAGTTACTCGAATCGCTTGAACGCGTTGGTTTTAACCGCGGTTTTGTTGCAAGTTGTTTATTTTAAAAAAGCGCGTATATAATATCTGATTATTTTTATTATCACTTAATAATCGGTGCTTTTTCGTCTAGAACAGTGTATGGAAGGTTTAAAAAACAAACCTTTCATAATATTAATGGGAGAAAGTTTTTTTTACAGAAAAATTCTTTTAATGATGGAACCATGGCTTTGTAGCTATGATAACCTTCAATTCTCTAAACTTGTCCGCATGTTAAAGAAAACATTTATTGATTTAGCAGAAATGATAGGAAAAAGAGATGAAAAAAGATATTAGCAAAACTGTATACAGGTGGACATTATCCAGTGAGTTTATATGGTCATATTTTAATATTCTTGTGGTATATGACTACACATAATACTTGGTTAAGCATAGGAACTAGATTTAAAGTGTCCCCAACAACAGTAATGAGTATATCTAATAAGGTGCTCTACTTTATGCTATAACTGAAGTCAGCCTGTATCAAGTTTCTCAAAAATGAAGCTGAAGTACAACAAAAATATCCAACACCCGCCATAATTCTAACTTGTCACATTTCAAATAATAACCAGAAATATAAAACTACTCCGGAGTTTTGTAAATACCACAATTTTGCTGTGATAACTATGACATATAACAGCTGATTCGTGACGTCACGGATCTTATAACCAAAGTGATAACCACACTCGCTTGAACGGATCGGTAAATACCAATCCAAAATGGTAAATACCATTTTCATTTGGTTATTCGCTTGAATTTGATAAGTGTTTTGTGGCTTTTGCGTTGCGTGGACTGGCGGACCAGCCTTGACATTGACAAGTGGCCCCTCCCCACTCGCTTGCGCCAATGCACTGGTAATCAAGTCACAGAACTCGGATAATAGTCCAGATAATATCGAAACATCTGCTCGGAAAAATCTTCCGATTCCGATTTTTGCATAATCTGATTCAAGGACCTCTGTTAAAGAATCTGCATGTGACTAGGCCCAAAATTGCTCCAAAAATTGTTATGAAACCGATTCCAAAAATTGATTTGTTCGCTTTGTTTATAGTATTTTGCGGTTTTTAGGACATTCTGAATAAAAAATGAGCTTTAGAACTTTTCTCTAGATTTGATATATACAAGTGTAAGCAAGGTAAAAACTCAAAATATGTCATTTGCTACCCTAAAAACAATATGAAAAATGAATATTTTGATGTTGCCAAATCTCACACATACTTCAACCAACCAATAACAAAACCCCCAGAGCATTTTAGGGAGTACAGTTATTGTAAATATTTGCATAGTAATTATGAATTGAATGCGCGCTCAATGTATAGTCTATGTCTATGTGAACGCGAGAGAGAGATGAAATATCTCTCCTGCACGCCGAATATGCAGTGAGCGTCCGCTTGCATATCAATTAAATACAAAGATTTTTAATAACAGTATCTCCTAAAAGGTATCGCAATTGTGTTAATGGTTATTTATGAAACATGGCGACATTAACATTTTCGTTTTTTTCAGATCGTTTTTCGGTATCGCAAAATCAATTTTTTGTACTTTCCCATCTCGTACAAAATCAGCTTTTAACAAACATTGTCAAACATCGTTTTGTTTCGGAGTATCAAAAAAAAACGAATACTACCTTTGATGAAGCGAAAACATTAATTTTTGGAATTTATTTGAAAAAGTTGTACAAACAATTTGGAGCCTGACAACATGTACTAGGAGGCTTTTTCGAATAACATGCAAAAAGTCCGATCCGAATATTTTCCTGAGCAGATGTGAAGATATTTCTTGGACTATAACCTCGGCGGCAGCGCCACTTTTCTTGGCTGGCAATCTGGTGGAACTAAAAATATTGAAAGTATGCCGATAACGCATATCAGGAATGTGTCGGCGATTTCATTTGTTTACATTACGAAATCTGACTGATGACCGTTCCGATATTGAGGCAGTTCGATGATCATAGATGCATAACACATCCTCAATAAAGGAAGTATTTCTTTCATAAGTTTGGCTAGTAATGAATTTCAGGATAATAAAAAAATGTATACTTAATTAAAAAAATATTTATTGAACAGTCCCAGCAATAATAGAACAAGGTCTCGATTACAATAAATTGTACATACATAGAAGTATTCTACTCATCTGGATTTTTCTCTATATTATGAACCTGATCAGTCCAATATCATGCAAGCACTATCTCTTGTTAATTGATCATGTATATTTATTGCGAAAACATAAATACTAAAATAACAAAAAATACATCTGTAGTTAGAGGACTAACTGGAATACAAATATAATCATTCTGATATGTGAATCAAAAATAGTTTTGCACACACTGTTAATGGATAAAGGCAAACAAAATTGTCCTCAACAAAAAAAAAACACATAAAACACTAATTGTTTCTTCAAACTAGGAAACAAACTCCTTATGTCATTGACAATTAATTTGGTATCCATAAAATAAATGACGATCTTCACTCCAACTGTCTCCTCGAAGGATGTTGACACTGTGAAACAAAAATAAAATTAGCATAATATCACTGTCATATTTGGTCAGCAAACACTAAACAGAAACGTAGTCATCTCACCACGCCCCTTCAGATGATACTGCTCTGTACATATGTATAAATTCCCAATCTAGCAGTATACATTTGATTGCCAAAATTTTCACTGGTGATACCAAACACCAGTCCTTAATTTGGCCGTTTACCAGATTTGTTATTACAAACAGTACAGATGTCACAAAAAAAAGTTACGTGCTACTCACCTGTTTACCTCAATAAACTTCAAAAGAGATTACATATTTAGTGGGCTGCGAATACACAGCATTCGCCAGGTGTACACCTGGTTCGTAGTTAATGACAAAGTACCTTCACAGTGTTCTGTGAGGTTTTGGAAAAACATGTCATGGGGGGCATGGTATAGATTTAAATTCTCTTTTTTCTTCTGTAGGGGCTATAATTTGCCAACATCACCACTGGTATAGTCTCAGACATGAAAGTGTTTGCATCTATCAGCTATGAAGTCAGTACTACAAGCACAAAATTTTAAGATCATTTCCATTTTTTTTTTTTTTCGTTATTATTATTAATATAATTTCAAAATCCTCTATCTTGGTAAGGGGCAATTTAGGACCCATGTTTATTTTTTTCATGCTGTTTTTTTATCTACTTTATGCTGTAGCAATACTGATATGTTTTGCTGAAACTACCACTATACGCACTTTGTTAGGGGACGAAGTAAACATGACCACTGACTTTATTTATTATAATTTTTAACATCTCTGGTTTTTTATCAATCCGCCCCGATGTTCAGCTCTAAACTGTCATGCGTAAGCGAGCGCAAATAATTTTTCATACAACTATCACCGAACCATCTGCTCATACAGCGATATAAAATCGATCAAACATCACGATATAAATATCGACTATCGACTTTTGTACAGTATCGATGGCTCGTACCAATCTTCTAATTCCAGCTGTAGCGATCAGCTGACCAACGCTAGTGATCCGATTGGTTGGTTCTTAAGAAAAAGTTCAATATATTGAACTTTATTGTAAGAAGTGACCTTGAATTAAGAAAACGACCATAACCTCAATATATTTAGTCATTTATGCAAAAATAAACTGATTTGGATACTTACTGCAACGTCATTAGGCGCTCCTCTGGCGATGTCCGATTGCGTTCAGGTGACTTCTGCAGGTACCTCTTCAACAAGGTCAGGAGTTGATACCAGCGCGGCTTTTCGTTTTTTTTGCTTTAGGCATGGCCATCCTCAATTAATCGCACAAAAAACAAGGCCAAGGCAGAAAAACACACCCGAAGACGAACACCAAAACAAATCTCTACGGCAAATTCGTCAACTCAAACAAAAACAACAGATGAGTCACCGCCTGGCTTTCTCGGTAAATCGTCGTGGAACACGAGACACCACTAGTGATGTAAAATAATTAAGTAACGCTTACAAAATAATCGTTACAAATGAGTAACTAAATGTAACGAGTCCTACTTTTTGAAAAGACTCGTTACTTTTTATTTGAATTCGTTACTTTGAATGCGATACGGTCTTTTTCTATGTATACTTTTTAATTACTGTTAGTTACTACACTATACATTACATTAGATACAAACGTTACTGGGATCTAATGTAGCCAGTACTGCCAGCGCCAACAGCAAGTGACTTGGTTCTTGGATGTAAACTGGGTGGAAATGAAATGATGCGAATATCGTTAGGCTTGGGCAACTTTAGATACTCTTCTATCAAACGAGTTGCGGACTGCGGAGCTTTAGGTTGGCAATGTTTGTGTACACCTGTACACTTTTCATTTGACTTTGAGAGCTAGCGGTTGGCGGGTTGTTACTGGTTTGGACGTTGCCGTACAAGCTCGAGCAATAATATAATTATTATTTGTACAAAAATATGGAATCATCCGCGTCCGGTTCAGGAGAATCGCAAACTCAAATTTGGATGCATTTCACCAATATATCGGAAGCTAATGCAAAGTTTAATCTTTATAAAAATATTTATTCGCATAAAAATGGAAACATTAGCAATTTAAGGAAGCATTTGAAAACTAAACATCCGACTCTTTCATTGGAAGGAGAAAGGGCAAAACGGCGGGTGGAAGACGAAAATATGACTAGGTGCAAAAAAAACTTAGTTTCAGGTATGTTTTATTATTATAAGTATTTTGTTGAACACCATTTACAGTGGAGTAACCAGACTGTTAATTAGGGCAGGGGAGTAACCAGACTGTTAGGGCAGGAGACGCTACTCAACTAAAGTAAAGAGTGAGGAGAGTGGTTCCTCCACGGTCCCCATCTGGTTATGCCACTTGTTAAATACTATTTACAGCGTACAGCCGACGAACCAGACGTCACACAACGACGAGTTTAAAATATAAGTACCTTCTACGTATCAAATATCAAAAAAATTAATAGGCAAGGCATTAGACAAAAAATAATAATTGGATCAATCCCAAAGTAATAATTTGATATAATATATAGAATGTAGGTTCAAAACGAAATGTCCAAATAGTAACTAAACTAACGAGTCCAAAGTTCGAAAGTAACGAGTCCTTACAAGTCCTAAAAAGTAACGAAACTTTGCATCACTAGACACCACAGAATTATTATAATTACGTCAATACGAGCATAGAACGGTATGGAAAGGGCTATCCAAGGGTAAGACGAGTTCCGAAACCACCCGAATCATGTCAAAAAATGGGTGTGACGTCACCAAAACGTTTGACCACCACTGGAAATCACTAGCTAGTTACTATCTGGAGGCGTAACATGTGGAGGACACTGGTGTAGAAACAGCTGATCCTTAAGTTCGGTTACGTTAAGTCGTGCATGAACCCGACATCAGTTCGTCTATGTGTCAAATTTTAAGTTTTTTCAAATCTGCGCCCGTCATGCCTTTTCAGCTAATCATGCGCTGGCGGCAAAGCGGTAATTGGTATAACAGATTTTCGTCTCTCGTTATACGTTTACTATCTTCTTTTAGATAAATCCAGAGCTTCCAGAATGTTATCGTCTTCGCAGCTGGTATGACAATGGCGGTTGTTCTGTAGAAGCCACTAACATCAGTGCGCGTTCTGGCATGGGAAGTCTGAACACCCCATGGATCAGCTTTAAAGAGGTGCATGATAGGAATTTCGGAAATGCCGAAAAAGGTTAGAATGGCATCGTTTTTTTTTTAATGCTGAGTTTTATACCGGCGGAAACGGTAAGAGATACGAAGTCTCTTAAATGGGGGCAAAGTTGCGTATTTATGTTATCCTGGAACTTTTCTCAAATAATTTTTTACCAAAAAATTTATGGTTGCCGCATATTTTTTTTTTTATTTTAATATACTAATTGGAAAATGTTGTAGGTGATTACTATCAGGTTATGGGAACAATTCTGATGTTTAGGCACGAAAACGCGTGGTACAAAGCTTGTCCAACCGAAACGTGTAATAAAAAAGTTGTCGACCTGGAAAACGGAATGTACAGATGTGAAAAATGCAACAGAGAATTCCCGAACTTCAAGTACCGCCTCTTGGCAAGCGTGAGTACAGTGAAAGCTCCCATAAGCGGACACTCACGGTTCCGTAACTTTTGTCCGCTTATGGGAGGTGTCCGTTTAAAAGAGAGTATGTAAGTATAGAGTATAAATAACGGGGTATATAATCATGAGGAAATGAGGTATTATAATCATGAGAAAAATGAAACAGAAACTCGCCACATTTTTAATGTATGTATTTATGCTATATCTATATAATATATGTACATATACGCATACAAAAACATAAATGCTTCAATACATGGTACGAGAATTTAAAAAAAACATTATTCTTTAGCTTGTTGAAAAAAGTTTAAAATGTTTGTCTGACGAAATTTCACCATCTTTTGCTGAAGGAGACAATTTTCGTAATAACTTTCTAAATTTTTCAAATGTTGAAATGCAGTGAAATCATCTTTAGCAAATTTTTTCAATATAGAAATATGATTTAGAGCTTCCCCATATGAATTTATCGTTTTTGAACCGCTTAGTGAGTCCACCAGTTCCACTTCTTCTTCTGAGTCGTTTGGACTACCATATTCAAGTTGGCCTGGGCTTTCTACATCCAAATTCGAAAAGTTGCCAATGGCATTTTCTTCTGTTGTTATGTTATTGTCTATGGAAAGGAAATCATCTACTTTCTGGGAATCTGCTACTCCTAAATGTTTGGCATGTCGCAGTAACTGAGCAAGTGTCGCTAAGGGCAGATCGTCTTCAGCATCGCAATAATTTTGCTCAGCAAATTCTGAGCTACATTCACTTTTTCTGAATCCAGCTTTGCCAAAACAGTTTTTAATTGTAGAGGAATTTACTTTATTCCATGCTGTTTTTATAAAATACAAAGCTTCTAACACATTGATAGACTTTGTAAGCTCAGATAAGCTTTGACCATCGTCAATTTTTGTTAAAATATGTTTTAAAATCAAGTGCCGATAATAAAATTTAAAGTTCTGTTTGACACCTTGATCCATGGGCTGACAAACAGAAGTTGTGTTTGGCGATAAAAATATAATTTTCACATTTTTTATTTTCGTATCACGAGGATGAGAGCATGCATTGTCTAAAAATAAAAGAACTTGCCTCTTTTGGATTCTCATTTTCCGGTCGAATTCGACTAACCACTCAGACATGATTTCTCGGGTCATCCATGCCTTTTTGTTGGATTTCCAAGTCGCTGGTAGATCCTTAATAGCAACGTTTTTTAAAGCACGAGGACGAGCCGCTTTCCCGATCACAATCAAATCGCATTTTTCACCGGCCATATTTGCACAGAATAAAATGGTTAGTCTATCTTTAGACAACTTTCCACCCACACATGTTTCTCCTTTAAAGGACAGAGTTTTGTCGGGCAATGCGCGAAAAAAAAGTCCACTCTCATCTGCGTTGTACACATCTTCTGGTTTGTAGCCAAGCAACATGGACGGAAGTTTCTCCAAAAATTGTGACACATCAACTTGATCTACTGCAGCAGCTTCGCCAGATATGCATTTGAAACTCACACTCTTGCGCCACTTTTGCAGCCACCCGTCGGACGCACTGAAATTATTATAGCCCAAAGTAGTGGCGATTTCTTTAGCTTTCATTTTCACTAACGGCCCTGAGATTGGAACGTTCTGACTTCTAGCTTTCACAAACCACTCAAAACATGTTTTGTCTATAGCAAAACCTTCCTTTTTTAAAAAATCCTTTTGATTTATATTAGTTCCTGATTGCCATTTACTCCTGATATCTTCCTTATTTTTGGCAATTTCAGCTGCTTGCGTTTTCCCAATATTAAACCTCTTTGCCAAATGACGAACTGAAACACTTTCTCTGTCTAATACGTTAACAACTTCCATCTTTTCCTTTAACGAGAGCATCCTTTTTTTTTGGTGCCATTTTACAGTTACAATAATAAAATACGTAACTCAATCAACTACGAATTTGCCTGAACTGAAGACAAGCCACAAGATTACATACAGGCTACCCAACGAAATGCGTAAATGGGGAATCACCTAATATAAATCGGGGAATTACCGAATTTTATGTATGTAGATATGTGCATTGCAATAAGCGGAACTAAAAAATCGTCCGGGTATTAGAGTTTCGCGTCCGCTTATGGGAGATTTTTTGATCACATACAGGAAAATCTAGTGTCCGCGTCCGTTTATAAGAGCGTCCGTTTATCGGAATGCATTTAACATTGAAAATTGATGGCTGAAATTCGGTTCCAGGAACTTTGTCCGGTTAAAAGAGATGTCCGCTTATAGGAGCTGTCCGCAAGGAGAGCTTTCACTGTATATTCTAACATTTTGAAATGTTCGTTATCGCCTATAGTAAAATACCAAAATAGATGTCAGTAGCGAAACTCATCGTACGCCACTGCTACTACGCGGAGGCCTTCGAAAATGCGGCGCTTCTTTGTGAAATGTCGGTAAATGTCGCTGTAATCAAAAGGTACATCGTCAAAGCAGTGGCGCACGATGACTTTGCTACTGTCATCAATTGTGGTATTTGACTATAGTTTTAACAAAAATAAAATTCTAGATGAACGTTGGCGACTGGAGTGGAAACCAGTGGATCAGCATGTTTAGCTCGGAGGTTGAGAAAGTATTTGGTATGACTGCTGAGGAGGTCGGTCAACAGATTGAACAGAACCCTGAAGCTATTAGCATCATTGCTGATAAAACACATTTCAAACAGTTCATAATGAAGTGCAGGGCCAAGGTTGAGACGTACAATGTAAGTAAAAATATTATTCATTGTTATCATTATGTTTCATCTGAAAATAGTAACTCCTGATTCAGTAAATCATTAAATAGTTTTGGCAATCATAAATACCCCATTCCTCAGTTGACATTTGTCACGCGTGAATTAATGGCTTAAGGGCAATTATCAACACATCTTGAAAACTAAATCCGTATGGTGGCAGCACAAGAACCAAATAATAATAATGTTTATCGAAAAAAAAATACAATTTAGGAGCAAAAGAAAAAGCATATCTCGCAGTAAACATATACAACACCACAAGAAGCAAATACTTGGGCATGGGAGAATATACTCATTGAGGTTGTACACTTTCAACTTATCATTGCTATTCTAGCATATTTTTAGCTACATGACGTTGACTATCTATAAAATATACTGATAAAAGCTATTAGAAAATAGAGTAATGGACAAAAGTATATAGACAAATATGAATATTTACCTAAATACCTTTAGAAAACGAATTCTTACTTCATTGCTTCATAAACAAATGCGTTATTAGTAGAAAAACTACATTCCCTGTTTTTACATTGTCTGCAATGAACACAATACAAGTCTGAATATAAGCACTTTTTAATGAGGGACAAAAATATGTAGACAAATTCTTTTCAACATTAGTTTAGTACAGTTTCGTGTCAGAAGAGGATTAGTTTGTGTTCATTAAGTATTGTCGAATAAGTTGAGTAACTTTAAGACCATGCCTCGTGGTCCAGAAATTTCTTTCGATGTGAAAACTATGATCATTGAGTTATACAAAGATGGTCAACGTCAAGTTGACATTGCCAAAAATTTGAGGCTGAAGTGTAAAGCAGTTTGGGAAATATTGAACAAATATAAACAAAAAGGTATCTTGGAAGCCTCTATGAGAAGTGATCGGCCTCGAAAACTAAATGCTAGATCAGTTAGATTAATAAAAGTAATTTAGTCCAAAGATCCATTTAAAGCCCCAAGACAAATAAAAGCCGAAATCGAGACAAAAGGAATTGCCAGTGTTTCTACGAAACAAAACTTTGAAAGTGCCTTCTGAAAAGTTGCAGTTTTTGAGATATGCCCTTATCCAATGGAAGCACCAATATTATATTTGTGACTGAAAACTTGACAAAAAAGAATTGTGTGAAACAACACAAAATGACCAATACACTGCTTTTGAAACATGTGCGTTTAGCACAAATTTTCAATGGTAAAATATTTGATACTTTCAGGATGAGGCTCGCTTGAAAACAGTCTGTATCAAAGTAGACCCTATCAACTATAAGGAGTACAATGCACATCTTATGGAAAGGATTGATCAATTGCTGAGTTGAAAAGTTTACTTTTTTATATTTATATATTACCTTAGCATTTAGTATTTCTGGATATTTTTGTTAAAAAGTACAAGTGTTAATTTTTACGTTCTATATTAACATTATACACATTTTGAAAATACATCATATAAAATATAAATCCAGTCTCATCTGTCTAGGTTAATTCGATTGAATCTGAAAAAGCGTTTTATTCATTACTTTTGACAAAAATCATAACCTAATACTTACATGTCATGGTGGGGGGTTAGAAACACTTTTGTTCTAACGTATGCTCCTAGACAGGCTAAAATTATGATAATTGAAGCAACTAAACCTATCAGTAAGGCCAACGTATCTCCAAAATCGAACATTTTTTTGTTAGATTTGATATAGTGGTTAGAAACGTAAATCTCATAACAAAACGCTTTGTTTTCTCAAAAACACGTTCTGTGTTTGATTAGCACAAGTTGTCATTGTGACTCGCTCCTATGTTGCCAAGTTTATCTATGGTGTCTGAGAGCTAGACGGCATAGCTATAGGGGATGGTCAATATTTTTGTGCGAGGTAAGTGAAAGACGGAAGTGCTTACTTTTCTGTAAAAGCCTTTTTATTATTCATTACTTTGGTAAAAATCATAACCAAATACTTACAGATCACATTGGGGTTAGATACGCTTTTTTCTTGCGTATGCTTCTAGGTAACCTAAAATTATGATAATTGAAACAACTGAACTTATAGTAAGGCCAATGTATCTCTCCAAAATCGAACATCTTTTTTTTATTCTCTTGATATAGCGGTTAGAAACGGAAATCTCGATACAAAACGCTTTGTTTTCTCAAAAACATGTTCTGCTTTTGATTGGCCTGGAACAAGAAGTTGCCATAGGGACTCGCTCCATGTTGCCAAGTTTATCTATGGTGTCTAAGAGCTATAGGGGTTGGTCAATATTTTTGTTGCGCTAGGCGAGGTAAGTCTCCTTGAAAAGCGGAGGTATTTACTTTTTAATGCTTTATTTCCTTTTGTGGTATAAAACCCACAAGATTTCAAATCAAAGTTTTTTCTTGCATTTCATAGTTTGACGTATGCTGCCACAAGTATCCTGAGGATTGTTAATGGCAACACCGAGTATATGCTGTAATGCTGCCTTATTATCGGCTACAAAAAGAGGATTGATCATATTAAAAAAAACACTTTATTATCATTTCAAAAATTATCTACATTACAAACTCTTTAAAAACTCGTTATATGCTGCTACCGATGACTTCGCTACTTCAGTTGCGAAGTGAGAATCTGTACCTGACACCAATGTTGTAAGAGCCACATAATTTGGTTTTTTAGGGTTATACTGTACTCTGCCAAGCTTTTCAAGGAACATATGTCTCTGCATCAGTCTGGTTTGCCTGCATGTTAGTATTTCTGGTGTTTCAACTATTGTTTCAATAGCTATTTTCATGGTATTATGTAGATAATCAAACGTTTTCAAGAGGCGGTGTTGCCCTAAAAAGAAATTGTGTTAAACAAATGGACTTCATCATCCCAGTGATCAAACTTACCGTTAAGGAAAATTTTAGGTTTCTTAAGTATAACCTTTTTCATTTCTTCTGGTAGAAGTCCCATTTCTTCTTTTAGTACAAATATATTTAACTTCACTTTTTCTAGTTCCCATGTTACCAATCTGGGGCAACTTACTGCCAAAAGTCTAACTTCATCTCCAGATAGATTGAAATTACTTTGGAAAAAGCCTAATTTATTATCTATTTCTTGTGTGCTACAAAAGAAATTAAATTAGCATTGTGTTATGGAATGAATGGAATCCTAGTTAAAACTGACAATAGAATTGTGAAAAATTATGTAAACAGATAGTCAGCAGTGATGAGTGTTGTGAGATATTGTGTTCAGTATTGCAAACTTTGGTGTGAAGACTGAGGAAAAATGATGTTTTGAGGATTATTTGCACCAGGGGAATGTGAAGGGCATTTGGATATTTGGAGCCATCTTCTAACAGAACATAAGGAAAGTGAATAAATGCTGAAACAAAAGTCTACTTGGGGTTTTTATGCATTTTCAATTAGTAATAGGAATGATAAAAAATATACTCTTGCCCTAGCCATTTTTAGTAAGTTTTGCAAAGACTAAATAATACAGGGTGCGCAATCTATTACTTTATTACCTATAAGTTTATGTGTTACCATGTGAGTCAAAAGTCACGTGGTATGCATAAATCAACTATCAAAGGTATGCCATTTATAGTCATGTATTCGTGTACTACAAAACAATGCATTTTGGTTATCCAAACTTATTACGAAAACGGTCGAAATATAAAAAATGCTTTTCGCAAATTTCGCCCTAGTTTTGGCTGACATGGACGCCCTACAGAACCTAGAATTCATTAGATTGTTAATCGTTTTGAGGAAACTGGTTCAGCTGGTCGTAGACCATATCAACATGATCGTCCGGCTCGTACTCGTGAAAACATAGCCGCAGTGAGTGAAAGTGTGCGAGAAGATCCAACCACCACGACTAGGCACTGTTCGCAACAATTTGGAATTTGTGAGACCACTTTACGCCGGATTTTACACATTGATTTACACCTCCATCCATACAAAATCCAACTAACACAAAAATTGAAGCCTGCAGACCATCAACATCAACAGTGGCGTGTTTTTGTTAATTGGATGCTGGAAAGAGAAGACAGATTTTCGACCAAAGTGCTCTTTTCTGATGCGGCTCATTTTCACCTCAATGGGTACATAAATAAGCAAAATTGCAGATTCTGGGGGGCTGAAAATCCACACCAATATCATGAACAACCTCTCCATCCTGAAAAAGTGACTGTTTCTTTGGGGATTTTTGAAAGGAAAAGTGTATGCGAATGGTCCCCGAACAATTCAAGGCCTAAAGCGCAATATTCGGAGTAAAATTGCGGCCATAGGGCCGATTATTCTGGGAAAAGTCATTCAAAATTTTGATGTTCTGATGTCGGCCTGTAAACGAAGCTGCGGTGGTCACATGACTGATGTTATTTTTCATACACAAATGGCATAAACCAACCTTCATTTATCAATAAAACAAATTCGATTTCACTTCGTAAAAAGCGTGTTGATTTTTCAAATAGAAAAGAAAAGTAATAGATGACGCATCCTGTACTAGATCAGTAATGTCAGCGTAACATTTTTTAACAAGGCTAAAAGTCATTCAGGAGCTTGAACTATGTGAAATTGCCTTAAAATGTTTGCTGCACTAACATCAACGTGAAAGAGATCAATATCTATGTTTTTAAAACTTGAGTGTCAATTTACTGTAATTTACATTGTAGACAAGCTGTACAACAGTTTGTTAGAGAAACAAGATTCAAATATTTTGTAGCTGTTTACCTCTGACTCAACCAGTTAGGGTTTTTCTCAATTATTCTGGCAATCATAGCATTAGTAAATTTTTTGTATTGTAGATAATTCACTCTAACATTCAAGTCTTCTAGGTCTTCTTTCAATATAAATGGATTGTTTGTAATAACATTTCCTATGGCATGTGTTTCTAATCCAAGTTCTTTCAACAATATAATGTGATCTTTAACATCTTCAAATCTTAGACCTTGTATAAATGGAATAGATTCAAGATTCTTTTCCAATTTGTAGAAATTGACTCCAAGTTTAAGGAGTTCTTTCAAGAAGTCAGAGTCATTTATTGATGATGCGAATATTGATCCCTGTCTGATGTAGGGGTAAACACCGCTATAATCTCTCACTGTGCTCTGGTTTAAGGCTCTGACACGATCTGTTTCTGACAGCTCAACACTTGCTTCGCCTGGATCTTTGGTAGTTGGTAGTTTTTCTTCAGTGTCGTTCGCAAGTTTCTTGTTTTCATCCGTGTTAAGGGGAATAATTTCATTTTTTAGGATTTGTGTTATTGAAGTACCATTTGTAGAAACATCTTTGAAACTGGAGTAACTTTGTTTGATTACCGTACGATTTCTAATTAGCTGTTTTAAAATACTAGGAAACATTTTCTGCAAAAAACTACAAAATAATGAATTAGAAATTCAAGTTGAACATAACCTAAAACAGAACACTGTGGAAAGTGGGGTGTGGTTTCAGTGGTAACGACTCTCACGTGACCAGCCGGCTTTCTGTTGATTTGCTTAATTCCGTGATTTTCTGTCATTTGTCAGTCTGTTGTCATAAACATAACCTCGTAATTTATACCCTATTTCACGAGTATCCATCACGCTTTGACGTCTTAGGTGAACATCTGATCAACAAGCGACATTTTTGTGTTACTCTGCAACGTTGGCAATAATAAATCGGATATCAATCTAGCCAAACTTGTTTGCGGCGATTTGTTTTTGTATGCAAATGAACTTTTCTAAATGAAAAAGCTGTCAGCAAGTACAAAATAAATCTGTAGAGCACAAAAAACTAAAACCAAATACGGCTGTGACTATAATCAAATTCAAGCGGATAACCAAATGGAAATGGTATTTACCATTTTGGGTTGGTATTTACCGATCCGTTCAAGCGAGTGTAGTTATCAGTTTGGTTATAAGATCCGTGACGTCACGAATCAGCTGTTATATGTCATAGTTATCACCGCAAAATTGTGGTATTTACCCAACTCAAGAGTAGTTTTATATTTCTGGTTATTATTTGAAATGTGACAAGTTAGAATTTTGGCGAGTATTGGATATTGTTATTGTACTTCAGCTTCATTTTTGAGAAAATTGATACAGGCTGACTTCAGTTTTACCATAAAGTGGAGCACTTTATTAGTTATACTCATTACGGTTGTTGGGGACACTTTAAATGTAGTTCCTATGCTTAACAAAGTATCCTGTGTAGCCATATACCACAAGAATATTAAAATATGGCCATATAAACTCACTAGATGATATCTACCTGTATACGGTTTTGCTAATTTCTTTTGTCATCATTTCTGCTGAATCAATAAATGTTTTCTTTGACATGCGGAAAAATTTAGAGAATTGAAAGTTATCATAGCTACAAAGCCATGGTTCCATCATTAAAAAAAGAATCTGAAAAAAACATTTCTCCCATGAATATTATGAAAGGGTTCTTATTTAAACTTTCCATACCCAGTTGTAGACGAAAAAGCACCGATTATTAAGTGATAATAAAAATAATCAGAGATTATATATGCACTTTTCTTAAATAAACAACTTGCAACAAAACCGCGGTTAAAACCAACGCGTTCAAGCGATTCGTGTAACTGACGTCATCAACCCGTGTGTCATCTTGAACCATATTATAACCGCGGCACATAACACAGAAATTTTGGTTATTCGCTTGGATTTGATTTATCTCGTTGACGGATCCTGTGCCGATATAGGGAACTTTGAGACACTATATATTTAAACTGTCATTCTCACCAGATGGATACTCGTGAAATAGGGTAGACCCTATGTCACGAGAGTTCCGTGACTTTATGTCATTTGTCAAGTCTGTTGTCATAAACATAACCTCGTTATATATATATATGACCTTTGGGTGTTTTTTTTATTTTTCATCATAAATAAAAATAATACAAGCTCGAGCACTCACCAGCAAGAATGAATATCCTACCCAAAAAAAGGTAAGCATACCTACAAAAATAGATATATCAAATACATCATATTTATTTTCTTAGATGGCATGTGAGGAACAGAGAGAATATTGCAAGAGTTCGGGCTGATGAAGCAAAAGCAGCTGAAGAAGAAAAACAAAGGCAAGAGAGGATAAAACTAGCGGTACGTTTGCAAATTAATTATCGCGTACCGATTGAGAATAAGCAATTTTTAGGAACGTGAAGCAAGAAGGGAATTGTTATTGAAAAAGTCCAGAATCAGTAGAGGTCTACCAACAACAGATGATGCTCCTGCAAAAACAGATGATGAAAAATCTGAGGATCATGTCAACTTCTTCAAAGACCTGGAAGATAATGTTGCTGAAACCAAAGGAACAAACAAAGAACATGAGAAAAGGGTAAAGGAAGAAAAAGAGAAGTATGAGAAACAAATAGGCTATTTAACCTACTTAGGACAAGATACGAATGAAGCATTGGGGAAGAAAAACTGGTATGATGTATTACCAGACCGATCAGACACTAAAGTTGAAGTAAATCTAAAGAGCAAAGTCAGAGAAGATCCCTTAGAACTGATGAAGAAACATTTAGTTGTAAATCAACCTTCAAGTTCCAAACAGTCCGACTCTGCAAAAAGCAGTGGAGCTGGAGAAGTAATGGATCAGAAAAATAGGCATTCTGACAGTGATGATGAAAGCAGGCATAAAAGAAAGAAAAAAAAGAAACATAAGAGAAAAAAGAAGAAAATATCCAGCTCTGATGAAAGCGACAGTGAATCAGAGTTGGAAGAGAAGAAAGGAAAACAAAGAAAGCTAGAGATGTTGAGAGCTGAAAGGATAAGACGTGAAAGGGAAGAGAGAAGGCGTACTGAAGAATTATTAGCTCAAGTTTATGGTACAGATAAAAAGGGTGAAAAAGAAGACCAAAAGTCATTTAAACCAAGATATAATTCACAATTTAATCCTGAGTTAGCTAAGCAGAACTATAAATGAAGAAATAAATAATATATTAATTTGTATTCAAATGTGACCCATTAAATTCTCTGACCTTGATTACCAAAAGTTGAGCCAGCTTGAGGTCTATGTGCTCCTGTCAGTTTTGTCATGAACTCTGAAGGGATATAAAAGCTCTTTCCCTATGCTTGTCTTAAAATAATAAAATATAAAAATGATGCCAAGTAGATCAATAATTATGCAGTTTTTCTCATACAATGATATATACCTGTACGTGATTACTGGAGCAAGAAGCATAAATCTTATCAACGTCTTACTACCATGAAAATTAAATTATTTGCACCACTAGTGTTTATTGACTTCTCCAAGAACTTCGGAATATTATCAAAAGTTATAAACTGGAAGCTGTTTTTTGTCTATAATTGTATGCCACTATAACAGTGTTCAAAAACCACGTTTTTTCGACCTACCGTAAATATTTTTTTCTTACCATAATACATAATCAGTAGAAAGCCCCATCAACCATAGAAAATTTTTTCAGCTCTTCATTTGTTATGACTGAACTAGCAAAGTCAGTTTCACTATACGATATAATGACTACTCTCGTGCAAAGTGTTGCCTGACGAGGTTAACTTCACCACACTCTATTCTACCATACTCACGTTCAAGGTGTTGGCCACAAAAAATTGCAAGGAATTCCACTAGACTATTTTCGTTGACCGACTTTGAGGTCTACCCATACACGTTTTCCAAATAAATCTGCAAAGTTAATTTCTACATACCAGTGGCGTGTAAAAGAAAAAATGCGGTAGTTCAGGCACGTTTTTAAGCCGCACGCAAAATATAAATTCTTAAACCCAATCGTATGGCTAGATGATAATGTCATGATTATTTTTAATTTTCCAGATTACAACTGCATTGACTAAAAGAAACTCCGAAATTAAAAGTGACATTAAGACTTCATGGCACAACTAGGACTATCATACTGTCTTCAGGGACAGAAAACCTCGAAACTCTAAAATCGTCTTTGGCTGACTTAAAAGTTTTCCGAAAAAAAAATAGTGTAATTTGAATTAACTGGGTGAATTGAAAATCCTTGACATACAAATGCTGTTTATAATTACTTTGATATTGAGTCAAATATAAGCGTTGCTAGATAAACAAAATTTTAGAGCTGTCACGTTTTTTCAGCTACATTCTGAATAATCAGAAATGAAAGCAAATTTTCAATTTTTCAAAATTGTAACCTCTTCAGATTATCTTTTTGATTATGCCAAAAAATTTTAGGTTGCAAAAGATGACAAGCCAAACTTGGATAAATAGAATAAAATAACGCTAAGACGGAAATAAGTGATATGAATCTTCGACCGACTGATATCGCAAAACAAGAAAACTAATTCTGAAATGTTCGTGGTCAAAGTATCTCCTTACCTTATGCGTGGGAAAGTAATGGCAAGATAAGAGTATCTTGATTTGACCATTTTCAGGTTTTAATTGTTTTTAAATCAATACTTTCATTATGTAACTAACGGGTGATTTTTTAAGAGGTGGCCAATTGACGGGCCCCAAACGTGAGATAAACTGTTCACCGAACTCGCTTCTCAATAGGGCCATTGTTTCGTGTGCGGTGTGGCATGTGGCACCGTCTTGTTGAAACCACATGTCAGCCAAGTCCAGCTCTTCCATTTTGGGCAAAAAAAAGTTTATCATCGCACGGTAGCGCTCGCCATTCACAGTTACGTTCCGGCGATTGTCGTCGTTCACACCGTGATTTTTTCGGGATGCATTGGTAGCTCTTGCAATGCTTCTGGCTGGTCTTCATTCACTCCAGATGCGGCAATTTTGCTTGTTAACGTACCCATTCAACCAGAAATGAGCTTCGTCGCTAAACACAATTTTTCGATAAAAATGTGGATCTTCCTCCAACTTTGCCAGCGCCCATTCACCAAATTGGAAACGTTGTGGGAGGTCGTGTGGCTTCAATCCTTGCACCAGCTGTATCTTATAAGGTTTTACACCCAAATCCTGTCGCAAAATGTTCCATGTAGTGGAGTAACTAACATCACTAACACTGGCGGATACAGCCGCAATATTTTCTTCAGTCCTCACTCTACGTCTGCGTGTTGGTGGTATAATGTCCAATAATGTAAACTGGGTTCGAAATGTAGTCACAAGCTTCCGCTAGACCGACCAAATTGCCCATAAATTGGAAGCAGTGCTCGATGCACTCTCTTAACCGATCATAAATTTTGATAGTAAAATTCAATAATTTGCAAGCGTTGTTCGTTCGTAAGTCGATTAATGGTTAAATTATAGACCAAACTGCACAAGTTTGACAATGACACAAGACACGATTCACGCGTCATCTGTCAAAAACAGTAATGCCAAAAAGATACTAGCAAAAAATCACCCATTATAAGTTATTCAATTTAAGCATTTTAATTTCTTTTGGAGAAAATCTTTACCTTTAATTTAATTTGGGAGCGCCACACCAGTACGGAGTTCCATCGGAAAAAATACCCCTCTCCCTCCCTCGCGCTTTTCAACTGCTACGAGCAGAAAACTAGGAAGGAAATAAAAACACGTTCCAAGTTTACGTATATTTGATCGCCTGAATCGATCAAAATCTATTCAGTGAAAGGACAGCAGACGGATCTAATATAGTAGTAATATAACTCAAGTTATAGATACACATATTCACGTTTCACAACAGTTGTCCAATAATGTAGGAAATAAAAATATAAAAAAAATCAGTGCTTATCAGAAAATTCAATGTTATGTATTTTTATATTAATCTACCACTTCCTACTTCCGTAACTGCCGCCATTTGAGCTGCCGCCGGCTGAGTTAAGGAACAGTTCAATGTACCTGAAAGCAAAAAGTTTATCTTCAAACACGAGTCACTCTTTCAAAGATAGCGGCTCAATTAGTACCTATAAAATACGGGGGCGAAGAAGAAATTTGCTATATTGTCCGTTATCCTAGACGGCTACTGTCAAAATTTCAGCAGAATCGGACTCGTAGTTTTGTTTTTACCGGGGGTGGAAGCGGGCATGTCCGCGGATTTTAGAAAAATGGAAAAAGAGCAATATCGGTCGGTGACTCGATTCTTGTTTGTGGAAGGGAAATCGCGCTGCGAAATCAAAGAGCACTTGGATCAGGGTTGTTATAATCAAAATATTCTAAACACTGTTTAAAACAACGAAGCTGTTTTAAACCAATTTGTTTTAAACTATTTAAAACATGTTTTAAACACTGGTTTTTTGTCGTTTGTGAATGATTTCAGTTTTTTTTTTAAGTATGGTTTTAATTGATTTTATTTTGCAAAACGAAACTAAAAGGGCCACACGTTAAAACACTAAATATAATTTATTTTTTATTAATTAATCAAACGTGAAATTAGGGAACTGATACTAGTGGAAAAAAACTGTTTCTTAAAGAACGAGTGAACTTAATAAACTGCATTGAACTCTAATACTAGTACACTAAAAGCAGCAGAATAATCATATAATATGACTATGTATTTACCTGTATAATAAGTTACTTAACAAATTTCTATAAAAGTATACAACCCATCTTATTTAACAAAACATCCTTAAATCCATATTTTTAAAATAAAAAATCATGGAAAATGTACATAGAATAAATTTTTAGTTTTCACTACTTTTTACAGAACTTCAAGTAAACAGATGTACCTTTTTCACAATTCTCCAAGTTTCTCAACTTTGAGGAAATATGTTCGGTAGAAACATCATCATTGTCGGTATCAGAACTATCTGATATATGAATATTTAGTTTTTCTAACAAACTTCCCTGTTTAAGTTGTTTACAATTTTTAATATGCTTGCGCATTCTAGCCACCACTGGTACTATATCCATACTGCAGGTTAAACATTTTGCTCGTTTATTTATTTTCGACCCGGCTTTGGCATTAGTCTCTTCAAAATATTTCCACACGGGATCCTTTCTCTTCCCTGTCAGTCTTTCTTTTTTTGCCGATCTTTAATTCACAAAACCAAAACACACCACCATGCTACGACTTCGCACATTTGACTGCTGGAGTTTGCAACGCGAAAAATTACCCAAAGGCAATACTTCCCCGACGTCAGCTTTTAAATTAGAGATGTGCTCTGATAGAGCTGGATCAAAATTAGTAATAACACTTTCAAGGAACTTCATTAACGTTGCTAGATTGTATAGGCAATAGTTTTTTTTTTTTTTTTACGGTTTTGAACATGTATAGGGTGCTCAGATAAGGACGCTCGAAAGTTAAAATGGAAAAAAAAGGAAAAAAAATTAAGTCAGCACTAAAAGTCTATATTGATCGTAAATAGCATTCGACGACATTATGTATGGAAGATTATATCGTTTAAATGGCCACCGCGACTGCGCTGTACAGCGTGCATTCGCATGGTCCAAATTTACGAGCACTTTTCCGCACATTTCAGCGTCTACCTGTCCGAGGACGCGAATGATGTTGGCCCTTAATGCTGCAATTGTTTGTGGCTTATCCGCATACACTTGAGACTTCACGTAGCCCCACAGGAAAAAGTCTAAAGGCGTTATATCGCACGATCTTGGTGGCCAGTGCACATCGCCGCCGCGCGAAATAATGAAACCGTTGAACTTTTCATGCAGTAAATCCAGCGTTGCGCGTGCGGTGTGGCACGTAGCGCCGTCCTGCTGGAACCAGATGTCTGTTAGATCCATATCGTCCAGTTGAGGCCACAGGAAATCATTAATCATGGCGCGATACCGATCTCCATTGACCGTAAGCGCGTTGCCCATAGCGTCCTCAAAAAAATATGGACCGATTACGCCGCCAGCCCAGAAACCGCACCATACAGTCACTTTAGCAGGATGCATAGCAATTGAGCAAGTCACTTCAGGATTTTGGTCAGCCCATATACGGCAATTCTGTTTATTGACATACCCATTCATTCAGAAATGCGCCTCGTCGCTGAAGATGATTTTTCGTGCAAATGCAGGGTCGACTTGCAACTGCTCTAGAGCCCATGCGGCAAATGTACGGCGCTGTCCATGGTCTTGCGGTTTCAATTCTTGCGTCAATTGAATTTTGTACGCGTGCAATTTCAAGTCTCGACGCATAATTGTCCATGTTGAGGTCTTTGGAAGGGCAAGTTCTTGTGCACGTCGCCGCAATGACTGATTCGGGTCTTGACGCACGCTCTCTCGCACAGCAGCAATATTCTCGATTGTTCTTACTGTTCGTTGCCGTACGGGTGTTGTTTGGTCTGCCACTGAGCCAGTTCTCTCAAATTTATTGAGCAGACGTCGAATAGTGGACTCAGCAGGACGGCCATGCGCACCATAAGTTGGACGCAATGCGCGGAACGTTTCACGAACCGAACATCTGTTTTGATGATAAATTTTCACAATTTCCACGCGTTGTTGAATCGTGTACTGCTCCATGATTAAATGTCAAGACTAACTTAATAACCTCACAAAATTTGACAGCTGTATCCCCACCGGTTTGGGCGCGCGCGCCGTTCAAACATCGAGCGTCCCTATCTGAACACCCTTTATTAACAGTGTTTTAAACATGTATTTTTTCAGCTAAATTTGAATGTTTTAAACAAGAAAAAAAAACAGTTTTAAACAAAAAAACATGATTTTTTTTAATGTTTTTTTTCAACCCTGGCTTGGATGCAGTTTTCCTTCGATGGCAGCAGTGAAAAATTGGTTTAACAAGTTTCAACGTGGTCGCACGTCGGTTTCTGATAAGCAGGTGCCCCGAAAACGGCTAACACGGAGGGTAACGTGACAAAAATCCACGATCTATTTATTTTAATTTCCTGAAGTTACTAGTTTTAATCAAAATGTTGTACTTGAGGAACAATAAATATTCAGTAGACACCCTACTTTACGATATGATCAATCGTGGATGACCAAATCGTTAAACGTTGTCGATTCAATTTAGGTTACCATTTATAATGCATCATTCAGTGAGTTTAGAACAATAAACATTAATCGTCTCAAGATTCTATCAAAAATTAAATCAAATCAAAATAAGAGTGAAGAGTGAAACGGCAACACAAATGGTTTTAGAGGACTGGAGGAGATGTATGGGCAATCGGAAACATACAGTAACAGTGTTTTGGACTTCAAAAGGGCGTTTGAGGCTATTGACAGGGATAAATTACTTACAAAATTGCATCACTACGGATTTAAAGGATCTGTATTCAAACTTCTACAAAACTATTTGATTGACAGAAGTCAAAAAACAAAAATTGGATCTACATTATCAAGATCAAAAAATATTTCTGTTGGTGTACTACAAGGTAGTAAACTAGGTCCACTACTATTTATTTTCTACATTAATGACTTTTGTAATATTTTAGATTATTGTAAACTTCAGATATTTGCAGATGATACATTAATATACATATCAGATGAAAATATAGACACTGCTTTAAAAATGCTAAATTCTGACTTGGCAAAAATCATAAATTGGTTAAATGTAAATAAACTAAAATTGAATACTTCTAAAACAAAATGTATGCTAATAGGGAAATACCTAAATGGAGAAATAATTGAAAATTTTGAATCAATTAAATATTTAGGTATATATATTGATAGTAAACTAAAGTTTGAGGATCATTATGAATACATTATTTCAAAAATTGCAAAAAAAAACAAATTACTTTTATAGGGCTTCTCATAGTCTTGGTACCTATTCCAAGAAAATAGTTTATAATACAATTATTCTACCGCATTTGCTATATTGTTCAACTATCTTGTTCACTGCCAGTATTCTAAAAAATACAAGTCTTGCAAAATGAAGCTATGAGAATAATATTGAATAAAAATAAGTACACCAAAATAAAATCTATGTTACAAGAATTGTAGTGGTTGAATATAAAAAATTTCATATCATATTTGGTTCTTATTTTTATATTTAAAATAAAACAATCTAGTAAATCAATATTTCAGAAAGGATTACTTGAATTTAATAAACTAAATAATGATATAAAGTCTACTTGTAATTTAACGATATTTAAAAGAAAATTCAAGGAATATTTCATGGACAATGAAAATTCTTAGAGATGCAAATTGTTTTTTTTTTCTGTATGTAATTTTTTAGTTTTTTACAAGAATGTAATTGTAACAATCATGCTAAATAAATCTCAACAAAGTTCACGAAATGCTCGATCATTTCATGAAACGGTCAATTCTACGATGTGGTCAAGGCAAATTAAATATTGGTTAGTGATTAGACATTTCTGCCTAAAGTAACAACAATGAGGTTTCTTTCACATGTTCGGAAAAATAATAACAGACCTGTGTTGCATATGTCCCTTATCCTTTGCCATGGCACGTACTGCATCATCGTGTGATGCAAATTCTACGTCCGCCTCTCCTGAGGCACGCCCAGAGCTATCTTGTAACAGTCTGATGTCGATAGGAACAACTGGCTTGAAAAACTGAAACAAAATAATATTTGTCTCCTAAACTGAATCGAAAAAAGCAAAGGCGTTTTAAAAGAGAACCTTCCTGTATAATGGTACATAAGCTTGTTGACTCAGATGCTGAAAGGAATAACCAGAAAATTTGAAAGCTTTTGACTATACAGGGTTATCCAAATTAAGTGTCCACCATTAGTAACTTTGTTATTAGTGAAAATACAAAGTTGTTTGAATTAGCAAACTAGTAGCATTTTTAACGCTGGTAAAAATGAGAAATAAAAAAAAACAAATTGAGAGTCGTTATTTTGATTTTTTTCAGTAAAATAACATTTTTTTAAATGGAAACCCCTGTATATTATATTTTTTTCTGTTAAAGCATCAAATTTTAAACAAAAAAGTTCATAATGACTTTTCCGCTAAAGTCAAAAATAAAGTCAAAATAACGATAAATATTTTTAATTATTTGCAGTATTATAATATTAAGACGGCTATGAAAACAACATGGCGTTCGCGATTTGACAGCATTAAGATAAGCGACAAATTGTTAAACTGGACATACTCGCAACTAGAAGGCTTTGGAAAACAATGATAAAATCAAATAATGTCAAACATTAGTGTAAATACTTGTTTATAAGCTTTATTGTGTCATTAATTTAAAGAAAAATGTTCTCCCATGAAGAAAAGTGTGATATGTTAGAATGCTATTTAGTGTGCAGAAAATCCTCCTTGAGAGCAAGAGAATACTACAGTGAATTATATCCCGCTCGCATTCAACCGTATGAACGATATTTTCTGAGACTTTATCGAAAATTTAGGGGCAACGAAAATGTTTTTGCTAAAACAAGGGCAAAAAAAGAATTCATAATAAGCGAGGCCACGGAAATTGCAGTTATTGGATATTTTGAAGCTTATCGTGAGAATTCAATAGCAGATATTCTCAAGGACTCTAATTTCAGTTATGGTACTGTTCAAAGGATTTTAAAAAAATACAAATTTATTCCGTATAAGTACCGACCAGTTCAAACGCTTTTGGCAGGGGATCCAGAGAGAAGACTTGTTTTTTGCCATTGGTATCTTAGCTTCTGTCGCCAAAATGTAAATAACTTTCGTTACCTTTTATGGACAGATGAATCAAATTTTTCAAATTCTGGAATGTTTAATAGAAAAAACCACCATTATTGGTCAAGAGAAAATCTTTTGTTAGTACATCCAAGAGGCCCACAAGTCCGTTTCAGTTTCAACGTTTGGTGCGGTATAATTGGTTCAAAAATTGTTGGCCCGTTCTTTTATGAGGGAACCCTAACTGGTGAAAGATATGTGGAATTTATGTCAGAAATTCTGAGTAATTTCTTAGACGAATTGGATCTTATAAGTAGACATCATCTGCATTTTCAGCAAGATGGCGCACCTGCCCACAACTCCAGAGGTACTTATCATTTTCTAAGTACTACTTTTAATGATCAGTGGATAGGAACAAATGGCCCAATACAGTGGCCTCCCAGATCACCAGATCTAAACCCACTTGATTACTTCTTGTGGGGTTACTTAAAGAACCAAATTTACAAGCGAAGGTACGATAACCTTGACACGTTAAAGACTGCAGTTAGGGAAAAGATAACCCAGATAGATGGTAGGACCATACTTAAGACAGTTCGAGCAGTTGAAAAACGTGCCCAAAAATGTATTGAAGAACAAGGTGGTGTTTTCGAGCATCTTCTTTAAAAAAAATTGTTATTGTATTTTGTAAGATTATAAGTTGATGTTGAAAATAAAGTTTGTCGATACAATTTAATTGTTTCAGATTGGTGGCCATAACTTCAACAATTTGTAACCTAGGAGAAAAGTTATTGTAAGCTTTTTTGTTTAAAATTTGATGCTTTAACAGAAAAAAATATAATATACAGGGGTTTCCATTTAAAAAAATGTTATTTTACTGAAAAAAATCAAAATAACGACTCTCAATTGTTTTTTTTTATTTCTCATTTTTACCAGCGTTAAAAATGCTACTAGTTTGCTAATTCAAACAACTTTGTATTTTCACTAATAACAAAGTTACTAATGGTGGACACTTAATTTGGATAACCCTGTATATACAGTAAAGGACAGAAGTATATAGACATATATGAATATTTACCTAAATACCTTTGGAAAACGAATTCATACTTCATTGCTCTATAAACAAATGCGTTATTAGTAGAAAAACTAAATTCCTTGTTTTTACATTATCTGCAATGAACACAATACAAGTCTGAATATAAGCACTTTTTTATGAGGGACAAAAATGTGTATACAAATTCTTTTGAACTTTGGTTTAGTACAGTTTCGTGTCAGAAGAGGTTTAGTTTGTGTTCATCAAGTATTGTGGAATAAGTTGAGTGATTTTAAGACCATGCCGCGTGGTCCAGAAATTTCTTTCGATGTGAATACTAAGATCATTGAGTTATACAAAGATGGTCAACGTCAAGTCGACATTGCCAAAAATTTGAAACTGAAGCGTAAAGCAGTTTGGGCAATATTGAACAAATATAAACAAAAAGGTATCTTGGAAGCCTCTAAGAGAAGTGGTCGGCCTAGAAAACTAAATGCTAGATCAGTTAGATTGATAAAAGTAATTTCGTCGAAAGATCCGTTTAAAACCCAAAGACAAATAAAAGCCGAAATCGAGACAAAATAAATTGTCAGCGTTTCTACGAAAACTATAAGTAAAAGATTAGATAATCTCGAGGAAAAACCGTAAGGACCGATTACAATTTGCACGGTTGCATCATTGGAGCATCTGTGACTGGAAGAGGGTATGTTTCAGTGACGAATCCAAGTTCAATATGTTTGGATGAGATGGTGTTCTTTACGTTAGACCTCCTAGTGGACAAAGATTGAACACAGACATACTAAAGCATATCATGTTAGCCTATATGGAAGACAATATGCCCTTAAGATCAATCTTCCAGCAAGATCATGACCCGAAGTACACTTCAAATCTCGCAAAGAAATTCTTTCTGGATGAAAAAATACCAGTTCTCAAATGGCGTTGAGAGTCTCCCGATATAAACCCCATCGAAAATCTATGGGAATACTAAACACGAGATAAAAATTATTCAAACAAGGATGAACTTTTTGCCGCTTTAGAGCAAAAGTGGAGACAGATTGATGAATCTTATATCATACTTCTACAATCTATGCCGAGACGATGCCAGGCGGTGATTGATAATAATGGGTATGCTGCAAAATATTAACACAAACATGGTTGATTATCTAAAATTCAATGAACTTTGCTTCTTTTTTCTATAAGTGTTTGGCTTTGTCTATATATTTTTGTCCATAGTTGAAGTTTTTTCAATTAATGTTTCATTGAAGGGAGTCTAATGAATTTATTTATGTATAAGTGAGTATTATGATATAACGAATTATGTATACAGGTTGGTGTATTAATAAAACAAGTTAAGAAAGAAATACAGCACAATATTAATTTGTCTATATACTTTTGTCCATTACTGTATATATATGAGGCGTGTTTTTAAAGTAAGTACCGTTTTTAAATTATGCCGCCGCAGCGCTGCGGTTGCCGTGTAGCGCATGCGCGTCGTGTAGCTACATGTGTTGGGAAGCCGCAGACGCCATTACTGAACCATCCTATCGAGTCTACATCTGTTTGCGTGATTTTAAAATGCCTCCACCGATTGAGAATCCCGCAGACTGCGAAGTGTGTTCTGTAATACGGTTTCTGTGTGCTCAAGGCTTCAAATCAGTTGAAATTCATCACCAAGTCAGTGGTGAAAACATTATGGATGGAATGGTGCGGAAATGGGTTAGGGCCTTTGAAGATGGCCGCACAAACATTCATGGTGAGGAACGAAGTGGGAGACCTTCAGACATTACCGATGACCTGATTCAAAAAGCGGACTGTAAAGTGAAAGAGAACAGACGATTCACGATTTCGTCCTTAGCTGAACAGTTTCCTGCTGTCTCAAGAAGTGTTCTTTACGAAATTGTGTCCGAACGTTTAAATTATCAGAAATTGTGTTCACGCTGGGTGCCAAAAATGTGAAGCAGTGGTTGTTTACTCAGGCGGCAAGCTTCTTTGTCGATGGCATGCAAAAGCTGGTCTCAAGATACGATAAATGCCTCAATCGTAATGGGAATTACGTAGAAAAGTCGAGTAAAATACGGCCTTTCAAGTGAATAAATTATTTTTGGACAAAATTTAGTTGTTGTTTTTTTAGGTCAAAACGGTACTTACTTTAAAAACACGCATCAAATATAAATTAATAACAAGTTAGTCCAAGCAAAATAATTTTTTTTTCTGATTTTTTGCATGATCTTATTCAGCATCTGATAGCTGGTAAAACTATGTAATGCCTAATACGATAAAAAATATACTTACGTCGGCAATATCTTCCTCGTTCGCCCTAAATGGTAATCCACGCATATGGACGCAATGCATGGCCCCCATTTTGTCGCCCATTCCTGGTCCAGATGACCACTCATCCGGGTACATCTCGCCTCTCATACCGCCCATGCCTTTGCCGTTGCGCATGCCTCCATTCCACATACTACCTCTGTCGTATCCATAGTCTAAAAACATTACAAGGAGACAAGAAATCACCATCCAACTCTACAGACCAATTACGCTGTGTAAAACTATAGAAAAGATACTATCCAAAGAGATTGCTGACAGCATTTCAACTTTCGAACTGTACCATTCAACGATTTTCTAGACGCAATCAAACGCTCAAAGAATTCTAAAGATCCTTATGACATCGACGATAAAATTATGAAGACCTTATATAACTTATATGTCCTTCACAATTGATAAACATGTGCATAGAAAATGTCTTCACCGTCTTCCTAAAACTAAGTGCTTATCCTACTCTTCAAGAAAGGCTATGAAAATGACCAATGCAATTACAGACGAATTTCCATAATAGCAATTATAAGAAAAATTTCCGAAATACTTCAGATATGTGAATACTTCGATTCTATAATTTATTCTGCAGTAAGCCAGTATGGATACTGTACCGACAGATCAATAAATAAAAACAATAAACGATTATAACATATTTGCTCTAGCTAGCTTCTATGATCTTACAAAAGCATTTGATTGCAGTATGTTTGCTTTCAAAATTTAACACTGTATGGTATATCTGAAGTCACTTGAAATAGCATAAAAACCTTTGGTCGGCGCGTCCTTTGTAATTTCATGACGTATCATAGGCGTGCGGAAATTTATTTAGAACGATAATAATAATGTTTTTATATCACAATAAATAGATTTTACTATCTTCTTATTTTTTTGATTTGGGATAAAAAATACTTATATTGGGAGTTTAATTTATATTGACTGAAAGTTAAGAAATGGAAAAATTACAGAATTCCAACGTTTGACATAGGCAAATATTTACATAGCAGGTAGGTATATAAAAAGGTATATAAAGACTTACATTATAGGTATTTATATATCATCCTCGCGTTCGGAGCTGTCGCTAGAGTCATCTTGTAGAGGAATTACAACGGGATTTACAGGAGGCAAAACACAATATTCATTTTCTTTTTCAATAATATGCCTAGAACACTGCTTCCATAGGTCTGTGGCAGCAATACGAGATACTGCATCTCTTATTGTGGCCAATAGCGATTCACTTAATTGAGGGGTCTGATTGTTTTCTTACTTTTTTTTTTAAAGCAGCCCAGACCAACTCAATCGGGTTAAAAATGCAGTAATAGGGAGGTAGACGTAATACTTCATGGCCATTTTGCTGAAGCAGATTGTCAACAACATACTCTTTTTCAAATTTTTGTCTTTTAATAAGATCCAATAATATGGCTTTGGTTGATTTTTGTGGTATTTCCATTCCCTTATCCTTCATAAAATCAATAATGTCTTGTTTTTTTGTGCCTGTATTCGAAATTTTGTTTTTCTGTCGGGAATGGTATGGCGCATTGTCCATAATAATCACTGAATTTGGGAAAATGTTTGGTATTAACTGCTGCTCTATCCACTTTTCAAATAAGTCGGAGGTCATGTCCTCATGATAGACGGCACATGATTCTTTGATATTTTTGGCAGATAACAGCAAGGCATTAGGTATAAATCCATTTTACTGCCAGCATGGAGAATAATGATTCGTTTTCCACGGTTGCATGGTGCATTTAAAATGCACTTGTTGCTGTCGTCAACCCAGCCGTACTGCACAACATCATGGGTATCATACCACGTTTCATCCAGGTAAATCAGATTTCTTTTCTGCTCTCTATAGATTTTAACTTTGTGCAAAAATTCTTGGCGCAATTCAACGATTCGAGACGACTCCATAATCACCATTCTTTTATCTAATTTTTTGTATTGAAAACCACACAGTTTTACAATACAGTGCAGTGAGTCTAAGCATTTGTAATTATAAAAATCTTCAGGATAATCTTTTAATTTATCCCGTATCATTTCCAACGTGGGCACCAAATTTTCTTTATAAAATCCGTATATTATACAACGAATATCTTCCTGAAAACCCACGTCTATTCTTTTTAATTTTTGCCCTATGCGCTTTCTGTGGAAGGAATGGTTAACTACATCTCCCCTTTTTATAACCCGATAAATGGTAGACCGACTGATTTTTGTCAGGATACAAATTCTGTTTAAAATTTGATTTTGCGAGGAATCTGGATTTTCGTTTTTCAGACAATCATACATATTTAGGATTACTCTTTGGGCCTGTTCCTCTAAATCTTTATGAAAGAATTCTGCCTGCACAGGTTCATCAACCATCTCCTCGTGGCTTGGAGCATTTTCCCAAGGTCTCCAAAGAGCCATATTTAGGACACACAAGAACAATCAACACAACAAGTAAACTGAGTATTCAAAAGTCAAAAACAACACAAACTAATAAAATCTATGAAAAAAACACGGACAGACTAAAGAAAACACGTTTATTCACCGCTACACGGCACTGGCTAAACTGTTTCAATTTTCAGTAGCCACCTGCACTCGTTCGGAGCTCTGAAATACACGCTTTCTCATTGGCTATGTCCACGCATAGGCGTGCTTTACTCCACGTGGACCGGTGAAACTGCCTTTGATCTTATACGGGGGATATTTGCTGCGAAATTTGGCGATTTTTACAGCAACAGAGCGTGTTAAATATAGATATATAAAACGCACCCGGTATTTTACAGTGTTTCAAGTGACTTCAGATAAAGTATACATATAATGCAAAATGGTGCCTCGGGGGCAGCACTTGAGGGATGTGGAAGCCATGAATTACTCCTGTTCCATAAGTGCAAAATTCTGAGTTATATACAAACATGCGGCCAATTAATGTACTGCCAGATGCCGAGAAGCTCTTAGAATTAATCATATACTAAGTGACATATAAATCCGAACACCCAGTTTAAATGGTTTTATTTTAATAAAAGTTGGTGAATGTATTTATCTTACTGTAAATAACAAGTGAAAAAATTTTCAGCCTTATCAGTTGGACATTCCGGTTTTTATACTGCTTTTTTTTAATTCACTAACGCTCTAAAAATGAATATTTCAGCCGCAGTAAAGAATCAACGTTGGCGGATTTTGGTTCTTGACATCCTTTACGATCGGTTACGATGCCTAGAGTACGGAGACCTGTACGATTTCGTCAACTTAGTGAGTTTGATAGGGGCCGTATAGTGGGACTTCGGGAAGCTGGACTTTCTTTTCTGGCAATTGCAGTTAGAGTGCAAAGAAGTGTAGACACTGTGGTTAGGTGTTGTCAGGCATGGCTTCGAGAAGGCCGTACGCAAAGAGCAAGGGGCACTGGACGCCGCCGTAGAACAACAGACCGTGAAGATCGCCGCCTAAGATTATTGGCCTTAAGGGACCGTTTCTCCACTACCAGGTCCATTGCAAATGAATGGTTTTCAGAACACGGAAGACCTATTGGCATGCGAAGTGTTTACCGACGAATGAGAAGTTTTGGCTTGTTTTCATACCGGCCACACTGGGTCCTCCCTTTAACTCGAGAACACCGACGTAATCGCCTTGAGTGGTGCAGACAACGGTCACTCTGGGATCAGGAATGGAACAGTATTGTCTTTAGTGACGAGTCTCAATTTTGTTTAGGCACGCACGATGGTCGTGCCAGGGTTAGAAGGCGACGTGGTGAAAGGAGGAATCCACAGTTTTTTGTTGAAAGACATGTTCATCCCACTGTTGGGAGTTATGGTTTGGGGTGCTATAGCTTATGGTTCCAGGTCACCTTTAATCTTCATCAGAGGTAACATGGACGCGCAGCGTTATATCCACGAAGTTCTAGAACCCCATCTTTTACCCTATCTTGACACCCTGCAGATCCAACTTTCCAACAAGATAATGCCCGACCACATGTTGCAAGAGTCACAATAGACTTCTTTCAACATAATGATGTCACAATGTTACCATGGCCACCAAGATCTCCCGACTTATCCCCAATTGAGCACGTGTGGGATATGATGGGTAGGAGATTGCTCAATTTGCAACGTCCTCCTCAGACTCTAGAAGCACTTCGAGAGGAGTTGGTGGTTGCCTGGAATGAGATACCACAGGAGGACATTGACCACCTGATCAGAAGCATCCCTTAGGCGCGTTGGAGAATGCGTAGCACATCAGGGTGCATCCACACATTATTAAAGGTCAAAGGGCTTTAAAGCAGTGCAATCATTTTGAAATTTTTATCATTTACTTATTATGCTTCATTAAGTACTTATACACAATTTTATTAAAATAAAACCATTTAAACTGGGTGTTCGGATTTATATGTCACTTAGTATATATGAACAAGTCATTGGATATACGTATATTGAAGAAAATAAGATATTGACAAAATGTCAAGCAGGATTTAGAAAAAAGTATTCTACTGAAACAGCAATTCAAATGGTAGTAGAAGAATGGAGGCGAAATATGGATAAAAAAAGTTTACAGTAACATTGTTCTTAGATTTCAAGAGAGCATTTGAGACTATTGACAGGGAGAAATTGTTAACGAAATTGCATTGCTATGGATTTGTATTCAACATATTACAAAATTATTTAATCAATAGAAGTCAAAGAACTAAAATTGGCAATACATTATCAAACATTAAAAACATTTCGTTAGGTGTGCCACATGGTAGCAAATTAAGTCCATTCCTATTTATTTTATATATTGACGATATTCCTGATATTTTACAGCACTGCAAAATTCCATTATTTGCTGATGATTTATTATATTAATAATATATACATATATATATATATATATATATATATCAAATAAAGACATTGAAACTGAAATAGAGCTGTTAAATAATGATATGAAAAACGTAATAAATTGGTTAAATGTAAATAAACTTAAACTGAACAGAAACAAAACAACACATATGCTAATAATCTTTGATCAAAACCCGATAAATCTTACAATTAATCATGAAAACATTGTGTCAATCGAATCATTTAAATATTTGGGCATATACGTAGACAGTAAATTAAAATTTGAAGGGCACTAAGAATATATTATTTCAAAAATATCCAAGAAAATAAATTACTTTTATAGAATTTCGCATAGCCGTTTAATCTAAAAAAATTGTGTACAACACTATCATTCTTCAACTATATTGTTCACTGCAAATGGAACTGTATTTTCAAAATTACAAATATTACAAAATAAAGCTATGAGAATCATCTTAAATAAAAATAAATATACTAGAATAAATTTTATGCTGAAAGAACTACAATGGTTAAATATCAAAAATTGCTTAGCCTTCTTGGTATTCATTTTCATATTCAATATGGAAATTATGGACATTGTAGCATCAATGCTAAATAAATCTGAGACAAACAAAAACGAAGGGCCTCACAATTGAAGACTTTCAAATCGTATCAACAGTGGAAACGGCGTTTGCACAAGTGCCCAGCGGGAGTACTTTGAAGGAGACCACATTGAAACACCTTAACAATTGTAAAATAAAGTTATTATTATTCCCCTTTTATACGTATTTTCCGGACAAACCTCGTATAACTGATACAAATGGTGTTAAAAACCACTAACCTGAATCAATATCGCTGGAGTACCCGGCTCCCTTGAAACTGCGCGACGAGCGCGGTTGAAACCTGCCGGTCATGCCCTGGCCGTATCGGTCGCCCCTGTCGTACGGGCTGGGGCGGGTGTTGTAACCTAGAGAGCCGCCCATGCGGCCGCGGCTCCCTGGACCGCCCCCAGACTCGAACCCGCTTGCCATGCTGTTGACCTCTGAGAGACTGCTGCGGAATATCTCGATGTACCTGCGTGGAAGGAGAACGGCGGAAGCCGCGGTTAGAAGGGCTGGATTGTGGTTCGGCCACACTTTGCGAGAGGATGTTTGGATGTACTGCCTTTATTTCCAATTTTATGAACGCAATGAATGAGCAACATGATCTCGATGCATGTGATATTCCGAGTGGAGTAGGTGTACAGGGTGTCCCAATATTCCGTGGACGTACAGTGCCACGTATTTTAAGACTCAAAATAAGACGATTAGATATGACTTGCCTCTATGCAAATGCATTTTGTCCGTTAGAGCGCTGCAAAGTTTTCTTTTTCAAACACATTTTGTTCAGATATTTTTGGAACCGATTTGAATGAGATTTGGAACACACACATGCTTTGGTATACTTTTGCGAAAAACTCTACAGGATTCGAAAAGGGTTAAAACTACCCCCACCCCTACATAAATTATGGCAGATCTTTTTCGGAATTCTTCCAACGACTGTTTTTTTTTATATTTAAAAGATCCTTTTATTTACTTCTTTTTTTGATTCATCAAAACAGACCATCTCGCATTGTTTTCGACAAAAAGAAGTTTTTCAGAGCTGGTTTTAAAAAAAAATCAGGTGATAATTTTGTTATGTGAAGGAACGAAAATGGTGATCATATTGAACACCTTTAATAAAAGATTCGCCTGTGTTAAATAAAATTGTAATGTAATAAGTAATAGCAAACTTGCTAATTTTTGCTAATTACACTCAAAGAATTAATAATAATTTGCTTGGGAACCTTTTGATGCAACTCATTTTTTTTTTTTTGAAAACTATCCGAGAACGCCTGTTTTTATACAAGACAAAAATGAAGCAAGTAAGATTTGCTAATACAATTCAGAGTCGTCGGCAAAGTTGCCAAAAAATTCTGCTATAATTTATGTTACCACCCTTCTTTAACCCTTTAAAGTTTGTCGTAAAAGTCAAATATAAACATCTATCAAAACATATGTGTTACAAATTTCATTCAAATCGACTATCGATGCTTAAAATATTTTTAAAAATGTGCTTTAAAACGGAAACTTTGACGCATCCTAACGAACAAACGAAGTACTTTGGCATACAGGTAAATCATGTCCAATAGGCTTATTTTGAGACTAAGAATACATGGTACTTCTATGTCCATGGAATATTGGGACACCCTGTATATAGAATAGCGTCCATCAACATTTCGGCACGAGTCCTCACGTCCTAATTTCATCATTCCAGGAAAATGAGAACGTACCTCTAAAGTATAGTCTCAGTATCATATTGGGGTCAACCAAATCCAGTCAGGAAAAAAGCAATACCATTATAATTATTGCTGCTGAACACGTTGATATTACAAAGAAAGCTTATTAGAAATCGGCTGACTAATCGTTCAGTCTTGTCACACTAGTTTAATGGCAGGTCACGACTTTACCTTAGGATATGTTTTACAATCATATGAAAAGCTGGTACAATCATCTCCTTTCAACTCTCTTGATGTCATGTTGCTCATGCGTCGTAGATTTGAAAGTATTTATTGTAGACAAAATATACCTTAGAAACGTGTCTTTGTAGCTGCACTAACTGCTCTTCAAAATCTGTGCTAACAGAAGATTCTCTGACATTTCCCACAGCCTTGTAAACTATCATTTTGATTTATAAACTGATGGATATTTTGACAATGATTTTTCTATTCAAGGAAATTAAATTTTAGTAAAATGGAAAATTAACCAAATTATTTTACAATAGTATTTTGTACGGTAGCAAAAACTAGACGTGATTTATTCAACCGTAGTTTCTGAACTCATATTTCAAGTGCGAAACTGATTAAAAAAATACACATTTTTAAACCAACGTCATGTTTTTTTTTATAGTCAAAAAGTGTTCGAAACCTTTGTGTACAAAGTTACAAGAAATAGGTTTAAACAAACATTATACACGTCTGGAAAATGGCTAGTCATACTACTCAACTCTGCCTTCATCTAGTCAAGATATTAGGGTATTTCACTGGATGAATGCACGCTTCCCTATGAATTAGATTTATAGACCTCCCTTGGAAACAAAGGATATTAGATATCTCTTTGGAAATAGTGAAACAATGACGCTTCCTTGATGAACGTTCAAGGGAGGATTTACAGTAGGCTGCAACAGTTTTCATCACAAGCTGCCATCGATGTCAGAAACATTTTTGTTTGCTGGTCGTGTCTATTTAGCATTTTGATGATAAGATTTCAACAATGCAAAATAATGTGTTTGCTTCCTTGAATTAGAGCGCAATCACAAATAAGTACAAAACTGAATCTAGGCAACCAGTTGCAACAAACTGCTCTGCTGGTTGCAGATTACATCTGTCAGATTCAACTACCAAAGTGTTTTACAAATAAAAAACATTTTATACCCAAATTTTACATTATTATAAATTATAATACGTGATTATGAAAAAAAGAAGTTTAGCGAACATAAGATGCATTTGATCGAGATACCAGATAAATTTAAAGGGATCATTAAAAATAAAAACAGATTGAAGCTGTTTTTTACTTCACTGTGATCGTGCTATAATTCGGAGAAGTAAACATATTATTTTGCATTGTTTATTGATATACTTAACACAAATAAACCAAATCGTGAAAATGTTATCATCAAAATACTAAATAGATACGGTCAGCAAAGAATCTTTCTAACTTTGATGACTACTGTTACAGCCTACTGTGACATGAAAATGTATTATTGAATGTTCCCTTGTCCTCGAGGAAGCGTCAAATCTGACTCTATATCGCATATTCTCAAAAATCCAAAAAAGTAACTAAGAGCAGACCACATCGATCGTAAATCAAAATACCACCAATAAATCCAAAATAAAAATATAGTATATAAAAGTGTATGTCACCCATCCTCTCTCTTTCTACATGGTCCCCCTCTCATCATCATCATCCAAATGTAAATTTTCCCCACCTGTGTGCGATCTTTTCCCTGTGTTTCAACAGAGCTTTCTCAGCCACCTCTCTGTTTTTGAACTGTACGTACGCCTCCCCCGAACTTCGCCCCGAGTAGAACGTCAGTAGCGTAATGCCGTTCGGCACGATCTCCAACCCTGCCCAAAACAACCCAAACAATACCCATCATCATATACCCTGTTAACGCAAAGATCACTTAAATACAATATTTCCATATGTGAATTGTCCTGCAGTTGTCTCTTAAGACCTGATCCCATAACAGTTCATCCACTTCAATAAATTCACGGTTCAAATGCAGTTTGACATCAAGGTTCATTGACAACGAAAGATGGTGCTGTCTACTCTCCAGCCTACCACAAATACATTTCCATTTCGAAAATAGACTTCATGGCATAATCTTGACCGACATCCCAATCAATGTGGTGACAATGGTAAAACGTATTGTTGCTAGCATTAAGATAGCTCCGTTATCAAAAAGTTCAGGTGCGCTTACGGGGGTAGATTTTCAAAAAAGGGGCATCAGCCTAAAACAATTGCTGAGAGAATGGTTTCCGTCTATGAGGATGATGCACCATTGTATTGCACAACAAAAACAGTTTTTATGGGGGCGTGAATCCAGAGAAGACGATTCCAGAAGTGGAAGACACAAAACAGCAACAAATTGGTCAAGAAGAGAGGTTCAAATGTTGCCAAGAAAATGAGATTACACAAACCTCCGCGCACAGAAGCAGATTGCATGTATGTGTGAGGGAAGATATACAATATACGTATGGAAGCAAGACTGGTAGTTTTACCGTGACCTAACAAAAAACGTGAAAAAGCCTAAAAATTACGTATCAGTCAGAATTATGCCACAAAGCTGTATTTACTAACCGAAATTAAATACATTTGCGGCATGCTGGGCGTAGACACCCATCGTTTGACGTCTTTGTTGATGAATTTTGAGATAAACTGCATTCAAATCACGTGTGGTAAGTGAAGAATTATGGAATCTGGGCCTGTCGGATCAATCACGCGTCTACTAAACCCTATTCAAATCTCATTTGCATCGTATAAAAACACACTAGCGCATGATCTACGAATTATCATGATTCTTTTCGCCTTTTGTTGCGTGTCCACGTATATGCTCTACTGGCTATCAGAAGCGCGAGAATTTGAAGATTGTGCACTGGTGTTTATTTTGACGCGGCATAAATGAGATTTGAATGAACCAGTCAATAGAGTGTAGTAGTTAAAATTGATGATCTGAACCTCACTGACATGTTAGCAGCTTTGGCAGTCCTTTCCAAAAATAAAAGCGAAAGAATTAAATATGATCCACTGACTTAATTGCGGAGCGTATCTTAGATATTACTTTGAATCAAAGAATAAATTACAAATTTAATTCTCTTTAATTTTGTTATCTGAAAAGGACTGTTGCAGCAGCCAAAATGTCAACAAGGTTTGTTTCATTGACAAATGTGGTTCCAAATATTGTCCACTAAAGTTATGATGAATCTATTAGTCTTTTGCTATAAGTTAAAAACGACTGTGCTGAAAGTAACTGGCACTTTTTCTATGGAAATTGTTATCCTGAACAACTTTCCAAAAACTATAGAATGAATTTGACCTGACAACAATGCAGTACTTTTAAGTCTTATTTGAGAGAGAAAAAAACAATTTCCATAAAAATAGTACCTCAAATTAAATATAAGAATATAACCCTTGCCACCATTTTGTAGCTTCTACAACTACCAATCATATCAGAAAAATATTTGGTTGAAACACAACAGCAGAGAGTGAGGGAAGTTAATTCAAAAATATATTTTCCACAACATTAGGCTTTCAATATAAAGTTAATCATAGACTAGCAGGATGAAACAAGCACTATCCGCTGTATATTACAAAAAAATAGGTTTGCAGCCCAAAATCCCATTCTCTATCATCTATCTGTAATAGAGTTTGATCAACTTCTTAAAATAGATTATAAATTTTCATGTTGTATATCACAGCAAATAGCTCAAATTATAAATAGTGTCACGTCAAATACTGAAATATTATTTTTGAAGGTGAATCAGCCTAGCACAATGGCAATTCAGTAATAACAGATATTGTTCAGAGATATTTCAGCAAACTTTTATTCCAATAAATAGTTTAGTTAGTTCAAGTGGAAAGTAACAATTTTAGTCAATCTCATAGTATTTTTGCTGCAGAGTTATTTTGATTAGGTTACTATTAAGTAGATTCAGGAAATTATAGACAAGGTGTCCTGAAAGTTGGTATGTTTATTTTCAGACCAAAGCTAATTTGAGGCATATCAACGCCGAAACATAAGAAAGAAATTGAAGAAAAATACTCACTGCGAGGGATGTCTTTTAAGTTTTGCATATAGAAACATAGTAGGCCGCGCGGATCGAACGTCAGTACTGAATCTTAACCTCACTCTTTAGTAAACTTAAATTCAAAGTTTCACAACAATACGTGCAGTGTTCTCACTACAGTGAATTTTTAAGCGTCACCAAGTCATTAGAAAAATGGAACTGAACCGAGAACATTTTCGCGCCAAAATTTATTACAACTTTCAGAGACAATTATCGCAACAACAACGCCTTGCTGAGTTACTGTCTGTCTTCGGCAACGAAGCGCCACAACAGTCTGCAATTTCCCGTTGGTATGGAGAATTCAAACGTGGACGGGTGAGTCTTAGCGGCGATCCCAGGGTGGGTGCACCAAAAACGGCAGTCATCCAGGAAAACGTCGATGCTGTGCGCAAACTCATCATTGAAGATCTCAAAGACCTCAATTCAAAAAATTTTACATGAAGAATTAGGAGTAAGAAAACTAGTTTCTCGTTGGATACCCCACCTGTTGACTGAAGAGCAGAAAGCAGCCAGGGTTAAACGTTATGTTATGAACCAGAAAATAAACGACAGTCGGCTGTTTGGGTGTTCCAAGGTGAAGAAAAGCCAACAAACGCCATACGTTCTCAAGTGTTTCGAAAAAGATGGTCGCGACATTTGTGTCAAAAGCGGGTCATATTGCAACAATTTCTTTTAATGAGCAAAGAACTATTACTGCAGATTGGTATACCACCATTTGTTTGCCAAAAGTCATCACCGAGTTTGAAAAATCAACTCCGAAAGAAGATTCATCCTCCACCAAGACAGTGCAAGCTCGCACACAGCCCAAAAAACAAGGCAGTATTTAACAGAAGAAAACTTGGAATTATTGGCCCATCCTCCATATAGTCCCGATCTAAGTCCTAACGATTTCTTTACTTTGTCGAAAATTAAAAACAGACTGCGTGGTCAAAGGTTCCAGTCACCAGAAGAAGCAGTTGACGCATTCAAAAATGCCGTTTTGAATCTGCCAGCAAACGAGTGGAATAAGTGCTTCAAAAATTGGTTCTAGCGCATGCAGATGTGTATTAATCTTCGTGGAAAATTTTTCGAAAAACAAAGTCATTTAAAACTATGTACCGTGTTGTTTTGTTTCATTCGTATTCATTTGGTGAAGAATTTCAAATACTGCCCTACCCATGTTTCGATTGTACACACTGCTATTTGATTAAAAAACGCGAGTATATTAATCTATTCCTAAATTTGCAACAATTGGGGCTGCCTAGGTCTTCAACTGTGTCCACAATATAAACATACATGCAAAACTGATGGGAAGAAAGATTGAAGATGACACCGACGTACACTCGGGGAGTATCAATAGGATCTTGAAGATGTTCATATCAAATCAATATCTGTGTTATTGCTCTGGGAATTTGCCCATTTTTAGTGTGTTTATACACCAGGTTAACCTAGAACCCAGCTGATGCCTGACTTCGATACTGGCTCACATAGTCTTAGTACAACATCATACATTTTAACATAGGGGAAAGGAGAACGGCAGGGTCTTAAGTAATATCTCGGTTATCTAAAGTACCAAATTTGAGGACACCCTGTATAGATACCAACTATAAGTGCTACAGCTTTATGGTACCACAATAATTGCTTGAATGTGTGGATTGTTTATAAGGTCATTTGACACTATCATGAATATTTGAAATATTTTTCTGTCAATGATTTAAGTATTTTCATAAATTACAACTTGCATAAAAGATTAAAGTAAATAATATCTTACCCGAGAAGAAATTTGCAATTTCTTCCTTGGAGCAGCCAAATGGAAGGCCTCGTAACCTAACACAACCATCATCCTCAGATGTGCTTTGAGGGCCAGAACGCTTTATTGTCCATTCCATCTCAGGCCTATTTACTTTAAATACTGAAAATGATCAGGTGAATTAAACAATGTTAATAATTGCTACAACTACATTTAGAATTTTGTACTTTGACTGGCACGTTAAACTAGAGCTTCGACGTTCAATTTTGAATCATTTATACTGGTAGATTCCGAACAACAAAAGTAAAGGTTCTATCCAAAGAATATTTTCACACCTCAAAAAGTCAATCTACATGCAGGCAAAATTCTGATAAACTTCAGAACATCATAACCATATTTCATTCATCTCCAATTTGATGATTTTTTCAGCAGATTATACACTCAGTGGCTTTAACTTATATAAAGTAGTGGACAAAAGTTTGGAAACAAATATTAACATTATTATAAACTATGTATTTCATATACCTAAATTAAAATTGTGAAGAAACAGATAATATATATACAGTGAAAGCTCTCCTTGCGGACAGCTCCTATAAGCGGACATCTCTTTTAACCGGACAAAGTTCCTGGAACCGAATTTCAGCCATCAATTTTCAATGTTAAATGCATTCCGATAAACGGACGCTCTTATAAACGGACGCGGACACTAGATTTTCCTGTATGTGATCAAAAAATCTCCCATAAGCGGACGCGAAACTCTAATACCCGGACGATTTTTTAGTTCCGCTTATTGCAATGCACATATCTACATACATAAAATTCGGTAATTCCCCGATTTATATTAGGTGATTCCCCATTTACGCATTTCGTTGGGTAGCCTGTATGTAATCTTGTGGCTTGTCTTCAGTTCAGGCAAATTCGTAGTTGATTGAGTTACGTATTTTATTATTGTAACTGTAAAATGGCACCAAAAAAAATGGATGCCCTCGTTAAAGGAAAAGATGGAAGTTGTTAACGTACTAGACAGAGAAAGTGTTTCAGTTCGTCATTTGGCAAAGAGGTTTAATATTGGGAAAACGCAAGCAGCTGAAATTGCCAAAAATAAGGAAGATATCAGGAGTAAATGGCAATCAGGAACTAATATAAATCAAAAGAAGGATTTTTTAAAAAAGGAAGGTTTTGCTATAGACAAAACATGTTTTGAGTGGTTTGTGAAAGCTAGAAGTCAGAACATTCCAATCTCAAAGCTGTTAGTGAAAATGAAAGCTAAAGAAATCGCCACTACTTTGGGCTATAATAATTTCAGTGCGTCCGACGGGTGGCTGCAAAAGTGGCGCAAGAGACATAGTGTGAGTTTCAAATGCATATCTGGCGAAGCTGCTGCAGTAGATCAAGTTGATGTGTCACAATTTTTGGAGAAACTTCCGTCCATGTTGCTTGGCTACAAACCAGAAGATGTGTACAACGCAGATGAGAGTAGACTTTTTTTTCGCGCATTGCCCGACAAAACTCTGTCCTTTAAAGGAGAAACATGTGTGGGTGGAAAGTTGTCTAAAGATAGACTAACCATTTTATTCTGCGCAAATATGGTCGGTGAAAAATGCGATTTGATTGTGATCGGGAAAGCGGCTCGTCCCCGTGCTTTAAAAAACGTTGCTATTAAGGATCTACCAGCAACTTGGAAATCCAACAAAAAGGCATGGATGACCCGAGAAATCATGTCTGAGTGGTTAGTCGAATTCGACCGGAAAATGAGAATCCAAAAAAGGCAAGTTCTTTTATTTTTAGACAATGCATGCTCTCATCCTCGTGATATGAAAATGAAAAATGTGAAAATTATATTTTTACCGCCAAACACAACTTCTGTTTGTCAGCCCATGGATCAAGGTGTCATACAGAACTTTAAATTTTATTATCGGCACTTGATTTTAAAACATATTTTAACAAAAACTGACGATGGTCAAAGCTTATCTGAGCTTACAAAGTCTATCAATGTGTTAGAAGCTTTGTATTTTATAAAAACAGCATGGAATAAAGTAAATTCCTCTACAATTAAAAACTGTTTTGGCAAAGCTGGATTCAGAAAAAGTGAATGTAGCTCAGAATTTGCTGAGCAAAATTATTGCGATGCTGAAGACGATCTGCCCTTAGCGACACTTGCTCAGTTACTGCGACATGCCAAACATTTAGGAGTAGCAGATCCCCAGAAAGTAGATGATTTCCTGGCCATAGACAATAACATAACAACAGAAGAAAATGCCATTGGCAACTTTTCGAATTTGGATGTAGAAAGCCCAGGCCAACTTGAATATGGTAGTCCAAACGACTCAGAAGAAGAAGTGTAACTGGTGGACTCACTTAGCGGTTCAAAAACGATAAATTCATATGGGGAAGCTCTAAATCATATTTCTATATTGAAAAAATTTGCTAAAGATGATTTCACTGCATTTTAACATTTGAAAACTTTAGAAAGTTATTACGAAAATTCTCTCCTTCAGCAAAACATGGTGAAATTTCGTCAGACAAACATTTTAAACTTTTTTCAACAAGCTAAAGAATAATGTTTTTTTTAAATTCTCATACCATGTATTGAAGCATTTATGTTTTTGTATGCGTATATGTACATATATTATATAGATATATAGCATAAATACATACTTTAAAAATGTGGCGAGTTTCTGTTTCATTTTTCTCATGATTATAATACTTCATTTCCTCATGATTATATACCCCGTTATTTATACTCTCTTTTAAACGGACACCTCCCATAAGCGGACAAAAGTTACGGAACCGTGAGTGTCTGCTTATGGGAGCTTTCACTGTATTAAAGTCTACCTTTGGCTCACATACTAACACTAATACAAGGTTTATCTTATCAATATTAAAATTGCCTGAAAATAAAAACACGCGTTTTTTAAATTCCACGGTTTTTGCAATGACAAACGTATGGAAACAAATCAGTTTTGAAGTATTTATCCATTCTGTGTTACTCTGATATTGCGTGTGGCAGCAAGAATGGCAAAAGTAAAAGGATTTTCAAAAGATTTAAGAGGCAAAGTAAATTATTGTGGTGTCAGAAATGTTAACATTTCTCAAAGATTAAAAATGAACAAAGGGACATTCGGTGTGAAAGATTGAAAAAAAAAACGATTATGTTTTGGATCGCTACATTAAACAATTGTCCCATGAAGATCCTCACAATGTCATCCAAACAGATTTTCAAAAGAATCGTAACAGAGGTTGCCGAGAATCTTTCTGTCAGAACAGTGATGGAGTGATGAAACCAAATTCAACTTATTGGCATCTGTCAGTCAGACATCCAATACAGAAAAGATTCAACAAAAAGTGTCAGTTACCAGCAGTTGAGAATGGCAGAGGCAACATTATAGTTTGGGGCTTTTTTTCTAGCTCTGAAACCGGTCCAATTGTTAAAACTGTTGGGAAAATGGATCAAAAACTTCACAAAGATATTCTGAGTGACCATGCTCCCTTTTGCTGAAGAAGAAATGCCTTTATGATAGACATTCCAGCAAGATAATGACCTCAAGCATACCTCAAAATTCATAAAGGACCGGTTAAGACTAAAAAATGGTAATGTTCTTACATGGCCTTCACAATACCCGGACCTAAACCCTATAGAACATCTCTGGGAGCATGTTAAAAGACAGCTTGCATGAAAAACTTTTAAAAATAGTAACAATTTATTAATTATGTAAAAAATATTTGGCAAAAGATTCCAACAGACGTCTGAAAAAACTGGGGTCTTCTATGAACATGGTCGAAGAAAATGAAAATTTGTCTGAATTTTAGAACATCCTATATATTAATTTGACGGTTGACGCTCTAACCTTCTGGAATGCAATTTTAGGGCATTAACCATAACTTCCTTATCCTTTGATTTTAGGTTCATGACGATTCAAGTGTGGACTATTCTTTCAGAGGAACAGAAAATTTCACTAATAAATAAATAAAAATAATATCTAGATTACAGGAGTTTAGTTATGGGCGATCCAGTGGTGAAGCGTCCATGTAACCATTGGTAACAGTTAAAAATCTTAAAAATAATTTATGACTAATGTGAAATAATTTCATTCATTCGTTCACCCAGCAATATGTACTAGTAATTAGCCCCACGATAATAATGCACCCTATAATACTGTCTAAATTTTGCGAACGCGATGAAGCCGACTCGCCTCGACTTGGTTGTTACCATTTTATGTATACATAGTACTCGTCCCAATGATTAAAATACATACCTTCAATATACCGATTTCCAATATGGTCCCTATCTTTTGCCAAGGCCAGCTCCAAATCTTCAGCATCTTCAAGCTCGACAAAGCACTCGCCACTAGGTCGCCCCTCCCTGGAGGCTGTTAGGTGGACGCCTTCCTTACCTCCGAGTATTTTACAGTCACTGAAGAACTTCTCTATGTCCTCTTCAGTTGCTGACCATGGCAGGCCACGCAATTTGACGATGTATTCTCCGGTATCTTCGCTGCGATCACCGTCCCCAGACATTGTGCTTGAAATGAAAATACAGGATTTCGATAGGGGAGTCAAGGGTTGCTAGAAAATTGAAGGTTTGTCACATGTGATGCTTTGGACAAGTGCGAAGGGAAGTTTTCAAACGTTTTACCTAAGACCCTTATGGTTCTAATATAATTGTATCAAGAAATATATACATTGTTTACCTAGAATCTACGCCGTAACTCCGTTTGACGCTTAAAAAACACGCCAAAAATACAGGCAAATGGAAAGAGATAAGGAATGGAAAAACAAAAATGGCTGCGAAGCGTCAGACAAAAAGCACAGCACAGAAGAATTCATACAAACCATGGAACATCGAACTCTTGCCACAGAGCACACATGAAAGAGGCGATCACGGCGTAGTTACAGTTGCTAGACTACTTAACAAGTAAAGTTGTAGATCACGTTTAGATGTTGCCAGATGTTCCCTTCCTGCAATCGCTATTTCTATTTACAGCATAAATAACAAAATAGTTATCTGAGTATAGCGCAAAATATCGCTCGGTAAGCATATCCCGACAGATACGTAATATATCGCTGGGACGTAAATACTTCGAAGTTGAGTCATTTATTTTAACAGTGAGTAGATCTGATCAAAAGAATTGTTTTTTTCCTTTAACATTTTTCTGGTAAAATTAAATTAACAAAGTTATAGCCCTTTAGAAGTGTGAGTACCGCCCTGTCTCAATAATAATATTATGTGCTCGTGTTTGGCAACAACGGATATAATCCGCCTTATCTGTTCATCGCATCGGAAACAAAAAAGCGAAAGAATTTGAAACGTTTATCACGATGTCAGTCAATGTTTCAGTCGGTAACGCGTGAGTGAATAGTGGTGTTTGTTGCGTCGCTCAAACGAAATAAAAAATGGCACATGTTTACGAAAATGCTGAACTTGTGGACATGATTCTTATTTAATCGAGTGCAACCAACCCCTCGTGCCTTTGTTAATGTAGTACAAAGGGCTCGTGAATCAGATAAACTTAAGACCTCACAGGGGAGGGCATGCCGGTGCTCCAAGACTGCACGAACAAATACAGGTCCGCACTGAAATACTTGTCGGGAGGATACTTTATAAAACAAGGTAACATTTTTTTTTTAATTTTTTTTATTTTTACACACATATTTTGGTTTATCTTCCTTCTACAATCATTATCTGAAAATTAATGACTCAACTTCAAAGTCACCCTGTATATCTCATAGCGTCCGTGCGTGGCGTCTCAATAGGTTTACACATGGAGCGATATTTCTGTAATATGCAGGATATAACATATATTATATTATCGCTCACCGTTCGTTGCCAGCTTTAGAGTTAGAACACTGAAATCTTAAAATTTTAAGTGTTTAAGCAAGTACATAGTATTCGCTAATATTTAGCATATTTTCCAAAAATAAATTGCATGTTAACGTTGTCACTTTTTTCCCCTACAGGGTGGGATAATTAAAATTCGAATATAACGAACTAGGGAGTTGTCCTCTATTATCCATTTTTTTATGGACGCTATATTGGAAATTTGCATAGGTTCGTCTATATACCCCTTTTCACGAGTATCCATCACGGTAGAAAGATAGCTGATTATCTAGTAATATCTCAAAAATCCCCATATCGCCTCAGGACACATAATTCTGACGGATCCGTCAACGTCAGGTAGTCAGAACCGTATTTTGTTTTAGTTTTTTGTGCGCGACAGATTCATTTTGTACTCGCTAACAGCCCTTTTATTTAGAAAAATTAATTTGCATACAAAAAACAAAACGCTACAGATAAGTTTTACTAGATGTACACTCAATTCATTATTGCCAACGTCGCAGACTGACACAAAAATGTCACTTGCTGATCAGCTATTCACCTCAGTAGGCGTCAAAGCGTGATGGATACTCCTGAAATAAGGTTTACGTATATTTTAGTGAAGAATAACAAATTGTTAAGCCTTCCGCTACGTTGCCGGTGCTGGTAAAATGGTATAAAAGTGTTGTATGCTGTATATCCATGTGTATGTTCTGTGGTGTTTGTGAGATGACGTCCCTTCCCTTGCTCGCTTGTCTTATGTGTTTTGTTTTGTTGTCGGAGTTGTCGCCATTTTTTTGTGGTGGCCATTTTGACCTTTTTTGCTGTTTGTGTAAATCTGGTGCTGGTGCTAATGACCATCGTGTTGGAAGATAATTCATAATTGTGGTTTTAGTTTACGTGGTATCACCGGTTAGCTAACTTATAAACCGTAGGGAGATCTCCCTTGAGACTGTGGAACCCAGAATATCATTTACGCCGCACAATTCTGATACGTTGCTGGTGCATCTTGTTATCGGTAGAAAACGAGTGAAGACTCCAAATGGGGTCATCTAGACGTCGAGATCGTTCCCGAGAACGGGATAGACGGGATCGGAGGCGCAGCAGGTCTCGGGATCGAGACAGACATCGTGATCGCGATCGCGAAAGTAGACATCGGGACAGGAGCAGAAGTCGCAGTAGAAGTGGAGACCGACACCGAAGACGAGAAAGGGAGAGGACCCCTTCGGAGATGGACGGTGATAAGATGATTGCTGATACTATTGCATCCATTGCAGCGACCAGGAATTTCGCTAGTCTGGTCAATAAGGAAGGGGATGGAAATTCGAACCATTCCACTGGTAAAATTGTTTATAACATGATACCTTTACCTTTTTTGCTGTTAGTTTTTACACCATCAGTATTAACATACAGATTTCATTCGCAAGTTTTGGGCTGGGGCTACTTCTGAGCAACAGTATAATATGTGAGTTTCTGCAGGATCTATAGAGTGCTTCAAAGGCCCTAGAGCATACATTCACATGGTACTTCCCCACCTGATCTTTAAGTTCACTCTGCCCTTAGAATGGGTCTTTATTGCAATTTTTCTAGGGAGGCCCCCAGCGTCTTATGAGCGGAGCAAACACCAGGTTTGTGATTAACCACTTGTGGTGATTAAAGAGTAGAAGGGGGATATTAGTTTTTTTCTTGGATTTGGGGCCCCTCTATTCAGAGGCCATAGGAGCTGCTGTATCAGTTGACACTGAATAGACATGGCTTTGCTTTTGATGTACAAACTAGTATCTTGATCCAATTATACAATGAATGTGAGACATGAGTAGTCTCTTTTTATATTGAAAAATGATGCTGTTCAACAGTTTTTTTTATATGACAAATAGGTGAAATATATTTGACTTGATTTTTGAATTTCCCAAGGTAGTGGTAGTAGAAAAATCATCAGGCAAATTATTCCATAATCTCAAGACTTTATGAACAAAGGATTAGTCATGCTACTTAGTTACCATTTACAACTAGCACTTTCAAATACAGCTACATTAAATCTTATTTGGGCTTTAAGAACTTATGGGCAGATTCTTAAGATTTACATAAGGTATAGCTAACAAATTTGAATAAAATAAGAGTGAAGCCTATATCTTTGAATTGCATTGTGTGTTGGCAAAATTGCATACTTTTGACTCATTTGACTACCAATGCTTACCAAACTGATTGCATTGTAACACAATACTGATTATTGGTGGAAACATCTACCTTCATTCGGCTTGTGCTGCTCTCTGCAAATTATGTAAGAAGAAAACATCTAAAATCGAAATTATCTGCAAAAACTCACACTTTAAAAATAACACTAAAAATGAAAATTTAATGAAAGAACAGTCAAAAATTAATAAATGCAAATCAGTTTGTTGGGTGTAGCAGTAATTTCATAATAAAACTTTATTAATTAAAAAGACCTTAGAAGGATTTTTGGCTTTTTAAGTGTCTGTTGTCTCTCCCCTCCACATAAATACAAGCCCCTTTCCACTTCAGTTGGCCCACTTCAAGATTTGTACCAAAATATGCCATTATAAACTAAACATGACGAAACTATTTACTTCTAAAACAATTTATTTTCTCAAAAACATTTTAGATACAGTCTAGTCGTAAAAAATACATATTTGAAATCACTTAGACCTATAACTGATAGAACATCTGAACAAATAAACAGTGTGCGGATAAATGTGCGAAGTTAACAAAGCAACAATTGAATGACTGCCATTGGGTAACATCACCTTTATTTTTTATTATGGCTGTAATTCTTTGGGGCATAGTGTTAACCAAGTTTTGCCAAAAATTTGGTGTAAAACAATCCCACATTGCTAGAAGCTTTTGTCTCAGTTTAGTGATTGTACGAGCAGGATGTTGTTGTAGAACCCTTTTCATCTCGTGCCACAAAGTTTCAATAGGTGACAGATCTGGACTGCTAGAAACCCATTTCAAAAGCGGTACATTATTTTCTTTCATCGATTGTATAGCCTTTTTTGGGGTATGGCCATCAATAAAATGAAGTTTTCCTACTCCTTTTGATGACATACTGCCCCAGACCATAATGGATGCTGGAAATTTCACTTTTCTCTTCAGACAGTCAACTTGGAATGCTTCATTTTTTTTTGCGAATAACTCTACTGCGACTGTCACCAATACAAACTGCGAATAGGGCCTCATCACACCATTGTATTGCACACCATTGTTGAGGTGTCCATTGTCTAAGTTTTTAGCCCATCTAAGCCGATTTTTCTTTTGCAGTGGAGTTAATAGTGGCTTTACTTTGGCCTATAAACAAGTTGTGCAACTTTAGGGTGTTTACTTCACTTTTTTTTTATAAGAAAACTTACCTTGCAAGTGCTAAATCCCAGTTTCTGGGCCTCTCTATGAGTTGTGGACCTCGAAATTCTCCTTCCAACAGCGTCACTCCACAGAGCACTTAATTGTAAATAATCGGCACACCTGTTTTTCATGATTATTCTTCTTAATGCTCGTTGGTCGGCATTTGTGATATTACTTTTTTTCCACATATCGTTGCATAATTTTATCTGAACCAGTTATGTTATATCTTCTAACAATATTTCTCACACTGTACCGTGGTAAGTCTAACACAGTTACAATTTCTGAGATTGGTTTCCCAGAATTAAAAAATTTAATTATCAGTAACCGAATTTTCTCACTAATAACCTTTCCTCTACCCATTTTGAAAACCTTAATTACCCAAAACTATTTTAAACATATTCTGACAGCTGTGATTAATAAAAACAATTGTCATGGCTTTTATTTTTCACAGCTGCCTATGCATTATAGGCTTATTTTGCATTGAAATGAAAATAGGTTGATATCCTGTAATTGCAACATGTGTTATTTTTATGCTGCAAATTTGATTAGGGAGTGATAAAGTTGGTGTTTTCTACTATATATTATCAAAATATTCATTGTTAATATTTTAAACCTATAACACTCTGCTACATTTTTATTATTTGTGTTTGATAAGAAAAAAACTAAGATTTCAATAGTTGGGCCAACTGAAGTGGGAAGGGGCTCATATTGGCTTCTCCCTGGGAGTATGCTTACTTTTTGCCTTTAAGCAGGCTGGGCCTCTTAGAATTGTAGAACATAAACTTGTTGCAAGTGCTAGTCAGTGACTAAATAAGACCTGCTAAAGTAAATAATTAGAGAGGTGTACAAACATGTTGAAACCCTATTTCCTTGTTTTACAACATTAACTGATTATTGGATCATTTTTAAACCCCACTGAAACTCTTCCATAAGGTTTAAATCCATTATCCATGCTCTGGCTGGTATATAAAACCATATATGTTGAAGAATTGACATACTGTCTTTTGAGTCAAGTATAACAAATTCATGTTGCCAAAAAAATATGTCTGAATTTGAAGCTTTGAATAAAAGAAGTTAGTAGGAACTTTCAGTTGTATAATGCTTGACAGATAGATACAGTGATCTCTTTTGTGCCCTTACATATTCAAAGATATTTCAAAGTTATGTGCTTACAGATAGCCAAGAAGAAAGGAGGAGAAAGAAAAGGTCTAGGTGGGGTGGTGGAGAACATGAGAAAATATTCATCCCTGGTATGCCTACCATTTTGCCTCCGAACCTGAACAAGGACCAGGAACAGGCATATCTTTGTAAGTATTATATTATTAACACAATAACACTTTGTAAGTAAGGCATTTTGTATTTATTTTTATTTGTATAAGAGTTATTGTACCTGAAGCAACCTTAGTACTGTTTAATTTATTCAGCCTTATGTTGGTAAGTAGTTTTGGTCACTAATCATTTCCTTCACAAAATTTTAAATTCAAAGACCTTTACCTAGGTATGTAGGTGCTTTAACAAACCCAGTGAGAATCAGTAACATACACGAATTGTAAGTATGATCCAAATATATCTGGAAAATTTATAATGAACACTTGTGTTTCAGGATGATTCTCTATTGGAGTAAAAAGGAGTCTTTTTCATGTACATACTCTCACTGTAACTTATCAAATCAAAAATGGCATCATTAGTGATTAGTATACATGAATTTACAACTTTCAAAGACTCAGAAATAAGTGGTTTTTGTAGGAGCAGTTGTTAAAATGTGGAGAAGATATATTTGTCAGTGCAAAGTAAAATCATAAATGGAGGAAAAATTTAAGAATGAATAAAATCCTTATTTATTATTTCCTAGATTCATTTTATATTTTCTGTTGTTATTTCTGGAGGGTAGAGTTTTTATTGCAACCGAAATAATGAATCATTAATTTATTAAACCTTCACTTACAGTGTTTTTTGACAGCAACAGCAAATAAGGAGGGTTATAAAAACAGGAATTTTTATGTTCACTAAAGTGAATCACTTCAATTTGACACCACTGACTACTGACAGATTGCTTTTTTATTTTGTTGTGCAGCTGACCCCAAAATTTTAAATCTTGTTTAAATCTTTTAATGGAAAAGTTTTGGTAATATTTGTGTCCAAACCAGACAAAAAATGAATATATTTAGAATGATAGAACCACAGAATGACAGTGATCAAAAAACCAGCCGAACTACAAAAGAATGCTGCATTGCCACATTGAATCCATAACACAAACCACAATCATTGTATTCATTTAGAACACTGCCTATTTCTAGCACTTATTTATGTCTGTGATCTAAAATTCGTATTTTTGTTCAATTTTACCAATATGTTTTTATAACCTGAATAAGAAAAAACCTTTTGAAATAAGGTCTCTCTTATTCTCCATAACTAATGGAACTTTCTTGTTTGGGTAATGGAGAACAAAGGATTGTCATTTAAAAAAGAAATCGACTTCATTAGCTTTTAGGAACAAAAAAAAAAAAATATAAAAGCAGTTACCAATAAAAATGGTTTATTTAAAATTGGCCAAATATGGAGATGAATCAAACCATTTTATATCAAAGGAATGTGATAATGACATCCTAAATGATGTTTGAGAACACAAGAAGACAAAATACTAAACAACTCAATCCATTATGTCTTTATTGTGATATGAACTGAACCTCATTTACATGAAAACATTTTACCTGAAAAAACATACACATTTATAATAATATCAGTGTTCAATAATTTAATATAAAGAAAAATTATGATTGTTCAAAAAAACCTAAAAAGTGTCATCATTACTGATGTTGATCAACAAGAATGTAGTTCTATAAGTAAAGTTTAAAATGCCTACTATTAAAATCCAATGCATTAAACTGTGATTACCCCAAAGAAGGCACGTTGGAACATGGCTGTCCAGTATCTTGGAATGATTAGAACAAACATACATAATTTGCAAGGAAATGACTGCAACCGTGTTGTAAGTGGCAGTTGTTAATTTCGTTTTACACTTTTGCTATACTAGACAAAAAGATTAACTGGGGCCTCGGCCCCATCTTCTAACCCGTTTCTATTACAGTGCAACTGCAGATAGAAGAAGTCAGTAGAAAATTACGCAGCGGAGATCTGGGGATTCCGGCCAATCCAGAGGAAAGGTGGGACAATCGTGTCAGTCTTGTGGGCCTTAAGGGGATGATGCAGCAGCACATGCTACGTCGCCGCTTGGCTTGCTGCGCACAAAAAAAACGGCATTATCATTCCTTTTTTTACCTTTTCAGTACAACTGATTCAAATAGAGTGACTGTAGCTTTGCAAAACCTTATTAAAAAAATCGTTCACCCATGAGAAGTAACTTTGATGTTCAAGAATCATGCTTGAAAAAGGTTTTTAAAGATCATATTTGTATTGCAATAAGTTCATGCTGTGTCAAACTACAGACATTCTGTGTCAGTGCATTTGTAGCTAAGTTATTCGTTATCGGGCAAAATTCATTGATGAAGGGTGTCTCAAGAAGAGCGCCGGATTTGAATTTGAAAATGGTAACTGTTAATGTTGTGAGGCATCGCGAAACTTCAACCGAGTCTGTCTGACCCCAGTTGGATCGAATTGATGTGGATCATATGTTCTTCTAACAAAACGGTGCGATTTGCCACACAGCACGCGAAGCTGGTGTTACTGCGGACCAAGTTTCCAGACTGTGTCATCTCTCGGTTAGGTGATGAAAATTGGCCATCAAGATCGTGCGATCTAACGCCAATGGACTTTTTCCTTTGGGGCTATGTGAAGGAAAAGGTGTATGCAAACAAGCCACAAACAGTTGAATGCCTTGAAGAAGAGATATGGTGCGTTATCGACGACATAGAGCTACAGTTGTGCGAAAACGTTATCCAGAATTTTAAGAAAAGATTGACCCTGTTCCAGAGGTTTCGTGGTGGCCATTCACCGGATGTCTTATTTCATGTTTAATCGCAACTATTCCTGAGGTTGAAATATAAATACTCGCTTAATCCGATTAGAAATTGTGTTTTTCTTGAAAATCAAATCCGGCCCTCTTATTGAGACACCCTTTACAACTAATGAAAGTTATCATCTGGTTGGCTCTCTGATCAACTTAATTTGGCCAATAAGTAAAATCTTGGTTTATGAATTAGTGACGACTGTCGTTTGATTCGCCTTTGAATGCTATGGCAATGCTCGTCATTTTTAACAGTTTACCGCCACTTTAAAATATAATTGTATTTCATTAATTCTATCACCCTGAGTTACAGCATGCTAACTTGAAAAGTGGGGGAATCTTTTTCACTTGTCAGTCTGATTTTAAACTTCAAAATTTATTTTTTGTTGTTGAACTTTGAAAGGTCGTGGCAGTACTGATAGCCAAAACGACAAAACGACACGAGAATCATTTATGCACATTGGTTCATTCCTTTTTTTTTAATTTGTCTGCAAATGCACTGATTTTTTTTATGTGTATGGGAACTGGATCACAAGGAATCAAAAAGGCATTACAGAAAAAAAAGTTGATTGTAAACACCTCTTTGATACGATATCTGTTGAAATGATATTCATAGATTTGAATTGTTGTGGTCCACTTTCTCATTTCATGTATCTAATAAATAACTTAATCGAAACTTAAAGCAGATAGTGAATAGTAAGAGGAGAATACATGACTGATTTGCAATGAAGATGAAAAAAGCAGGAGCTGTAATATGAAGTAATAGTAGCAATAGAAGTAATAATCGAATCTTTCTTTTCTAGATCATTCTCTTTTCGAGCAGGTTAATGAAAATTTGATTTCAGCCTTTACAACTTGAATAGAGCTGCGTTAATTAACGAATTTTTTATTACAGCAACTAACAATTAATAACAAAATTTGTTTAGGGGTTTTAATAGGCGGAGATATATTGCAGTCCTCAGTATGGAATATTTCAAAATTGAATCAATGCGATTTTGGAATCGTATCTTTGGAATGAAATACATTTTGAATGATGTTATTAAAAGATATGGACAGTAAAGGTGATACTGTTTGAAAAAATGTGCACAGATATCACCAAGGAATGTGTCAATTCAAAATTGTATGTAGATAATTCGAGAATGCACATCATCATTGTTTGCTTTGTCATAGTTATATTTGATTGATGTTTCTGATAAAGCTCTGGCATTCTGCAATATTTCGTTTAGGAAATTACCTTTGATAAAATTTCTCTTTCATTCATATAAAATTTTCTTGGGAGTACAAATCTGATTTTATCGTAACTTTAAAGGTCGATTTATAAACTTTGACGTTGCTGTATTGTTACCATAACGCTGCCGCTGGCAGTTAAAATAAACTTACTAACATTACGTCGCGTGACGCATATTCTAAGCCAAAATTGTAATCTTTTTCACATACTTGAAGACCAAACTTATAACACACATATCATGATAATCCGTATTATTATTTAAATAAACTAAATGAAATGTAGCAAACCATCTCAAAAGAAGCCACGCCGAGCAAAACAAAACATATGTCTTTGTCGCAACAAGCACGTGATTAGTAGGACCCCTTTCATTGGTTGAATCGGAAATGGCAATGACAGAAATTTAAAACTTCAAGTCTAGCGTCAACGTTGCGGAATTCCTGTTTATAATCAGTTTAACGCGTCAAGCGCACAATTCAAGTTCTGCCTTACGGCAACGCTGCGGAACGTCAAACTTTATAAATCGACCTTAAACATTTTTTTTGTGATAACTAATGTTTGTGAAAGCGAGTAACGTACAAATGTTTTTCATTCCAAACTTCAGTCACTAATAACACGTGATTAATTGTTACTGAATACTTCACTATTCAGTAGCAACTGATAATAAATATGTGGAACTCAATAAGGATAATGCTTCTATGATTAAGTTTCACTATGTTTCTGCTGTATCTGGACATTTTGCCATTTAAACGTATATCAGAAAGTTAAATTTTGTAATTGTTCCATCATCAGCTCTAGAGTTATAAAAATAGGGGAGTATTCAAGGTTCTAAGCAGAAAATCGAGCAAGTTACCATACTTCTTACATCTTAGAAAATAACATGTCCATAATGCCCATTATACATAGATTTTATCCGATGTGTACTAATGTTTTTTTATGGCAAAGTGTTATCAAGATGTCAGTGGAAACCTGGACGACGTGATTTTCAGTTTTCCGTTTTTTCTTTGACTAGATCGCCGTCTCCAGAGCCAATTTACAGCAGCGATGGCAAAAGGTTGAACACCAGAGAATTCAGAACCAGAAAACGTCTGGAAGAGCAAAGGCATGCGCTTGTGCTGAAAATGCAGAGTATCAATCCAGAGTTCAAGCCACCTATGGATTACAAGTATGTAAAGGGTTGTCCAATAGGGACGCAGGAAAGTAAACGTCAATTTGACATAGACGCCATCTTTGTTTTCTGTCACCGACATGTCATTTTGTTAGTTGAATGTTTACCATTGACCGCTATGGAGTCGTATTCGATTGAAGACCGCATTAAAGTTATTCAAGAGCACTACAAAAATGGTGCACAAATAAAAAACAAGTTTCGCGCGCTTCGTGAACATTTCGGTCGCAACAACCGCCCAAACGAAACAACCATCGGTCGTCTGGTGCGTAAATTCGAGGCAACAGGTTCTGTGGCAAATCTGCCAGGCTCAGGCCGGGCAAGGAGCGTTCGCACACCGGAACAAATTGCTGTTGTGAAGGAGAGTGTGAGAGACGATCCGAAACAATCAACAACGCGTCGATCCCAAGAATTGGGCATTTCGAGAACCAGTTTGCTCCGCATTCTCCACAAGGATTTGAATGTACACGCCTACAAGATCCAATTGACGCAAGAGCTGCGTCGGGCCGACCATTTTTCGCGCCGAACGTTCTCAGATTGGCTCCTTGAACACCGCCAAATTGATGCCAATTTTTCATCAAAAATCATGTTCAGCGACGAAGCGCATTTCACTTTGAATGGGACGGTAAACAAGCAAAACTGCCGCAACTGGGCGAACGAAAATCCCCGTGAGTATCAAGAGCAGCCGATGCATCCTCAAAAAGTGACTGTGTGGTGTGCATTGTGGTCAAAAGACATCATCGGACCTTACTTTTTCGAAAATGCGGCCAGGGACGCCGTTACCGTCAATTCTGAGCGATATCACGTGATGATAGAGGACTATTTTTTGCCGCAACTTGAAGGAGTGGATATGGACGATGTTTATTTCCAACAAGACGGTGCAACATGCCACACAACCAACGTCAATATCCATCGATTGCAGTCCTTCTTCGGTGATCGCGTGATTTCGCGTAGAGGAAATGTGCCATGGCCACCAAGATCGTGCGATTTGACTCCCTTGGACATCTTTTTATGGGGATATTTGAAAAGCAAAGTCTACGTCAACAAACCAGCCACCCTCCAAGAACTCAAAAACAACATCATTGCCGAGATAAATGCCATAGAACCGACCATGTTGCAAAATGTCATTGAAAATTTCGACCATCGCGTGGACGTCTGTAAATCCAGTCGTGGTGAACATTTGAGCGATATTATTTTTCATACATAAATGGTATAAATGAACCTTCAAAATAAAGTACCCAACTTGATTTGAATATCAATCTTTCTTGTTCTAATATGCGTTTACTTTCCTGCGTCCGTTTTGGACAAGCCCATATATTAACATCATCGTAAAAGTGATTATTCCTTGGAATATTCTTGTCAGATTTAATGTAGCTCAACTGTTGTTTGCTGTCAGTGTGTTGTGTCTGATGTCATCATTGATGCACTGACTTTTTTCCTATTTTCAGACCGCCGGTAATTAGAGTCAGTGACAAGGTGATGATCCCTCAAGAAGAACATCCAGAAATCAACTTTGTTGGTTTGTTGATCGGACCTAGAGGAAATACCCTCAAAAGTATGTATTTGGTATAAGATAATGAAATATATATTAACTGTTTATTTAATTTTAGCGATGGAGAAAGAAACTGGCGCAAAAATCATCATCAGAGGTAAGGGTTCCGTAAAAGAAGGCAAAGTTGGGAGGAAAGATGGTCAGCCATTACCCGGGGAAGATGAACCTTTACATGCATACATAACAGCAACAAATCCAGAATGTGTTAAGAAAGCTGTAGAAAAGGTAGGTACAGTGCTATTGTTTATGGTCTTTAAATTTATAGAGGCCAAAGGCATTTTTAACTGTTGTCTTTTGTTACAGATTAAGGAGGTCATCAGGCAGGGTGTGGAGGTTCCAGAAAACCAGAATGATCTCCGCAGAATGCAGTTGAGAGAGTTGGCACAATTGAATGGTACTCTCAGAGAAAATGATGGAATGAGATGTAATAACTGTGGTGCTACTGATCACAAGTCTTGGCTGGTAAGACTGATGTTTTTAGTACTGAATCATGTCCGGATAAAAGCTTTGGAAATGACATCCCAATTTACCTTTCTACAGCTATGTATGCTCACAGCTGTTGGATTTCCGCGTGCAATACCAATTCTGTTACAAAAGAAATTTAACTTTACTTATCCCAGTGTCCGTTATGTGCCTTTAATTTCATCGGATTCTTGTGTAAACTAAACTCAGAAACGATGGCGATTTGATTATCATTTTTAGCACCTGTTGATTTATCACAAGGATCCAAAGAAATTAAAAGCATATAACACCCTCTTTAATTACAACTGGCTGAGATTGTCAGAAACCCTCCTCAGTTTTGTTGCATAAGGGTGTGAATATGAAAAAAGAAACACTTTATGAAGAAAAACAGGCTAAGTTGCTTGATTTTTCATTGTTTATGTGTAAAACTGAAAAATAGGAATTTGCGATACTACATCTTATACATTTGACGTTACAAATTACCTATGCCTACCGAGTCTCATCTACTTGTAGACAAGGAGAACGAAAATTAAAATGTTGCATGGTGATTTTTATGAAGAAAATATTCAAGAATCCTGTATTTGCATTCTAATGGAGATTTTTCAATTGTATATAAGATACGCAGAATCACATCCAAAATTTTTTTTTTCAGTGATACGGATGGAAAACTTCATTTTCCTGTTCCGAATACGTCTTCGCGTACTAGGTTTCGTTCACTTGTTGATACAGACAATGCGGGCGTGCGTGAAACTTTACGAGTCGGAATTGTTGAAAATGTTGAAAAGCTCTTATGTATGCAATCTTTATGAACATATGCGCCCATATAGCAAAATTCAAGGGGTGGTCCCAGAATTCATGTTCAGTAATACAAATCAAAATTTAATATCCTTTTTTTTTTTTAATCAAAATGACGACGAATCAACTCTTGAGAGAATTTGGTCCAGACCTGATTTTTTTTTAATTCTTCAAGGTCTTGAAATTGTCGTCCTTTGCTGTAAACACTTCTAGTAAGATGTCCCTATTCACTTTCTATGATATTAAAATCAGGTGACCTTGCCTGCCAATCTATAGTTTTTATCTTTTCTTTCCTAAAAAATTCTTGAACAATTTTAGCCGTATGCACTGGAGCATTATCTTGCTGAAAAATTACGTTTTCTTTAGAATCAATTTCATTTTTTTGTCAAAATTGGTCTATCAGTTTTACACAGTCTTGCTGTTCATTGGGCCGGAAATAAGCACTATATCAGTTTTGTAATCATAGCCTCCCCTTATCCTTTTGCTGCCTTTTTCTTCTTTCCGCAGGTCATGATGATCGTCGAGATTTAATTTTTTTTCATCGTTGAACAACATTTCTTTCCATTGAACATGTTCAGGAACAAACTCCTTCCGTCTTTCTTTATGCGCCGTGCTTAGACGTCGCATGCATTTCGTTTTCTCCCTTTTGATATGAGGAGCTGCACCTTTGAACATTTTTCATATTCATCTTTACACCAGCTTTTCCAGCAATTTAATGTTACCCTTAAAACTCACCATTTTTGAGACAGGGAATTCCGTGAGATTTCTCACTCCTACCAGTATTTTTTGAAATATTGGAATCCTCGATTTTTGACCTTCATGAAAGTAGAAACAAAACTGGATTAGCCTTGTTTACTCAGTGTAAATAAAAAAGTGTGCTATCTTTTCAACAACACAAATGTAGTATTTGTTAATTCTTAAATTATGTTTTGCAAACTCCTTATGAAGAAAATACGTTCTAGTTTTAGACGAATAAACTGCATATTCAGTAATGGACAACAGTATATAGACATATATGAATATTTACCTAAATACCTTTAGAAAACGAATTCATACTCCATCGCTCCATAAACAAATGCGTTATTAATAGAAAAACTAAATTCCTTGTTTTTACATTATCTGCAATGCACACAGTACAAGTCTGAATATAAACACTTTTTAATGAGGGACAAAAATATGTAGATAAATTCTTTTCAACATTAGTTTTGTACAGTTTCGTGTCAGAAGAGGATTAGTTTGTGTTCATCAAGTATTGTGGTCCAGAAATTTCTTTCGATGTGAAAACTAAGATCATTGAGTTATACAAAGATGGTCAACGTCAAGTCGGCATTGCCAAAAATTTGAAGCTGAAGCGTAAAGCAGTTTGGGCAATATTGAACAAATATAAACAAAAAGGTATCTTGGAAGCCTCTACGAGAAGTGGTCTGCCTAGAAAACTAAATACTAGATCAGTTAGATTAATAAAAGTAATTTTGTCCAAAGATCCGTTTAAAACCCCAAGACAAATAAAAGCCGAAATCGAGACAAAAGGAATTGTCAGTGTTTCTACGAAAACTATAAGTAGAAGATTAGATGATTTGAAGTTATTTTCACGAGGCCCGAGTAAGAAGCAGCTAATCTCGAGGAAAAACTGTAAGGACCGATTACAATTTGCACGGTTGCATCTTGATTGGAGCATCTGTAACGAATCCAAGTTGCCCTTAAGATCAATCTTCCAGCAAGATAATGACCCGAAGCACACTTCAAATCTCGAAAGAAATTCTTTCTGGATGAAAAAATACCAGTTCTCAAATGGCCTTCACAGTCTCCCGATATAAACCTCATTGAAAATCTATGGGAATACTCAGATAAGGAAATACGAGATAAAAATTATTCAAACAAGGATGAATTTTTTGCCGCTTTAGAGCAGAAGTGGAGACAGATTGATGAATCTTATACGAAGAAACTTCTACAATCTATGCAGAGACGATGCCAGGCGGTGATTGATAATAATGGTTATGCTACAAAATATTAACACAAACATGGTTGGTTTTCTATAATTCAATGAACTTTACTTCTTTTTTCTATGATTGTTTTGCTTTGTCTATATATTTTTGTCCTTCATAGTTCCAGTTTTTTTCAATTAATTTTTTATTGAAGGGAGTCTAATGAATTTATTTATGTATAAGTGAGTATTATGCTATAACGAATTATGAATACAGGTTGGTGTATTAATAAAACAAGTTAAAAAACAAATACATCACAATATTAATTTGTCTATATACTTGAGTCCATTACTGTATAAAAGTATATCAATTGTTAAAGTCGTTTTAGAAAAAAAAATGGGGTGAGATATCTTTTTGTCCCGGACCTTACATCAAAAGAGAATGAGAATTTTCAGTTTGAGATCCCTCTGCGAACTGCGCCTTAACAATTCACGTTTATAATTCCAGTGCCCTGACAAACCTAACGTGACGAACAGCATAGTGTGTTCAAGTTGCGGCGCCGCCGGTCATATTGCCAGGGATTGTCGTTCGAAACGGCCAGGCCAAGGGGGCCCTCCAGTACCTGGGATGATCAGCGGCGGAGACAAGGCGAAGATCGACGAGGAGTACATGTCACTAATGGCAGAGCTGGGTGAAGCTCCGCCACCTGACCAACATCAGACTCATGTAAGCGAACTTAAATTGATAAACCACTTATCGTCGTTTGAACTTTCTTTCTTAAATATAGCACTTGGCAAAGTGAAGCTTATCTTTAAGGTGCACCTTAGATTGAATTTATGTTTCATCGCCGCATCTTTAACGGTGCTTAGCTAGGCATACTATAGACTTGACAACCATGTATAGTTTTAGGGATTTCTACTTTTGAACTAACGAGCAATGCGCATCAAGTGAACCCTACTTTTGTGGCGTCATATCATCGTGTCGGAAGTCATGATATTTGAGGGGGGTGTGAGTTCTGCTGTCATTTTTAATTTTGTCACGGTTTTTCCAAATACAGCAGACGCTCGATAATGTAAACTAATTTAATCCAAGTGCGGTTCACATTATCGAAATGTTTACATTAGCGAACGTGATTTATATAATATTTGATTTATTAAAAGAAACGTTTAATACATACTATTTATAACAAAATAAACAAATATTCTAACAGCGATAAGAATTTTTTTAATTAGAAGAAAAATAATTAACAATTTTTGTCTTCCAATGCCTGCGCCCGTAATTTACGAAGAACTAAAATATCCATTTATGAAACTTCTTTTCTTTCAGCCCAATCTAAAGCTTGGTTAAAAACTTGTATATCGTTCTCATCATCCTCACTGTCCATATCCTCCTCCTTATCAGCATCATTCGTCTGCTTATCTTCGTTCCATAAATTAATATCAGCAGGAGTACAAACAATGTTGGGATTCACTGTTTTCAATAAATCAACAACATCCAATGACACACTAATAACATTATCATTATTGGATCGCAAACGTTCTCTAATTACGCTTAAGGGGACATCGTCTTCTTCATCATATTCATTATTGGTACAAAAGAGATTGTTCCAACATTTTTGAATAGTTTTCTGGTTAAGTTCATTCCAGACCATATGCAAATCTGAAACAGCTTCTCGTAATGTTACTTGTTTTAAAGCCTCAGGTAAGTTTTCAGGATTCTTTGATAAGACAGACGAAAGTAGAAACTTCCTATGTTTGGTGAGTCTTATTATATTCTGGTCCATCGGTTGAATTAACGGTGTTACATTGGGCGGCATGTACATGACGAAAATTGACCCATCCCTGCTCCTCAGTTGTTGCTCGGGAGGATGACTTGGTGCATTTTCCAATAGTAACAACGCTTTTATTGGAAGCTTCTGTTGTTTTAGGAAACCTTTTACCTATAAATTGAAAACACATCTTCAAATTATGAATAGAGCATTTTTGTGATAATTGATTGTCATACCTGAGGGACAAAGCACCTGTGGAACCATTTCAGGAATATACTGCTAGTCATCCAAGCGGTTTTTGAACAGTCATAATCAACAGGGATATTAACATTTTTAAATGAGCGCGGATTTTTTGCTTTCCCAATTACCAGTGGCTTTTATTTTGTGTGAATCATTAGCATTAGTGCAGGCTAGAAACGTTATTCGTTGTTTCTCCGGCTTTCTTCCCGGGGCAGATTTTTCAAATGATGCAGCATAGGTTTTCTCTGGTAACATTTTCCAATAAAGGCCACTTTCGTCTGCATTGTAAATTTGTTCCATTCTTAAATCTAGCTCGGTAATTGTTTTCACCAATTTTTCTTTGAATGGTTGCACTAATTGTGGTTGTGCTGATAATTTTTCACCAGATATAACAGCAGTCGAATTCCATATCTTGTTTTGAATCGTTGTAGCCAGCTACGAAATTTTCAGTTTTTCATTTAACAGTCTCGCTCTCTGTTTAAGTACTTCGCCACTAACTGGGACATGATTTTCCCGTTGTTTTAAAAACCACTTATACAGGGAATTTACCATTTTAGCTGCCTTCGCATTTTTTTAAAGTTTTTCTTTTTCCCGGACCTCCAAATGTATTGCACGTTCTTTGTAAAATTTGAGTTTTCATACGCTTAATTTTACAGATTGTTGCTTTCGATACTCCATATTTTTTTGCTAACTGTGTCACTCCCGCACCTAGTGCAACTTCGTCTATGATTTTCATTTTCTCACTCAACTTTAAACACTTTCTTTTATAGGATGTGGATGCCATAGCCGTAAAATATATTAACGCGTGCAATGTATTCACTTAAGTTCAAAAATGAAATACATACGTACGTATAAACGTATCCTAAACGATCATACGACTGACCGAGTTTGTCGTATTTTATCGCAGAGGTGAATCCCCTACACTCTACATCATAAATCGGGGACTCCCCGACGCCCGACATAAATCATCGAGGCTTCAGCATTTTACCGTCGCGCTGTTTCCGTGCGCCGAGAGTTGTTTACGTTATCAAGCGTACACATTGTTTACGTTATAGCGCGTTCCGTTTGATCCTATATAACGAAGTTTGTGTTCACATTAGCGCAAGTTTTCATTATCCCGTGTTTACGTAATCGAGCGTCTGCTGTATATGATACCGTGGATTTTTTTATAGCCATACGAGCACATATACATTTGCTTGAGATGAACCCTGCTCAAGCTCAGTAATTATTGTGAACTTTTCGTGTAAAGTGAATGCACGTTTTGCACTTTTCGACATGTTTATAACTCATAACAGTATAACACTGGCGGCAAAGCTAGGGTCTATTTTAAGCGAGTCTATAATATCCGAGGATTTTACATGCAATTATTTATAGGACCTTAAATTGTGTCCATTATATACGGATTTCCATTATAAGCAAGTTCATTATAAGTGGATTCCACTGCAATAGAAATTAAAACAACTGAGAGAAACGAATGAGACCTGGGAAGTAATTACAATTTTTTTTAACTCCCGATCACCGGTAAAATTATTCTAGGACCAAGGAATGTTTAAAGAAATATTATTATGTACATAAAAAAAAACAGTTAGGTAACAAGTCGCTGATTAAAAAATTTTATTATCGGAATTCCACATATGCTGTTCAACCAACCATGTTTACAACAAATGAAAAAATATTTCCAAAATTACAAATTTTACAAAATAAAGGTATGATCATTTTTAAATAAAAACCAATATGCTAACATTAAGTCTATGTTGGAAGAACTACAGTGATTGAATGTAAAAAAATCATATGCTATTTAGTTCTCATTTTATTAAAAATTATTTGTACTACCACATTTAGAAAACACAAAATTAAATAATCATTATCAGAACTATGAAACTGCAAAATTGTAATAGCATTACTAGCAAATCTGTATTTCAAAAGAGAGTATTTGAATTTGATAAATTGATCAATGATATTGAACAGCGTTCGAATTTAAAAATGTTTAAGGTGAAATTAAAAAATCACTATGCTTAAAATGTAATTTTAATAGTAAATGTAAAATTACAGAAAATTAATTCAAAAATGAATAAAGGAATAATAATTATACAAAATTGGCATTGTGGCATTAATGCTAAATAAATCTTCAACAAAAATGAGGTTAATTTCATCTAATTGTTCTACAATTTCCATATTTCCTCACAAGTTGCTTCACAACTTCAAGAACTTGATCGAAAATCAAAACAAAACTATTACCATGTATTTTCAGGTTAGGTGCAACAAAGCTCAACAAATGTTCAGGTGATCTTTTTGACATTTGAGCTTCGCTTAAAGTTACAAAGAATAGCGGCGCAACAGAAATTTGTGGAATAAGATCCATCTTAAATTAAGCAACGCGGTGCAAACCGCTACTAGAAGAGCATTTATCCCATTTATTTTCAACATGGCATTCTGTTTTTACAGCAAGTGCAACGTAAAACGACGCCGTCTTTCAACATGTTCGAACCGGCAATGGCGCCGCGTCCGTTGATGGCTCCCCCTCCGCCGCCTCCAGCCGGCGGTATGCAGCCGCCCCCATGGGCACAAATGCCGCCGCCGGGAGTAGCATGGCCGCCACCGCCTACTATCATGCCTCCACCGCCACCCCCAGGTAAGTTTTATTAACATTTGTAATAAACAAGCTTTCTGTTCGCGGTTTTACCCGTTTTATTTTGTTATCAATTATAATCGTGATTTAAATCAAATTATTAATACCTGTAAAAATTCACCGAAGCAAATAACGTAAATAACTCATCAGGGCATTCAAAAACAGTTTATTTAAAACTAAGAGTTTACATTCGTTTTGTATATGTATACAATATTGCCAAATAATTTAAACAAGAAATGATAGGAAGAAAGAACACGCAATTTAGTTATGAACGATTAGACGAGGGCTGTCCGATAAGTATTTAGCCTCACCGCCTAGTGGCGCCACTATCGTGTGGTAGTAATCGAAAAAATCGGATTTTTTATTAAAAAAAATATCGTGATTTATTGCAACACTGTCACGAAGTTATGAACCACCCTGTAGAGATAAAAATATTTTCAAAATAAGTAGCATACCGTCAGCTACAATTTTTGTATTCAACTTGTTTAGATGACTTGCATAATAACAGAGCACGCACTAAAAACTCCCCGTGTATATAATAAGTTATATCGTATATTGTACTCGTAGAATTACAAATGCACAAGTTTCTTAAAGTATTTTGGACAGGCAGTCTGGATTCACTGAAGTTCAGACTATCTCGACCGTTTTTTCCCCGTATATATAGTACATATATCTCAAATAGAGGAGATATGTGGATTGACTCAATACTTTTTACACAATTACGTCTATTCAAAACATCAGCTACACGAAAATTCAAGCGTCATTGAAGTCTTTTGAATCCTTAGATAATTTAGACGACACGTTCTTAAGTAACTAACTAGACTAGAACACGTCAAAAATAGAGTTTGGGTTTTTCACAACTGCGATCATCTCTTAAAGAAATTTAAATTTCTCTACAAGTTACGAGGAACTCGAAAAACAACAACAAATTCGAGGACGTTCTGAAATTCTTCATTTTTCGCTCATAACTTCTCCGCTACCAGACGGATTATCAAAAGCTACAAAGCTTTTACATCTTCAACGAGATCGCATGTAAAATTCTCATCAACAACTGAGCAAGAGCTACATACATTACCGAGCAAAAGTGGAGAACATTTTTTTAAAGATTTTATTAAACTATTAAAGTAAACTAAACACTTATGTTTTATTATAACTTAAAGTAACATGTAACTCAAAGCCAACATGAAAATGCTTCAATAAAACTATGCTAACAATTATTATTAGAAAATATAGCGAGCAAATATATAGAAACATGAAATAAAAAGCAATTGTCGTATACAAAGAAGCTAATACTTGGTTGCATAACCTTTATTTTTGATAACTGCTAGACATCTTTTTCTCATAGAACCAATTAGGCTATCTATTGTTTCTTTTGAAATAGAATTCTAGGCGACTTCGATTGTTTCAAATAGTTCGGCACTATTTTTGAACTTTTCTGGATGTTCAGAATTTTTTCAGCAACTAAATCCCTTAGGTTCTCTATGGGGTTAAGGTCTGCAGTCTGAGCTGGCCACTTAATGATATTAATATTGTGATCTGCAAAAAATGTTTCTATTATTTTCGCTGTGGGCTCGTTGTCGTGCTGGAACCGCCAGCGTAGATGCATGTTTTCTACTGTTATCAGATAATATAATAACCCCATTCTTGAACTTTCCCGCCTTCGTGTTTGATTGTGCCCAAAGTGAACTTGGGATCAAATCGCTTGTTTTTAGGACGACTTACCCATAAAATGCCATCCGATGAAAATAAATTAAATTTACTTCCATCAGAAAATAATACAGAATTCCACCTTGTTTCTGATCAGTTCAATGATTGTAAGCAAATTGAAGATTTTTCTTGGAAATAAAGGATTTTTTAGATGGTCTCCTTGCTGGTAAATCACTCTCCCTTAAACGTCTTCGAACAGTCTGGACACCAATATTTACTTCTTCAAGTTGAGCTTTTATGTCGACAGCTGTAGTAAATGGATTTTTAAGAGCAAGTGTTTTAATTTTCTTATCAATCCTAGGTGTGGTTTTTCGCTGTCCACCAGTCGTAAGAGCGCTTACCAACGATTTTCTGAGGCGGAACAGTTTAATAGTTTTGCAAATTACCGATCGGCTTAAATTCAGCTGTTTGGCTATGGTTGCTTGTTTAATGCCTGATCGATATTTTAAAATAATCAATTCTTTTATTTGCAAATTCAATGTAATTCCTCTCGCCATGTTTTTGAACTACACTTTACCGAATACACTCAAAAATAACACCTATTCTAATGAACGACTAAATAGAAACTAAATATTTGCAAAATGTTTCTCTACTTTTGCTCGTTGAACAAACCCACCATATTATATTGAAAAAAAAAGAATGTATACAAAGATAAGCATTTCATTATCTTGAGGTAGTCATACATAAAAAATTTTAGTGTAAAGTTTTGGGTTAGAGTAAATCTTTTTGGATTTTTATTTGTAATGTGGTTTGTTTCTCTACTTTTGCTCGTTACTGTAGATGTTGGTGATGATTCTAAAAGAAATTAAAATACTAAATTGCTTAACAAATGAAATAAAAAATTCTAATCCAAATGAAATCAAAATAACAAATTGAAGAAACTGATGCATATTTTCAGCATGCATCATAATTCAAGGAACTGTTGCAACCTTCCGTGCCGCCTTGCTAGGAAATGTGGTGACAAGCTTCGCTGGTCAGCCAGCTTCCATCTCTTTCTAACATATGTGTTTTTACACACTTATCGCGCTTCTCTCTCATGCACGTTGAACTCATATGTCAGACGAATTCGAATCTCACCTGTGTTGGTATGCTCGACTTGGCTAAATTTGATCATGTAATTTTGCTACCAGTTACCTTGAAGACATTCATTAACTTTTCTTACTTGATTGTGTAAACCGGGTATTAAATTCGTTGCAGGTTCGTCAAGCCCGCCCAGTTGGACCGCAGCTCAGCCTCCACCACCGGGCGCTCCGATGCCGTGGACGGCCGGCCCCCCGCCGCCGGGTCCGCCCTTCGGCACACCAGCCGCTGCCCCGCCCTGGGTCAGCTGTCCTCCGCCTCCGCCGCCGGGCATTGACGTCAACACGCTGCTTTCCGTACCGCCCCCACCTCCCCCATCTTAGGAGTCGGGAGAGTGCGGCGTTACGCGCGGCAGGGAGTTGAATCCGCGTTGTAGAAGTTTGCAGTCCGGGAAAGTGCAGGGCCTTGCCGCCGCCGCGTCCTGCTAAGTAGAAACGTCATTAGTTTATTCAGCGATCCGCCCTTATAAAGGGTTTCCATTAAGGACTTGATGAATTTCTTTTTAAATGAAACGCATTTGAGGTATCTCGAAAAGTTTATTATTGGATTGAAGTATACTCAACACATTTATGTATGGAATTCGACCTCGTTCATATGTCCACCACGGGCACGTTCTTCAATATTGGCTCTCAGCTCCTGTAACGATGCCGACCAATGATTTTATGAAGCCCCTCAAAAAAGTCTGGAGGTGTTAAATCACACGATCGAGGCGGCCATTCGACGGGACCATTTCTCGATATAACACGTTCACCGAATTTTGATTTCAGCGTCGTGTTGAAGCCACGTATCATTAATTCTAGCCCATCTAATCGACCTAAAAAATAACGTCTCTGTAAAAAAACGGCCCTAGTAACACCACCGGGATGAAAACCACAACATACAGTTATTTTTTGTGAATGAAGCGGTGTTCCAACCCGTTGTCTCATTTACACGGAAACGTCCAGCTTGTCTTCTGGGACGAGAATTACGACCAAAAATTGGCGGTAACGCTCTTAAAGTTGCAGCCACCGACTCGGAATTTCGGTGGTAAATTTTAATTATTTGCAAGCGTTGTTCGTTCGTGTACTTCACCATGATGAAAATGTCTTCTTTACTGAATGTTTTAACATTGACAGTTCGGTAATTGATTTAAAGGTGCGTTCACAGTGAATGTCCAAAGTTGTCGAGTCCCTGTTGGAAAACTCGATAGTAGGAGAGAATCGGTGTTGCTCGTGACAGAGAGTTGAGTGCGTATTGAGCATTTGCGGGCATCAAATAGGATTCAGTGATAAAAAAGTCAATGAGAAGATACTCTAGAGCAGGGCTGTCCAACTTAATGTGGCCCAAGGGCCACTTCAAAAAAAATGCAGTTTGGAGGGCCGCATTATAAAATCTTTCTATACAACATTATTACTGAGTTTTAATAGGTATATACTATACTATATGGTATACATATATGTATACATGACCCGTGAAGCGGGCCGCAAGAAAGGAGTTCGCGGGCCGTATGTTGGACAGCCCTGCTCTAGAGCACTGGTTGTCAATCCGTAGATTGCAAGATATATAATGAAAATTCACAAGCCCAATTTGTTGTTCTTTTAGTGCCCCATGCTTTGACTGGTTGACTCTTGAAAACTAGATCTTTAAGTCTATCATTTCAGCTTAATCACAATTTGCTAAGTGATCGTGGTTTTCTTGTTCTTTGTGGTCAGGAGTATAGATCATGGATATACAGTAATGTCCGCTTATAACGAACCTCAAGGGACCGGCGAAACTGGTTTGCTATAAGCGAATGTCGTAATAAACGATAAATAATGATAATACCATAAAATGTTTTTCATTAGTTTCTTATTTAACCAGGGGTATATAAAATGTTTGTAATAGTATATAATAATATCTAACATTTATAAAAGATTTGAAAATCTTTCTTAAAAAAAAATATGATTCTTTTTAGTTTGGTTTAGTTTTGTGAAATGAATATCATTAATATGTAATTCCGCTTCAGCTAGTCAATATGTCGAAGTGCTTCTGATATGGTTGGAATTGGTATTAGTTCCATACCGACAGATTCTTCATCTTTATTTTTGCATTGCATCCAAAATCTACCATTCTCGAAACAAGGACTTGGCGATAATGGTTTTTTAAAGTGTGGATTACACCCTGATCCATAGGCTGTAGTTAAGAACTCGTGTTTGGGGGTATGAACACTAGGATAATACAGTCCAAATTTTTAACATCTGGATGAGCTGGACAATTGTCCACTAATAATATAATTTTTCGCGGAGTAATTCAACATCTCAATTACGCAGTTCAGCATCAAAAATCTCTGAGGTCATCCATGCTCTTTTGTTGGATTTTTAATTAACTGGCAACTGTGAAACGTTCTTGAAACATGAGGGTTTCTCGATCTTCCAATTACCAATAGCTTTCTTTTTTCTGTCCCTGTTAGATTTGCCACTGCAAGCACAGTGATTCTTTCTTTAGATAGCTTCCCACTCTCACACTTCTCGCCTTTGAATCTTAAGGTTCTGTCAGGTGTAAGCTTATAGAATAACCCAGTTTCATCTGCATTGAATATGTCCTTGTCTTTGAAGTTCCTTTTGATTGGCCACTTGTTCCGCAACCAGTTATTCACACAGTCCATATCAACTGCAGCAGACTCTCCAACAATTTTTCCACTGGTAATGTTATGTTGTCTTTTGAATCTTTCGATCCAGCTTCTACTAAATTTAGGTTGTTCACTCATTTTTTTATATTTCAATAACTTCTTCCCAAGGTCTTCAGCCTTCGATTGCAGTATAGCACCACTTATGGTTACTTTTTTATTTCTCTGTTGAGAAAACCATTTCAGACGCTGACGATTGCTCATACCCCACCACGCGGTCGGAAGATTCCGATTACCTGATTCTGGTAAAATCCAGTTTCGCGCTCGTGATAACCAAAAAATTTTACGAGTATATCAAACGTTTAGGTTCGTTTTATCAGGAGGTTCGTTATAAACAGGTTCGTTATATGAGAGAAAAATAGCACATATTTAATATCATTTCAGACGGTACCGTATAAATTAGTTCGTTATAAACGGAAGTTCGCAAGAAACGGGTTTGTTATCAGTGGACATTACTGTAGATGGATTGCTATTTTTGAACAGACCACTTAGAGAATGTCAACTGCCCAGTAACTAGCAACTCCCTGTGTACTCTTGGAATTTCTTAGAATAGAAAGTGAAGTTGTTTTTAGTCGCAAGATTATAAAATAAATTTTGTAGTAAACAGTAATTAGCAGCATTTTGTTTTTGGTAGAAATTCTGATTTAAAGTTGAACAGTTTGCATTAACTTCGTTTTATTAAAGAACTTAATTTTCCTAGGGTAGTTGATACCTCATTAATAGAAACATATTTTTTTTATCAGGATGATGTTACAAAAAAATAGATTGAAAAAGATTATACTTGTTTCTTTCCTATTTGTTGTTTAAGATGGTGTACTGTTAGTGCATTTTAGATATATTCTATATCGATTTATAATTTGAATATCTGTATCTTTTTAATAAATAAGTATTTAATGTGTAAGTATTTTATCATTTCATCACACTCTAAAGTCTAAAGTATGTTTCACGAGTATCCATTACGTGGACCATGACAGCAAATAACAGCTGATCATTCAGTAATATTTACACCACATCCGCAATTGGCGCACAATTTTGACGGATCTGTCAACGCTAGATCTGTTGTGGTCTTTTGTATGATACGTTTCCATGCTTCCTCTCAACGTTTTTATTTAAAGTTTACAATGTACAAGAAAAAAAAGCCTTCAAGCAAAATAACTGCTAATCATCATAAGTAGTGACATTAGAAGTGTTACACCAAGAAAAACTAATTTCTCCAAATTGTTTTTTCTGGAGACAATGACTATATTTAACCATCAACTGCCATGTCCAAAAACAGTAACATTTTTTACCTTGGCAGGGTCAAATTTGACACCATTGTTTTTTTACATAAAAAATCAATTTTTTTATATTGTTTTTAGGTTGTCATTTTGTTTCCAACCAGTTTTACATTTTTATAAAACGAAAATGGTTAGTTATAACTTTACTATAAACTTTGGTATCCAGTCAAATTAACAAAGATGTGCACTTTCTAAAATTATAAGAAGCATTATAAAAATTTTCAGTTTTATGGTATTCAGTGGTGAATTTTAGGTATCAGATGCCACCTAAAATAAAAAAAAATGATTTAGATTTCGTATCTAAAAAATGAGAAGCATGTTTTTGACCTAACTTTTCAACACAACTTATGGATAACGTCTTCGTACGGGCATGATTTTTGCAAATAAATTATCCACATTTATAGCACGTTGAGCTTTCTTTTGATTTTTAGAATATGGACATATTTTACACCATCCCCTCTTTTTCCCTGGTTGTGACTCTGGATTTGCGGCAGGCACTGGTTCCTGAAGTCACTAGCCTGGTCTAGAAACTCACTATCACTATCTAATCCATTATCCATAATTTTTGCGCCTCCGTTTCAAGTTCTTTCTGTGTCAGAGTACGTGTATTGCCACTACACCCCTCCATTTCAAATTACTCGCTAATCGCACTAGAAGCACTTAAACCATATGCGGGTCAAATTTGACCCTACATATGTGCCTAACTCCAGTGGTAATATGAATTAATGGAATTTTCGTGGATCGATAAATCATCTACCGGTCGAAGATTAGCTGAACGCGCGCAGCGCATCATAGACAGGGTGTAAACGTTATGATAGTCATTATTTAAATGGGTGATAGACCGGGTTGAAAGAAGCAAAAAGTTTCATATAACATGGGGATCAAAACGGCATTTTTTTAGAGAAAAGCGACTTTAAAGTAAAATAAAATCTGACAACGCCGCAATGCCAGACGCAAATTACGACGGAACGCAGTGTAAATAAAGATAGACTTTGTTATTTTTGGCTCTTAGGTATTATTTCATTATTTGATAATGTACTCGTAAAATGCAAACAATTAAAAAAAAACGGACCCACTAACTGTCTCAGCGCTTCACCTGGTGTGTGAAAGTTTATTCAACGTATTAAAAAAATCCACGTATAAATAGGGAACACAATTTTGATACATAGATTGTTTTTCTTTTCAAAACTCACACTGCACTTTTAACCTGATTTCCATTTTGGATGTTTATTTCTCTCGCAGAGAATTCAACTTGTCTTTCCACCATTTAGCAACAACTTGGAATAAAACCGGATTCTGGCTTTTTCCTATTCAGCGTCTGTTTGCTGTTGTACTTCCAGCAGAGAGTTATATACAAGAGACATTGTGTGTCTTTAGCAAAAAGAGTATATTTGGGCATTGTCCCTTTGTTTGGGAGATCATTAATATAGATGAGAAAGAGTATGGGGCCTGCGACAGAACCTTGCGGCACTCCTACGGATATCTTTCTCCTTGCAGACCTTGCACCATCAATCTCTACTGTTTGATATATCTTTTGCAGATAAAACTCAACCATTACAATGTTATTCAGGGAAATGTTATAGCAAGTCAATTTTTTCAGGAGAATGTCGTGATTGACGCAGTCGAAGTCTTTAGTCAGATTACAGAACAGAACTGTACTGCATCGTTTGAAAAGACTCCATCACACTTGACAGCAGGTCAAGGATTTCGTCAGTCGTTTTGCTGTTTGCTCTGCAGCCACACTACTTTTCAGAAAAAACTGACTTAAAGAATTCTATAATTTGAATGGCAACGCATTTTTCCAAAAATCTGCACTAACGACGTATTTTGCGTGCTGTGGGAATACAAATTCTCGTTGTTATATAAGATTTTGTTGAAAAACTTTTGATCGACACAATAGCTACCATTTTAAATTTTAGATCAAAACGAATTTGTTTTATTTAATGCAAATGAATAAGCCCCATTGAAAATACAATTTTCTTTACGCCCTGTACCATGATGAAATCCTTCAGAGTTATATTCGCTTTGTTAAAAGTCAGTAAAAGGCGTAGAAAAGTTTTTGTATACGATTTCGATATATTAATATCCTATTACCGATTTTAGTTACTTTGTACAAGGCTTAAATGGTTTTGTAGAGTCCTAATCCCACAATTGTTCGATACTTGTATTCAAAGGTCGTGACGAATGTCGCTGTCTATTGAGAATCAATAGTTCTAACCTTTGGGAAACAAATTCAGCGACAGATAATCCATCGACAAAGACACGTGTATGAATAACCTTCATTTATAATGCCATCCAAGGCTTAATAAAGGGTAGGTTGTGTTGCCTGATACATGTCATTAACGAACATTAGACTAACAAACAAAAAGTTCGTAGGATCAAAGATTGAGCTGAAAGTTGCTGTATATATATATATGGCAGTCATCACTACTCATTTTACTTTCCTCCCGGCACTTACATTTCATCATTATCTATACTTGTAATTATGAGGAAAACAACCCACCATTTGTAAAAGGAATGCTATGCCCATTATTGCATTATTGAGTAGTGTAAAACTTCCTTGACTAGTAACAAACTGTATTACAGCGATATATTGGCAGTACAAGTTCAACAAATCGTTTAATTTCAAACTGCACACTGCAGTCATGAGGTCAGTAGTGTCTTTTGTGAGGAAATTTATCAATAATTCCACAATTCGCAGATGGCTAGGTATAGAAACAGGTAAAGTTTGTATTATATTAACATCCTTCCATGATTGGATACAGAGCTGAATAAGATAATGCAGGTTACAAGGAACGTATTCGACGTAGTTGACACGCGTCAGGCTTGTCACGTTGCTTCTTTTGCGTCCCTTTATTTGATTATGTGTAAAGAAATCCAGCAGAACTTCGCTTCTTGTCCCCTTAATGGACGTGCACCCTTAAGGTCCTGTCTTCAATCATATTCGTTAGTGCATTCTTGGAGATTGAGCCTCATGTGTTCTATTATTAAGGTAGTTAACTGAAAATTCAGACATTCGGACAGGGATATAAGAAAAAATCTTTTCGGGTGCAAATTTGATAAGAACATTTTTTGACGGATAAAATAAGAGAGGTGCGGTTTCAATTGATTGGAAGGAGCTGGTATGCAGTAAAGATCATAGTTATCTAATCTCTTCATCTACCAGCTCATAAACGCATACTATAGTCAAAATCACGAAAGATGACTATTTACGTCATATCATAATTTGTACCGAAGTAATCAATGGACGTTCGTCGATGATAAAATCACGATGTCAGGAACACAATGACAACAAATTTATATTATGATTTTGCGAAGTTAGGTTATTTCACTGATTATTTTTATTTTCATTTTATTTCATGGTTGTGAGTGATACTTTAATAATAATTTTAGTGGGGAGTTTTTGTTTTGAAAAAAACTGTTACCTTAAGACAGGAACACCAAAGACCAAAATATTATTCGAAAACAACCTAACCTGCTTTAACATAACCTATGAACGATCATGCAACATGAAAACATCGTCTATCTTTATCGGATACATGCAAAATAAGCAATACAGTTTGTTTAGACAATAAAATTCTGTTTGTCTCTGTCTAACATATCTGAAACTTCATTAAACATATTCCTACAAATCGCTGTCGGTAGTCTTTGCTATAGACTAAAATGATGACGTAATCGTCATCTTTCGAGATTTCGACTATACTCAATATGTTTTATCCTTTTTATTTGTAACTTAGCATGATGTTATTGTCTCAGTTCAGTCATGTACAGGATGTTTCCCAAACATGATGGAAGAATTCAATAGGCGACTATTCTGAAAATATTGTAACTGATGCTCTCGATTTGCCAAACACCTCTTGATTCCGGAGAAACAAGCACCTGAAGGGGACGTCGTTGGAAATATGTTTTCTGAAATTACTTTCCCATATCGTCGCTTAAGTTTTCACGAAAAAAAACGAACATCTTCCGATGACCCCCCCCCCCCCTGACACAAATGCTTGCCCGCCCTTGGCTAAGCCTAAGTCAATATGTAGATCATATTCACGGATGTGATTCGGACAAATCTGGATCGAACAGCAGCCATAATACAAAGCGGATTATCTCTGCGCACGCATTAACAAGAACTGAAGGTAGGATTCATCCGAATTTTATATTGCTCCGTTTAGCTCGAAGTTGACAATAGGCGCACAGTTAACTTGAATTGTTGTTGTAGAAGAATATTTAGCAATGATTGGTTACTTGCTACAGTTCCTAACGAAATATCGCAAGCTATTGACAATACCAGCAATAATATGTGTAGTTTACTGGAACGGAACTTTTGTGCTAATGTGTGAGGAAGCAATATTTGTCAGTAGTTGGCCTAAGGTCATGCCTTATATTGTTTCACACATGATATATCAATATGTAAGTTTTCAAATGTCATTTTTCTCTCTACCTTCAATATAGTCTCATTATGAGCATCCACTCCATTTCCTTAAAATTTCGAAAAACTCGTGTACACATTTTTTAAAATAGCTTTGTTACGTTTGAGGATTTGAATATTCAAAAATCTTTTAACACCTATAATTACTTATTTCAGTATAAAGTTTCTCTTGTCTAATATTTTCATCACTTTATTTTCCTCAAGCGATGTTTTTGATGAAATAACCTACGTATGTTTATTAGAATTCAAGAATTTTTTACATTGTTGATTATATGTTTCAGAATTGCACAGTAATACTTACTATGGTTTTTTTGCGCGAAGAATTCGTAGCAGCTCTAGAAGACATGAGAATACATTTCCGAGCAATAGAAACATTTAATCCATTGCTAGCCAAGAGACTTCACAGACGACGAATATATGCTAATATTCAGAGCGTTTCTCTGTTCTTTCTCATAATGGGCGTAAATTATGTAACTGTCACACCTTGGAGTACGGACGAAGATAGCTACATCTTCTTCAGGTGCTGCCAATTGATTCATTAGTATTTGTAATATGTGAAAAAGATTTTTTTAGAAAAGAAGTAACAAGGTATAAATTAACATCTCTTTAAGAGAAGCGTGACAATCCGAAAAATAGTTAATGCAGCGATATTGGTCTATACTCTATAATTATTGCAAGTCATGGCCATATACAGGTTGTTTCCTAATTGAATGCCAGTATTTGAGGGAGGCGATTTTTTGGTCCATTTTAAGCAGAAAACTTCATATAAACGTAGGCCCTAAATGTCTTAATTTTTGAGGTGCAGGAAGGTCAAGTTTTCAAAAATCAATCGTTATTAATATCTGTAAATAACATTTTAGGCATTTTTAATGTACAACACTTTTTTAAATTTCAATCAGTGGCGTTCGTTCGTAGTTTCATCTGCCTATTTTGGCCGATGAAATTGTTCTTATCTTTGTTATCCCCATTTATTTCAAATTGAATTTAATCGCCTGATTTATTTCGCTTAAAAAATAACCACTTCTCTGCATGATCATTACAATATATAACGTTGATATGACAATATCACTATGCACTCAGAGAAATAGATTTTATTTTTTAGGTAAAAAGCGTGCGTTGGACTAAAAATCTAAAGAAATCAAATTTGTTCATAAATGAATACAGGCATCAATGTTTTTTTATTTTAAGAAATGCCAGTGGAGTGCCACTTACTTTATATAGTGAAATCTTTATATCCTGTATCTCAAATATTACGCCGTTCAGGACATTCATATGAAGTTTTCCTCTTAAAATTGGCCAAAAAAAAAATCGCTTCCTTAAATATTGACATTCATTCAGGAAACACCTTGTAACGGGTTATTTTTTAAGAGGTATAGGATTTGATTTTCAAAATAATACAAAAAATTTGAAAAACCGATTAAATCTTTATTTGAGTTGATAGAACGGTCGATATAATTTAATGTTTAAAGATTATTTCATGTAAATGTTGGCCGCGGCTCCGCTTTAGATGGCCCATGCGCAAGGTCCAATTTTGGCACACTCTCTCCAACATATCGGCCGGTATCTCACGAATAAATGCTTCAGTATTGGCTTCCATTGCGTCAATCGTTGCTGGTTTATCCCTGTAGACATTAGCCTTAACATGGCCCCACAAGAAATAGTCCAACGGCGTTAAATCACACGATCTAGGTGGCCAATTGACGGCCCCCAAACGTGAGATAAACTGTTCACCGAACTCGCCCCTCAATAGGGCCATTGTTTCGTGTGCGGTGTGGCATGTGGCACCGTCTTGTTGAAACCACATGCCAGCCAAGTCCAGCTCTTCCATTTTGGGCAAAAAAAGTTTGTTATCATCGCACGGTAGCGCTCGCCATTCACAGTTACGTTCCGGCCATTGTCGTCTTTGAAGAAGTACGGCTCGATGATGCCACCGGCCCATAATCCACACCAAACAGTGATTTTTTCGGGATGCATTGGTAGCTCTTGCAGTGCTTCTGGCTGGTCTTCACTCCAGATGCGGCAATTTTGCTTGTTAACGTACCCATTCAACCAGAAATGAGCTTCGTCGCTGATCACAATTTTTCGATAAAAATGTGGATCTTCCTACAACTTTGCCAGCGCCCATTCACCAAATTGGAAACGTTGTGGGAGGTCGTTGTGGCTTCAATTCTTGCACCAGCTGTATCTTATAAGGTTTTACACCCAAATCCTGTCGCAAAATTTTCCACGTAGTGGAGTAACAGAGGCCCAATTGCTGCGAACGGCGCCGAATCGACATTTCACGGTCATCACTAACACTGGCGGATACAGCCGCAATATTTTCTTCAGTCCTCACTCTACGTCTGCGTGTTGGTGGTTTAATGTCCAATAATGTAAACTGGGTTCGAAATTTAGTCACAAGCTTCCGAATAGCTCCCTCAGTAGGCCGACCAAATTGCCCATAAATTGGAAGCAGTGCTCGATGCACTCTCTTAACCGAGCATGAATTTTGATAGTAAAATTCAATAATTTGCAAGCGTTGTTCGTTCGTAAGTCGATTCATGGTCAAATTATAGACCAAACTGAACAAGTTTGACAATGACACAAGGCACGATTCACGCGTCATCTGTCAAAAACAGTGTTGCCAAAAAGATACTAGCAAAAAAATCACCCATTATATGGCCCGGTCCGTCTATATCTTGCAATATTGCCAGAAAGGCTACAAAATCAGACGAAATGGTGTGCGTCGCGGCAGCTTACGAGTACATTAAGTTGGATTCCAATAATTCGGCAATCTGACAGCAATATATGAAAAAAGATTGAAAATGTTAAACGTTTAGCAATATATGTATGGCCGAATATCGCCACTCTATTACAGCTAGGTAATGCAGCAAAAATATCGCCGTTTAGAATGGTGATTACCAATTTTACTACTAAATATTTTCAGAGGTGTTAAAATAGTTTCGTCAATTTTCAGACAGTACTCTAAGCGGGTGTTCGCCAACCATCCTTTTTTGATACTTTCATCTTACGTGTTGTACTACCTAATGGTGACAATCATGGCATCGTCATGCTTCGTCTTCACTTCTGGAGCTCTCTACGTGATAACATTGACAAGCTTCCAGTATCTTCTTTTGGCAGATTATGTAGATAGTCAGCTCACGATACAACATCAGACAATCTATTCGATAAACAACGTACACTATCAAGAGGAGATTCAAAGAAACCTTCGGCAGTGCTGTATATATCAAAAGAGAATAGATATGCAAGTATATAGACGAAGTATTTATACCAAAGTTAAATGCGCGTTCCATATAAAGATTATAATTGTCCGTCTCATTTCAGAACTCTTAACGTAAAGACCATGGTAGATGAGTTATCACATCAAATAAACCAATAAAAGAGATGAATCCGGAGTTCATTAGATAAACATAAATTCTTGATTACTTGAGTGATAATAATTTCTATTTCAGGGGCGTCGAAAGAATCTTCAAATATATGAGTCCCATAATGTTAACTGCTATAGTGACTGGTGGAATTAGCATTTTGATAGCATTCTACATCGTTATTACGGTGTGTTGTCTTTTATCGTATTCACTTATACTTCGTGGAAGATGACAATTTGAAATACCTGAATATGGAATATTATTATTAGAAAAGTCATGTTAACAAGATATTTTTGGTCGGAGAACTCCAAATATTTTTTATAAATAACAATGAAGTAGTTATTAGTATTTGGATATCTAGTTTACCTTGCTGTTCATTAATAGTCTATATTTTCTTGCTGTATCCTATAGCCCCACGGTACTTACGGATATTTAGGTCTTAGGCCAGCGTGGTGGCTAAAGTATAAAAAGACTATCAGACCGGTTCAAAATGAAGTAGCACGCTTGATTTTGAGCCCTACGCTCCCAAGATTCGAAAATCTACCTTCACGATAGTTTTTCCCTGTGGCTGTCAAATTTATCGTGATGCAGCTAATGTGTATCAAATATTTGTTAAACTAGTGATAATTATATACTTTTAGGGCATTAATCCACCGAACACGGGATTCAAAATGAAATTCGGCGTTGTCGCTATCAGCTACATGCTTGTAACATTCATTGTTCTTGGACAGGGATATAGCAACGCGGTAAGTTTTATACTGCAATTACTAGAACTTTTTGAAACATTCTCTTTGCTGCTTGCCACCTCATATACAGGGTGTTCCTTAATGATATGCGAATATTTGAAGGTGTGAATGTAAATGAAAAATTAATGTTATTTTGCTTTATAATGGTCCAAAAATGTTTCCTTACAAAAACTCGGGGAGTTGAAGTTTTAGGAAACAAATGGAAATTAATTAATATTTTCAGAACCGCTTGAGATATTTCACTGATATTTAGTGCTCAGTGAAAGTTAATAAAGTTGCATATTGTTCAATGCAAAAATAATTTTCAGCTTTAACAGTGGCGTGCGTACGGGTATTGACTTTTTTAGAAAAAAATGGTACGCTAAGGGTTTTTCGGCAAATAAAAATTATTTTTGAATTTCCCGTTCAGTTTAAAACAAATGATCTCTCTTGAATTGTTTTCCTTCGATGCGTTGCTCTGGAATATGTCACTGGCTTTTGAAATCTGGCAAGTCTCTGTTATTCAAATCTGTTCGCTGTGATATCTTTTTCATTGTTTAGTTTTTACAATCTTGTTCAAAATGGCGAATTATTCAAATGCAGAAATGGCGGAAATGAAATATCTGAAGTGGTTCTGAAAATATTAATTAATTTCCATTATTCTTTTCCTAAAACTTCAACACCCCGAGTTTTTGTAAGAAAACATTTTTGGACCAAAGTTTATAAAGCAAACTAACATTAATTTTTCATGTAGATTTACACCCTTAAATATTCGCATATCATTAAGGAACACCCTGTATATGCTGTCACTGCAGATATTCTATAAAATAGTAGTTTTTTGAAAATAACTCTTATCCGACTCGTTAATCAAGGATGAACGATAGCTACAAGGTAAACTGCACTAAAGTATCTTCAAGATGAACATTTTCAGTGTGCGGTTGTTACAAATTATTGCTTTTGAAACTCCCTGACACTTCGCTGTTTCATGCGCATGTACAGGGTGGCCGATATGTAAGTGACTGGTTTCTATCTTGAATATTTGTGAAATGAAATAAAACACGTCCATTTTTTTCATCTTAATCTTTGATTGAAACTTAAAAATTATGTACGAGAAAAAATATCCGACAAATGTCCGCGCAAATCTGAGCCCTCTTAATTACATCTTCCATCATATTTTGGTAGGTTGCGGGAGGAATATTTTCAATCGCTTCCGTAATATTGTTCTTCAGCTGCTCTACAGTATTTGGTTTTTTGGCATAAACCCTATTATTCAAAAATCCCCTTGGAAAAAGTCAGGAGCCGATAAATCCGGTGACCTTAATGGCCAGTTGACATCACCAAATCGTCGACACGTTATTTAAGTGAAACGTTTTAACAATACGGACGTGTCGTGGGATCGTGTAGCGCTCCATGATGAAATTGACACAACTACTACGGTGCCACCTACTGTGTGTATCAAAAATGGCTCGCAATTTAAAACAATCAGTTATATATTGGCCACCCTGTATTTTTCTGAAAAAATTGTACACTTATACGATAATCTGGCTATTTTGTATTAAATTTTAGTCCATGGAAGTCTACAACAGGTTGTGTGAATGTTCCTGGTACTACTGGAACGTTCAAAACAGAAGAACATATTTAGTGATGTTAGCCAACACTAATGAACTAAAAATTAATGCCTTTGGGTTGCTTAGCGTAGATTTCCCATTCTTAGTTGAAGTAAGTAAATCCATGCTGTTTGTGGATTTCAAAATAAATTCCGCATTAACTCTGCCACTTTTTTTTCCTACGAGATTGCATAATTAGTACAGGGTGCGTCATCTATTACTTTTTTTCTATTTGAAAAATCAACACGCTTGTTACGAGGTGAAATCGATTTTTTTTATTGATAAATGAAGGTTGGTTTATGCCATTTATGTACGAAAAATAACATCAGTCATGTGACCACCGCGGCTTCGTTTACAGGCCAACATCCGAACATCAAAATTTTCAATGACTTTGCCCAGGATAATCGGGTCTATGCCGCAATTTCAGTCCGAATATTACATACACTTTTCCTTTCAAAAATTCCCAAAGAAGATAGACAAGAGGTGTTAAATCGCACGATCTCGGGGGCCAACTGACATCTGAATTTCGTGAAATTATGCGGTATTGAAATTTCGTGAGCAATAAGGCGATTGTTTGGCGAGATGTGTGAGCCGTTGCTCCGTCTTCATGAAACCAAAGATCGTCGGCACCAATTACGATCCAATTGTGGCCACAAAAAGTCTGTTAACATGCCGCGATAACGTTCCCCGTTGACGGTAATGGCCTTTTCTTCGGCATCCCATTGAGGTGAAAATGAGCCTCATCAGAAAAGAGCGCTTCAATTCCTATGTTACTTGGATTTTGTATGGATGGAGGTGCAAATCAATGTGTAAAATCCAGCGTAAAGTAGTCTCACTAATTCCCAATTGTTGCAAACGGTGCCTAGTCGAGGTTGTTGGTATGGTCTACGACCTTCAACTGAACCAGTTTCCTCAAAACGATTAACAATCCAACGAATTCCAGGCTCTGTAGGGCGTCCATGTCGGCCAAAACTAGTGAGAAGATTGCGTAAATTATTTTTTATATTTCGACCGTTTTCGTAATAAGTTTGGATAAGCAAAATGCGTTGTTTTGTAAACGAATCCATGACTATAAATGGCATGCCTTTGACGGTTCATTTATGCATACCACATGACTTTTGACTCACATGGTAACACATAAACTTATGGGTAAAAAAAAGTAATAGATGGCGCACCCAGTACTATAGGAGAATTTTCGCATTTTCAATGTATTCAGAATATTCCAGAGCGTTTTTCCATTCCATGAGTTTGTGGTTCAATCCACGTACATTACTTTTTCTGATTTTAACTTGCCTGGATATGATACACCGTTTAAGTTTTAAAAAATAATTGATTCTTGTACGTTAACGACATCCTTATTTCAGATAAGCAGATTTTGGTACAACATATTATGCTTTATTAGTAATTATAGATACACATTGACATTTGAAGGAGCTACCGTGAGCGGCACATAAGATTTTACGATTGAATTTATTAACAATAAATAATATATAGTTTGTGATATTATATTTTTATATGCCTCTACCATCAAAATGTGATTAAAATGTGAATTAATGTTTACTTGGTATTTGTTTTAATGGAAGTAAATAGCGTGAAACATTCAGATGTATATGAAAGATTTGTAGAGGTCAATTTGTTTTCTAACTAGCATCGAGCTGCTAGCATATCGGGTCGAAGCTTCGCGGGTTCGAATCACAAAGTCGGAAGTACCATTTCGAGCCATGGATATTGTTTATATCGTATGTACACCAGATCTGTGCAAGATCAAATAGCATCGCATCGCATTTGGTGTAACTAACTATCAGTTACTAGTAGATAAACATGAGTATAGTGTTTGTACAACGAGGTCAGAAAAAAAGGTCAAAGGTGGCAAGTTGCCAGACTTCGTCTTAAAACGCCAATAAACAATTTAGTCATGACATGCAAATATTCCTTTCACAGATAGCAAAGAAACATCACATGATTCCGCTTCTACAAGGTGTCTGCAAAGTTGGGACTTTTCTTTTGACGGCGTTAGATCAAGGGTGAGAAGGTACGACAGGTCAAGGGTTGCCAGGCTTCGTCTAAAAAAACACCAATATAATTTAATTTAGTCATGCAATGCGGATTCCTTTTACAGACTGCAAAGAAACTCCACACGATTCCGTTTCTAAAGGGCTTCCGCAAAGGTGGGACTTTTCACGGCGTACAGAACTTGAAAAATAAGCGGTTTTTCCTAGCAGCAAAAAGCAAAAGTATTAGGCATCCGAGATATTAGGCTCCGCAAAATCAATCAAATCTGATTCGTAGCTCGATCAGATCACAAACTCAACCCAGCGCAGGAAGCTTAGGTAAACAATCGCTTAGAAACAACCAAAATGGCACACTCGTGCAGCAGTATCAAACTTGTCGACACGATTTTCATTTATGGTGAGTCTTCAAAATGCTCCCGAGGCTTCGCGAGTGTATGTGGATTGCTTTCTCAGATGTTATCATTCAGAGCCGCTTGGATTTATTTGCCTTGTGCAAAGGGCTAGGGATACAGGTCCTTATGCAGGAATATCGAGGTGGGCACAGTGTGAGACCTAGACAACCCCAAATGGTGCAAACTGCGGTAGGAGTATTGAATCTTGTATAAGAAAATCCTTCAACAAGCACCAGGAAAATGCAAATCTCCATGACTAAAGTGTGGTTCTCGCTGAAGCAACTGGCAGCTTTCTTTCAGGGTTTTGAATAAATCCACTATATACCTCCCAATAAGAAAGTGGGATGAAAATAGACTATATCAGTTCTCAAAATCTTTGAACAAATAAAACGTCGTAAAAGTGACGTTTCACAAATAAAATCTAGACAGATTAATCAATCAATATACGTATGTACAAAAAATCCTTGGAATACAACAAATACATGTGCTATGAACAATTTGTGAAAAGCAACACCCTCTTAGCAAACATATACTTCCTGTGTCTGATGTTCCCACGTACACTATTAGCTTGCGTGTCAGATTCTTGGTATCAACTATAACTATTCTGTAAGGTTTTCGACACTGCTGCCCCAACAAAATCTCTTCAAGAAACACAAACGATACAAAATTAATTTGATTATTTTTATCAGATTACGAACAAAAACTGGTCGTATTGCCGTCTCTTTGGAGTAAATACATCTGCCGAGTTGCCAGTTACTTCCGGTGTGAGTAGTTTATTGAGTATTATTTTTGCTATATAACCCTTTATCACAATTTCTGGAATTTTATTATGAACTCAAATAGCTTCACAACGTTTGATGGTAGGTATAAAATATATTATACAAAAGTTACTAAACATTTGATGAAAAAAAAAATAAATTCCATTTAAAAATCTAAAGTGTAACACGCAATATCTTATTTTTGGATCACCGTGGATTGTACGCCAATAGAAATGAAAATTGACGTGTCCGAGCGTTTTTCCAAAAATGTACCAGGAGAGTCACAAATGGGGGTGCGACCTTTTCGTTGGGCCACCCTGTACGTGAAATAAGAACCCAAGGTTCGTAGCGATTACATACATCCAAAAAAATAAATAAATTTGAGCGAATTTTATTTATTTTTAGTAGCAACATTGCGTAAAAATTTCATCAAAATCCAAGCGGCACTTCTCCAGTTTTGGGCGGTTGTAGAATTAGAGAACAGACAGACGTGTCATATAACATCCAAAAAGCATTATCATTTTCGAAAATTTTCTCCAATACTACCTCGCCGGAAGGCGCGGGAAGTAAAAATACACCACTGACGTTTCTAGAAATGTTTATTATTTGTATTTACAAACTGTAGCATTCTACAACATTTAAATTGTTAAATAAGTCAAAAACCATTAAGTCTTATGATGATTAAAACAATAATTATGTACATACATCAAATAATTTAGTAAATATTCGTGTGCATTATAAAAAAATACAATATATTCAGCAAGTACGAAAATATTTTAAAAAACTACATTTATCTAATTTTACTTCATGCTAATGAAAAAATTAAATATTTCAGCTTTTGTAAATAATGTAAATCAAATTAACATTATATTGTCCGTTTACAAAATACAATAGTTGTCAACTAGATAGAGCTTATGCACTGACTAAACATAATGTGAAAAAATATACAAACATATAATCTGGTGGCTACTTAGCATATAAATTACAATAAAGGACAGCATTGCACAAATATTCTTACAAGTCAAGCTGGAAACTATAGCTTAAAAACGATTTTCTACACCAGTTAGGTTCTTAGAAAATTGATAAAATTGTCTAAAATTATACATACAAAATACTGATATTTTATCCATATGATCATTATATCATGTTTATTGTTTTTCAATTCCCATTTTTTGGATTAGCTGACATGCTAAAATTAAATGAGGAGACGATGATAAAAAATTCTAAAAAATACTCATTTTTTGGATGCCTTTAATTCCAAATTTGTATGGGATGGTTGGAACCACTACCCAATTTTAATCTCGTTTTTTACTATATATAGTAGATATCGACATCTGTTAAATTGCTCGCGTCATATTTAGATACCTAAACAATATCTATAACTTCAGAGTGAAGAGTAAGCGCCTAAACTAAAAACCTAACTGTCAGATGACATGTCCGAACCGAACGAACGCGTTAAATACGAAAAGGAACCCTGTTGCGATCATCAAAGACCTAAATAAAGATAGATCTGTGATGCTAAAATATATGTGTGCACATATGAAGCACATCCTTTCTACACCGTCATTGGGAAGCCCATATTCCTAAGAGTATGCGATCAGCGACTGGAAAAAAGCTTCAACTATGTGTGAAAGAGAAGGATATAAAGAGAAGTGAAAGGCGTGTGTAAATGCACGGGTGAAGGCAAACAGATCTTTCTTTCGATATTCGTTCAATTTTTCTATCGCGCTTCTTTTGCTGTTAGCTTGTCTATCAGTTCTTGTAGTGGTGCTAGCTCTCTTCTTTCTATGAGGCTAAATTCCTGAAAAAAGATATGACTTCCTAATCAACGACAAAGACGATTAATAAAACATCTAGCAGTCACGAGAAAATTATTTTTTCTAGACTTTTTCAATTTTACGACTCTCGGACTAGATTTTTTAAGGACATAGGTAACAGAACATGCAGTTCGTACCTTACCTGAACAAAAAATATAAAATGCTTAAAGGAAGTATTGAGATGTGCTTCTTCTCCTAGATGTACGACCTCACTAAAATGTTGGTGGTAGATGTGAGCATATACTCTGAATAACCTCTTCAAAATAGTCTTTGCTATTGATTGGAAGTTCTTTGGAAACGGCACACCTGCAAATTACCCTGTTATGATTTTCTGTAACTGAATAATTTAATATGTATATAACTGATTGTGTAAGAGGCGTCACAAGTCTTGGAACATTTACCGTATTTATCAAGAGTTCATGTGTCCAATTATTTGGCAATTCCCCTTTTCTAATTATAAAGAGATGGATGATTTATTGCATGTAAAAGTATGTGTCGAATTATTTGGCAATTCTTTTTTACTAATAATGAAGAAATTTAGAAAAAACAATGAATTACCATTTCAAGCTCAATTTCATATTACATTAATGAGTACTTAGTCTGTTAGCCTCAATTACACCTATCTAGGAAAACATAATTTCACCAGGTGAAAGTATGATTCCCCTGCTGTGATGTAATCAACTAACAGAGCAGAAAAAATTAATTGTTTACGATCAAGCGTGTTTTCCGTTGCAGCTCTAGTATAATCTGTAAGTAGCAGGAATATACAGAGGTTGCAAAATACAATTGTGAATATATCTGATACATCCAAAATAATGCAGCAGACGTCATGATTGCCAATTCCACTTGTCACATTTATTGTGGCAGCAAAGTTAAAAAGAACTAAGGTTGAAATTATCCTGTGGCGAGCCTAATCATAATACATACCTATTTTTGATGGGAATAAAGTTTCATCGTCTAGCTGATCCTGCACCCAAGTCATAAGATAATCTATGTATTTGGGTGCCGAGCACTTGATAGGTTTCTTGACTGTGTGTCCATCTGCCCAGTGATATTCATATTTGGGGCCCGCCGACATTATCGGACAACTGTCTTCCGTACAAAATTCAGTAATGGTCCCATACAGCATATTGATTTGATTGAAAAAATCTACAGCTGAAGGGAATTAAAAAAAATGTTGAGGTAGAGAATAGAATATTTGATACACATATAGATGAGATGCTATGAGTAGCAAGATATGGAATAGATGTCAGTCAGCTGAATGAAGATGAATCAAGAAAGTATTATAATTTTCAATAAAATATCACATATGTATGGCAATTAATATAAAAAATATTAAGTAGGATTAAAAAGCTATCAATTCATAAAATAAACCAATAGTTACTAAACTATTTTGGCTCAAATATTAGAGCCAAATTCTGTATAACATGTATGGCAATTTATAAATATATATTTTCAACTGTGAAAATCATAATGAGGTGATTGTGTCCAAAAGATACCATTTATGGATGTATTTATGACCATTGTGTTGGTGATTGCTTATTACAATCATAAATCCAAATAACTGTACTGCTTACTGCATACCAGATGACTCAACACATTGTTTTTTAATAGCACTTAGGATAAGCAAACTACGTTTTATTTGTTTCACATCAAATTAGATAACATTGCACATTAAAAGAATCCTACTGGAATTTTGTTTTCAGTTTTTGATAAAACCGGGTTCCGTTTTTTTTTTGTTTAATGTATTTGTTTTGTAATTATCTTGTGCTCATCAAAATACCATTTTTTCCATCCAGGTAATCAATTGGCTAAAGATTATGTATCTTGGATGTTGCTGCTTCAAGTGACTTATTCATCAGGCAAAAGAAAACCCTACATGATATTTGCAAATAACTGTATTTACACATTTAGAAGGCATTGAATTAATGAATCTCATATAAAGTACATTTCCACAATTCTTATATTTTAGATTGAAGAGCAAAACCCACATGGTAGATACTTCAATAGAATTATTTGATAAGAAACATTAAAAATATGATAAATTGTAATTATTATTTGAAATTAAAATTTACTCATATTTAAGATGTGTCCCTTCTTGTTAGAAACAATTGGAAAAATTTCAAACAAGCAATAATTATCATGGAGAGCTGTTAAGATCACTATTCTATCTTTTTGGAATAACAATCTCACACTGAGCTCAATATTTTTATTTATAGGTGAAGCGGCATTAAAACAATATAATATGAGCACCTTCCCATTTCAGTTGGCCCAACTATTGAAATCTTAGGTTTTTTCTTATCAAACACAAATAATAAAAATGCAGCAGGTTGTTATAGGTTTATAATATTAACAATGAATATTTTGATAATATATAGTAGAAAACACCAACTTTATCACTCCCTAATCAAATTTGCAGCATAAAAATAACACATGTTGCAATTACAGCATATCAACCTATTTTCATTTCAATGCAAAATAAGTCTATAACACATAGGTGGTTGTGAAAAATAAAAGCCATGACAATTGTTTTTATTAATCACAGCTGTCAGAATACGTTTATAATAGTTTTGGGTAGTTAAGGTTTTCAAAATGGGTAGAGGAAAGGTTATTAGTGAGAAAATTCGGTTACTGATAATTAAATTTTTTAATTCTGGGAAATCAAACTCAGAAATTGCAACTTTGTTAGACTTATGCCAAAACTTGGTTAACACTATGCCCCAAAGAATTTCAGCCCTAATAAAAAATAAAGGTAATGTTACCCAATGGTAATCTTTCAATTGTTGCTTTGTTAACTAAGTGATTTCAAATGTATTTTTTACGACTAGAGTGTATCTAAAATGTTTTTGAGAAAATAAATTGTTTTAGAAGTAAATAGTTTCGTCATGTTTAGTTTATAAAGGCATATTTTGGTACAAATCTTGAAGTGGGCCAACTGAAGTGGGAAGGGGCTCGTAGACCATGTCATGATATCTGAAATTTATTCTGTGGTTCCCATACTGATAAAACTCCATTAAATCAAACCACATTTGCAGGAATTACACTTTACTAAGGTGCTACCACTTCAATGGGCATTTTCAATTTGTACTTTGGAGAAGACCATCAATAGTAATTGTTGCATAATGTGCTTAGACAAAGTGAATATGTTTATATGGCAATCTACCAGTTGTTATAAAGAGATTCATAAATAAAACCATACAAAGAAAACTTTCAAACTTGTGATGTCAAATGAAAGTGACATATTGATCTGAAACTTTCTTCATTAACTGACTGATAACTCTGGACTTTTGGCAAAAATAATTTGCAAAAATTGGATGGTTTATGGACAGCAATGAAAAACTGGTAGATAATGCTGAACATATTTAAATTTGGACTATTAACAAGAAATGACATAAAGCAAGTTTTTTCAAATAATGCATAATGATTCCTCTAAAAATTAGGGTGGGAATATAGCTAATGTAAAGGGAGTGCCAAAGAACAGAAATTAAACAGGCATATTGACTATTTGATTATTTCTACAACTTGAAAATAGTAGGTATTCTGTGCTGAAAATGGCATTTCCACATTGAAGATATGCAAAGTTAGCACATTTCCAATTTTCCAAACACTTTTTTCTTTTTTGAAATTCTTCATTGCAGCTTACCCTGATGCAAGATATTGCATGGAAAATTCATTATCAAAGCTATATGGTAACAAAACAAAGGAAGCAAAAAGCCAAAGAGAAGGTAGAACTCATGAAAATTGGTGGTGGCTTTCACAGATAATTATGAAAGAAAAAGTTTTGTAAAAATTGAAAATGCACATAACTTCAATGTTGAAGACATTCTTAATGGTTTATAGAAAACAATAAAAGGAAAATATACAAAAGACAATTTTGTTTAGACATTGAAATATTATTCAGAGTTCAAAGAAAGTGATCATTTCTTTTTGAACATCGATTTTGATTGTTTTGTAGGCATTTCAATATAATGTGTTTCAATTAAATAACTAAGTGCTTGCTAACTTACATTTTCTGGAAGCAGTGGCTTTGATTGATTCATTTCCCTGGCACTTGTTGCAAAAGTTACTACTTTTCTGGTTTCTAATTGTAATCATGAACTATGGTAGACTTTTTTGTTGGTCTTTTCAATGACAACTCTGCTTCTTACAAGAAGAAACCCCAGCAGATCAATTTCTTTGAAATAATAAATTGGGTTCACTATGAATGGACTGGGGCAAATTACATTTCAACAATCCCCAAAATTTTGTGAAACATTATTGCGACAGGAAAATCAATAAGCCCCAACATCAAATGACTAGTTAACATCAACTAATAAAGTATCTGTAAAGTTGTTGGTGCATTTGGCCATTATAGAACGTGTAGTGGATGGATGACAATATGTATTGCTATGTAAGGCTATGCATAAATCCACTGATACTGACATCCATTCATACATACCAATGGTATGGATCACAATACTGAAAGTATAGCATTCACTTTTTAATATGGTGCAGAAAAATATGTGAATAACTTACTGTTCACAGCCACCCATTCATTCAAGTCTTCCCCTTCGGGGAGCATCACAGCAAGTCGCAAGTTACCTGAGCCCAATGTAGCTGCCGCATGTTTCATCAACTCATACTGGTGTGTACCTTCTGGTATGTTCTTTTTTGGTTTGAACGTCTTCGACGAACGGCTTCCACTTGTAATTATAAACAAAATTGGTAATCTTTCGCTGGTAAAAATAGATCAATGTCTGACGTCTAGACACTTTGTACTTACAATAGGAAGCTCATCTTTCGAGGATAACAGCGAAGGTGTGTTACAAAACGAACTGCACAACAGACAATGCACTTTTTATAAAGTGAAAACAGCGAGTTATACAACAATAAATCTTGTCAATGACCTTAAAAATGTAGTTTACTCAACCCAACTCGGCAGCGCAATCCCCAAAAGTAAAATAAAAAAATGACAGATGGACGAACCTCAAAATCAAATCAATACCATAATTAAAAAAATTAAATCACTATACGGATACGAGGGGGTTATCAAATCTTCTAAAACGATCAAAAGTAATTTCTTATTTGCAAGCTAAAGCAAGAGAATTGCAACCCGATATTCATAAAAACTATAATCGTTGTTTCAAACGTAAATGACAGTGACATCACTAATCAGCTGGGTAACTATTGATCGATTTAATTGGCAAATGCCGTCTAGGGTTTTCACTTGATATGATTGGCAGCTCTGCAGAACCGCTCTCGTTCCAAATGAAACGTCAGAATTTGACGTTCATGTCAAGTGAATGGACAAAAAACACCTGATTTCCGAATACATTACAAATTGTATATTTTGAATATAATCACATATTTGTGATAAGCTTAAGTTAAATTATAGTGTAATGGCGACAAAGGTTGTAGCTACAGCAACAGTTAGAGCTGTTAAAAAACGACTGTTACCTACAAGAGCAGCTCTAACACTGGTAAATAGTTACATTATATAACCTTAAAACAACCCTTAAATTTAATTTTTTCAGACACCCTCTGCCGTAATTAGGATAAAAAGCTTACTGCAAGACAGAGAAGAATGTGTAGGTTACTATATACAATTTTTCATAAGCTGTCTTTCTGATCACTATTTGTTGGCTGTAAAAATAGATCTGTATACATCTATAGCATTTAATTTTTCATTGTACCTACTGCTATATAGGTATTCTAGAAGTCAATAAGTAAATGAAACAAATTTTCATTTTGTATTGTGAGGATACTTATGATCTTGATTTTTTACAGATAGGACTTCGGATTGGGGTTAGGCAGAGAGGCTGTAATGGCTTATCATACACCTTAGATTATGCAAAAAATAAAGGTAAACATTCTTCATAGTGACACAAAAATAGTACTTTTAAGTCCAATATGGACCTGTAGTCCAATAGAAGTTTATCCTTGTACATATTGGCAATATTTTATCCATTTCTATAATCACTTATTGGGGTGAATGATAAGACCATCTTAAATTGTAAAGGGCATTAAGGAAGTTTGGGGACTGTGGCTAAAGGAGCCCTACTTTGCTTTTGGCAAAAATTGAAGAGCAGGCAGGTACCCAGACATTATTTTGGAAAGTTTGTTTTTTTGGCATTTGGAGGCCCCTTGCTAAGCTGAGGCCATGTGTGCCCAGAGGACAAAACAAAATGAGTGACTAAAGACATTGTTGAGAGAAATTTTTTAAATTAATTAAAAAATTAATTTAAATTTTATAGAAGCTTTTGTTTTATAGTATACTACAATAATACATAAATATTACAAAATGTAATATGTTTTTCAAAGTTCTTGACGAGAAATTCTTTATTTTACAGAAAAGCTGGATGAAGAGGTAGTTCAAGATGGAGTAAGAGTATTTATTGATAAAAAAGCCCAACTAACCCTCTTAGGCACAGAAATGGATTTTGTAGAAAATAAACTTAGTTCAGAATTTGTGTTCAACAATCCCAACATAAAAGGGACTTGTGGCTGTGGAGAATCATTTAGTGTGTGAAAAGATCTCACTATGCCGTTTTAGTAGAATTGTACAGATATTTATTGTTTTTATTATAAAATAAAAAGATATATAATACAAATATAAAAAATGGCATATATTTCAGCAAATTAGGTACACCATAGAAATAAACAAATTCAAATAGGTTTTGTCGGTTTTAAAAGTCTAATATCCCATTGCTTTTGCTGGTCAAAGTAGTTTTGGTTGGTTTTTCAGAGCTGTTAGGTCTAATATTCTATTTTCTTTTTGCTGTGGAGCAGTCTGACTAGGCCTGCTATCATTATCTGAAAAATAAGATCAGCGTTAAGGTATGATAAATTAACACTGAAAGAAAATGCTAGGCTAGGTATATCACAATATTCTACATTTGAAAACATCATTTTTATATTCCATTATGTAAAATGTACAGATATTCGAAATTTTTGTACAGTAAATGTAGAAATTATTAATGTAGATGCTATTTTCTCAAAATTATACAAATAAATTTTTTTTTATTCATCAGTATTCATAGTGATAGGGACTCTATGAAAAATAGGAGAGTTAATCTGTTGGCTCCTGACAAAGTAGGTACCTAGTGATATTATGCATAAAATGAAAATTATTACTCACCTGTGTTTGGAATGATATTATATTTCTTCAAATATTCTATGCTAGCCATAGAAAATTGTGGAGGTACATTACAACCAACAGCGTTCTTCTCCATAACTGGTTCATTAGTTGGCTTTTTAATTTGAGCTAATTTTGCTAGTTCTTCATCTGGGAGATATTTCATCAGTAACTGTTTCACAGCAAAGCTTACTTCTGTTGGTGAATAACTACTATTGGCAGCGCTACAAAAAAACCAATGTTTAGGTAAAAATACTCAATATATTTTAAAATCCTTATTGAATTGAACACACACTTTTTTCTAGATTGATAGCAACTTCTAATAACCAATCATAATTTAATAGTAAAAATAATTTTGCACCAGATTTTGACTCACCTAAATGAACTACTACTAGATGCATCATCATCATTATCAATAGTAACACCAATATTTTTCAAATGCTTCAGGGTAGCTTCCTTTATTCTGTGCATTGTCTTGTCATTTTTTTCACTTATTCTTTTTCCCTCGATAGCATTGTCCTTTGTTTTCTGTTGAGCCCTCTTTAAAATATTATTAACTTGTCCCTACAATTCAACTCTTGCTAAGATTTTTTGTAACTAAGACAACTGTGATTCAACTTACCATCAAATTCTTGTAAAATGTAGCTCCTATATCTGGAGTACCATCTTCACTGAAAAATCAAAATGTTGATCTATTGAAAGAATAAATGAATAATGTAGACTTACTCTGAACTATCATACCCTTGCATTTCAATATTCACTGTGGGTTCAGGACTAGGACAATCTTCAGGAACACTGAGAGGTCCTTCCAATCTCAGAGAGGGTTCCACAGGTTCAGAGGTACTTTCCGACTCTGTAATCTCTTGGATTTTAGAAAATTGATTCTTGTTATTCTGGGAAGGTCTGATGGCCACCTCAAAGCTGGTCATCATGTCAATAGAAAATTTAGATAGGCCTCTCTTCTTGGATGGAGTATACACGTGCTGGTGAAAGTGTTCAGTTTGCGTACTGGACATAATCTTTTCACCTACAACATTTTTAGAACTAAAAAGCATGGACACAATTTATATTGTTTAGAATGCCTTAAATATGTTTCAAGATCTATTTAGAAAATGAATTTGACAATGTTTTGACAAGTATTTTAATATATAAGGTTTGTATACCTATGACTTGTGGCCTATTTGGGGGAGCCATAATTGACTTTGCATTTGATTGTTCTCTTGATAATAACATAGTCACTTGTTTTTGAAGAAGTAAAAGTTGTTCATTCTGTTGAGCAATTATTTTTAACAGGTCTTTGTTGGTTGGCTCATCTGAAGATGGTGGAGAAATCTGTATCTGTCCTGATTGATCATTCTCACTGTTGATGATGTTTTTCTTTTGATCACTGCACATTTTCTGCTCACCATGTGAGCACTTGCAATGAGATAAAATTGGTTCATCCTAAAAATGGCAACAATAATGTTCGTACTATATTAAGGATGCACTAGCTTGATTACAATTGGGGAAACTATTATTTAAAAAGAAATAATATTATTTTATGAGTAAAAAATGGTACCCAATGAATGCTTAGAGATCTTCAAGTCGAGGCACCTAGTTGCAATACCAAAAATTAATGATTTTGACTTTAATAGGGATTGAAATAATATATTGCCAGTTACAATTTTGCAGCCTGGATATTCAAAAATAGTTGAATCATCTATTTGTTATCACATACCTTTGTTTTATAGAGTTTATGATTAAAATCATAATCCTGAGAGTTTGGCCGTCTTGGAGCTGGTTCCTTAAAAAATGGCTCATTGTCTGGAATATGTGGTTGGATATGGTCTACAATCTTTGGCCTATCTTCACTATTAGATGTGAAATATTTGTCATATTTCTTCTCGAGTACTGGAGAAGGGATCTTCATTGGGCTTCTTTTATAATTATATAGGTCGGTCACACTGTTATCACTTCCAATCTTTTTATTTTCCACTACTCTCTTCTGTTTTTCTAAAAACTCTTGGTAAGTTTTGGGTAATTTATCAGTCTTTTTAATATCATCTTCAGTAGCTTGAGATTTGTCGTTGCTTAAACATTTATTTTCCTGGTTTCTGTCTTCTACCAACACTGTGCCTAAGGTTATATCTCTACTAGCTAGATTGGCAACCTGTGTTTTGTTGAAATTATTTTTTGGCAAATCAACTAGGCTCAAGTCTAGTTGTCTGTTAGGTATATTGGCCATATATATCTGTTCGAATGTATTTGCAGGTTGCCTATGTATTTTATGATCTGTATCGCTAGGGTCCATATTTTCTTTTCCAATTTTATGCATCTTCGTATTAGAAGAAACTACTGGGTGAGGATGTGAGATAGGACCTTCAAATCGAACTTGTTTCTTCAAAATGATAGAACTTTCCATGCTGTTCATATTAAAGTTTTTAGATATGTTAACCTTAGAAGATGCTGTGTAATGTCCAGTTTGGACCTGCTGCATTTTCCAGGCATTATAATTCATCTGTCCCTGTCCATCTGGAGGACAGAATAAAGACACTTCTGGAACAGCAGGGGCAGCTAAAAACTAACAAAACATCTTTTGATTGATCATGTTTCAAAGTTGAAATAATTTTTAATATCTGCACATTGGTTTTGAATGATTCAAATGAAGCATAATATTAACTGATTATCTTCAGGTTCAACTAGCCAGAAGAATCCTGATATCCAAAAATTTTACAATCATACCTTTTCGACTGGTGTCGGTGCCGGAGCACGTCTAGGCATATCATAGAAAGAATCCATTTCATCAAGCGTTATACTAAAGTGAATACAGTTTCTTGCGTATGACTAAGAATATTTCATTCAGTTCCAGCTGAAAATTCGTATTTTCTATTTCAAATATCTATCCGACCACATCATGTAACGTTCGTTTTTTGATTTTCAGTTTTTCGGTTTTTGACACCACATTTGACACACTGTACATGACGTTTGAGTCATGGGATTTTACCAGGTTGACCAACATAATAAGCATGGAACAGTTAAAAGCTGATTATCCAGCTTAGGAATGAAACGGATGTCAGTGTTTAAAGTCAAACAGATGATCTTTATGCGTTCCGGGTTCGAATTTATTATCATTGTTGATGGTGCCGGGACAAAAGTCTTTTCGTTCCCATCTGTAAGCATTTGGGTAACCAGCAGTCCAGTTCTACACACTCTCTCAAGTGTGTGTTCTGTGATTGTTCTGTTGCTTGTGTTCCATGAATCCTGATTCGAACACCTCCTGCCTGTTTCTGTTATCCTGATACAAAAGAGGAAGATTTCTTAAACCAAACCGGACAAACAAACGGCGACTTGCGGACAACGCAGTGAGTGTGCGTGCGTGCGGTGTGCGATGAAGGGCTCGCTGATGCCGTCCAAACAAAGTTGCTTTTATTGATCTTAGACATGTATGTAAGTAGCTCAACAAATATTTTATTGAAACTGGATACATGCTGCAGTGCAGAGCCCTTCTGAAACCGAATTTCCTTGTGACAACTGAAGACCGAGCGGGGGCTAGGATACCTCTAGGGGGGCGCATATCTCCAGGATTTAGGTCTAACATGGTAAGTTCAACAAGGTAAGAACAGCAACTTGTAGCGTTTTATTGAGATAAAAAATGCCAGCCCCTGTCCCCTTATTGTGGTCGCATAGGGTTAAGACGGAATAGATTACCTTGCCGCCTCTCTATCTCTACCAGGTTTTTGTCATAGACGACAAACCTCATGCAACCCCTAGAATTTGTAACATTCATCGTTTCCTTTTGCTGATTCATATCTTCACTATATTGCCAGAAAATTATTGAGAAGTGGCAAAGCTTGCTTTCCACAATTCAAACGCAAAATTTCGCGCCAATGCCGTGTAAAGTGATAGTAAGTTGTCTGCAATGTGTACACACATACACTTTTGAGATTTTCTCATCAGAAGGGCTTTAAAATCAGATCCGGAATGAAAGTAAAATCCTACTGGTTGGTTCCTTTGGTAGCGCGGAGCTTTGAATGGGCCGAATTGTAGGAATTTTAAATAGGTTTTTCTATCTGAATTATCCTAGGAAAATGGATATAAACAAGTTTTGTTTAAGTAATAAATAATTAGCTGTCAATTTCAGACGTCATTTTTTTTCTTTCTTAGGCCAGTGGTCACGTTTTCACCCTGACTAACCAAGGGCTTATAGCAGGTGTCTAGGCATGATGAACATGACACTCGCGTCAGTTGTGTATATGATTTTTGGTGTCAGTGTCAAGCCATATTCTGCCCTCATAAGCTTGAAGGTGTTCAAATATGAGGGTTTAGCTTCTGGGGGCGGATTTACGTTCGTGTGCCAGCTGCCTGCCCAAAATCTGTTGCTACGCCACTGGGTAGCAATCAAGCACCCTTCCTGACAAGCTGTTTCTTCATTTGAAAATTCAAATCATTAAAGTCAAAAAAAGAGTGGGAAGAAGAACAAACGAAATTCATAGTGCTCGGGGTCACTCATGCCGTGGACAGCTGTCAGCCGTCTATCATCTGCAGCAGAGTTACGTCACAAACCGGTTCTCGGTGCAAGGGAAGCAGAATGCAGTAGGAGGTGCGCAACCCTTCGAAGCCGTGCGATGTCCTGTATACACGGGGGTGATTCCAGGGGTGGAGATCTGGGGGTTGAACATTGAGTCTCAGCAGTCGGATAAAGTTTAGATGACTCGAAATTACATTTTCGCTAAGCGTAACATTGTTTGAAAGATCTTTTGTTTACAGCCTATAATTGGTCACTGGCAGCGAAGCCTTTTCGGTGTCAAATGTCAAAATATCAATCTGTTATTGGTTTTTCAGCTTGATCATCTTTGTTTTTTCTTTTTCTTCTTTCGTTTACTTCTTCTGCATTTTTCCACTAACAATATTGGTAGATCTTAGGTATTCCAGGCTGTTAGGAATTGATGTGTCGTACGAGTACGTGAGTTTGATCTGGTGAATTTGGAAAACACCAATGCTTCGAGTAGTATGTCCCAAATCCACCAAACTAACGTTCTCAACTAGTATAAATATGTAATCTCAAACGGTGTGAGCTCTCGCTTTATATGACTAAGTGAAGCCATTTATATAAGTTTTTCAGCTATCAATTAAGCTACAGTAGCAGTGGGGGCAGGTACAATGGCAACAGAAATCAATACCAAAATACTGACAGCGAAAATGAGAGCGCATTCAATAGTAAAAACTTTTGACATATCAGAGCAATTAAAATTACAATGTACAGGTCAATATGAGCTCAGACAATCTAGCGTCAAACCTCAAGCAAATCAACTTGAATCAATACAAGGATGAGCCTAAGGCCTCAATATAATCAGCGCAAAAAAACCGCATAGGGATATATCTACTTCTGAGTAATATACAAAGTTAGTAAAATTTTTGAGATTCATAAAAAATGCAATCTATGATAAATGGACGAAACATTTAGAAAGCCTAAAGAATGTACAATTGTGTAGTGAAAGACCAGTGAAGCTCATGGAAAAAAACTATACAAATGCCTTTCAGAATATGCGACACCTATTGAACACACAGATTTACATAATTTCTTTTATATACCGAAGCAGCGGATTAGACACTTATAGGTTAATCCGGTTTTTGAACTGCCTAAGGTTAGTAAAACTGGGAAAAGCGTCCTCAGGACTCAGGACAAAGTAGTAAGTAGCATAGGGCCCCACAAATCCTGGATCCGCCACTGCTAGCCATCCGAACTGGCTCATAAAATCAATCCTCTAATAAAATTTATCTCTCTAACAATCCCACCAGATCACTTTCCAGGTAGCAGACAACCGTAAATGCACGCGTACTCTTTCGTTTCAAGGCGCATTCCTACCTTAACTTCTGCGCTCCTGATTAAAATATACCTAATAATTCCAAAGACAATATATATTTCTTCTCATTTTTCAGTTTGTTTGATGCTGTAACTGGCGCGATATCAAACAACATACAAAATGCATATTTGAAGTATATTACTTACATACTTCCTTTACCTAGAAAATAGCCAAAGGATTTTTGTAACTTGTATTTAAAAAGTACTCTTGTGGATATTACAAAAATATTTCTGGTATTCAGATTACATCCCGAATATGCAAATGTTCACCAGTTTTCAGTAGGAGAACAGAATGGTGGAGGGAGCTACAGGAAACAGTGTCCGTGGACTTTTTCCGGAATAAAAATCGGTAAATTCATATCTCTTTGAAAAAAGAATAAAAAAAGCCTCCCCTATTTATACAGTCAATATCAGATGGCTCACAGTACGCAGACATACGAAATTTTCGGTTTTAACGTTCATGAAACTGCAATGCTGAACGCGGCTGCCAAGCAGTCTGTTATTATTCTAATTACGTTACGTATTCTTAATAATTCATTGTTTCAATAAAATTATGATCTGGCATTTTCCGTGAACTACTTGAGCGGCTAAGACGATCCTATGGATTTTATTCCTTCAAAAAATGGTCTTATGAGTGGAATTTTCCCATTTTTTCGTTGAAAATGTGGATTTACTGATAAAATTTTACTAGATTCCTATAAAATATCGCCTAGCTCCAACAGCTTTGCCACCATTCTGCTATCCTGATACGTTATATAAAAATTTTCTGGAAAAAGCTCGAAAACTGAATTCTGAATTTGTGGAAACGGGGGTAATTTTAATAAAATAACTAATAAATTCCGTGTACTATGGAATAACTATCTATATTCAATACGTGGGCGATATGTATGTTACATGAAACTTGTGGGTATGTATGGAACGTTTATTCAGAGAAAGCGAGTTAGAACGAAACGGCACCTGCGCTGGAACGAAACAGAGAATCGAGTATTGAACACCGGCAGCGCGCTAAGGCGTCCCATACAGTATAATTCTTTACACAGACGTCACGCTGTGAATGTTGATAAAACGTTCATTTAAACACATCTTTCTGAATAGGGATTTGACTTAGCTGTCATATAACTTCGCTCCCTAAGTTTTATCGAACTTATGAAAAAAATGAATCTAAAATATGATGACCTGGGATTTTGTAATAAAACATAAGTACTTATTATTCTGGTACAGATTCATAAATCATGGAACCGATTCCGGATACTAGCTCCCCCGTTTTGAAGATTTGGTAATTCTTATACCCGATTCGTGATCAGCCACCTGAAAAACCGCGTCTTAAAAAACGGTTGATAGTATCGAAATCAAACACGAATAGTTCTCTTGAAATAAACGGATGTAGCATTAGTTTGATGTAAATGGAACAGTTAACACTGTCGAGGCTTGTTTCAATTTCCAAAAATATTATTTTGTAGTCGTTATTATGCAAAGGTGTAAAATAATCAGCAATATATTGCGTTTATGGTTAGTCTGTCTCTAGCGAACTAAACGAGTTAATAGTTTTCTTGGATTATATCGTCGCCAAAGACCTAACACAGCGGATCTCAACACTTAGGGATTTTTAAAAGAGCAAGAAAAACGGTGGATCTTTGGATTCCCTATCGAATGACACTTGTTATATGATGTTAAAACTTAAGCGCCGATATGTGAAGGTAATTCAGGAAAAACCTATTTCCAATGACGTCTCCTTCAGGGGGCTGTTTTTCCGGAATCAAGAGGTGCTTCGCAAATTGAAAGGGTTGAATACAATAGTTTCAAAACAGTCCCAAGAGTCACCCATTGAATTCTTGCCCCATGTTTGGGAAACACCCTGTACATGACTAAAGTAAGACAATACCATCATGCTACGTTATAAATAAAAAGTGTCAAAAATATAAAATCAGTATATATTATATACTAAGTGACATATAATTCCGAACACCCAGTTTAAATGGTTTTATTTTAATAAAATTTTGTATAAGTACTTAATGAAGCATAATAAGTAAACGATAAAAATTTCAAAATGATTGCACTGCTTTAAAGTCCTTTGACCTTTAATAATGTGTGGATGCACCCTGATGTGCTACGCATTCTCCAACGCGCCTAGGCATGCTTCTGATCAGGTGGTCAATGTCCTCCTGTGGTATCTCATTCCAGGCAACCACCAACTCCTCTCGAAGTGCTTCTAGAGTCTGAGGAGGACGTTGCAAATTGAGCAATCTCCTACCCATCATATCCCACACGTGCTCAATTGGGGATAAGTCGGGAGATCTTGGTGGCCATGGTAACAATGTGACATCATTATGTTGAAAGAAGTCTATCGTGACTCTTGCAACATGTGGTCGGGCATTATCTTGTTGGAAAGTTGGAACTGCCAGGGTGTCAAGATAGGGTAAAAGATGGGGTTCTAGAACTTCGTGGATATAACGCTGCGCGTTCATGTTACCTCTGATGAAGGTTAAAGGTGACCTGGTACCATAAGCTATAGCACCCCAAACCATAACTCCAACAGTGTGATGAACATGTCTTTCAACAAAAAACTGTGGATTCCTCCTTTCACCACGTCGCCTTCTAACCCTGGCACGACCATCGTGCATGCCTAAACAAAATCGAGACTCGTCACTAAAGACAATACTGTTCCATTCCTGATCCCAGAGTGACCGTAAGGGTTAGAAGGCGACGTGGTGAAAGGAGGAATCCACAGTTTTTTGTTGAAAGACATGTTCATCACACTGTTGGAGTTATGGTTTGGGGTGCTATAGCTTATGGTTCCAGGTCACCTTTAATCTTCATCAGAGGTAACATGAACGCGCAGCGTTATATCCACGAAGTTCTAGAACACCATCTTTTACCCTATCTTGACACCCTGGCAGATCCAACCTTCCAACAAGATAATGCCCGACCACATGTTGCAAGAGTCACAATAGACTTCTTTCAACATAATGATGTCACATTGTTACCATGGCCACCAAGATCTCCCGACTTAACCCCAATTGAGCACGTGTGGGATATGATGGGTAGGAGATTGCTCAATTTGCAACGTCCTCCTCAGACTCTAGAAGCACTTCGAGAGGAGTTGGTGGTTGCCTGGAATGAGATACCACAGGAGGACATTGACCACCTGATCAGAAGCATGCCTAGGCGCGTTGGAGAATGTGTAGCACATCAGGGTGCATCCACACATTATTAAAGGTCAAAGGACTTTAAAGCAGTGCAATCATTTTGAATTTTTTATCATTTACTTATTATGCTTCATTAAGTACTTATACAAAATTTTATTAAAATAAAACCATTTAAACTGGGTGTTCGGATTTATATGTCACTTAGTATATTTATCAATGAGATTCGAAAGTCTAAAATATTAATGTTCAAACTTGATTCACCCAGGAAGCGGGCGTCATGACCCCCATGGTCCCCTACCTAAATCAGAGAATCAAAATTAGGGCATTTTGACAAAACCTTTACAGAAATCAAATCTTTTTGGACCGTACCAAAATTTTTCGAGTAATTTTAATAATGCCTAATCACTTTCTATCCCAAAATATTCACTTCTTTCTCTTTCTTCTCCCCTGTCTTTATTTTATTTTTTCTTTCATTTTTTCCTTAACATTGTCCGGATTCTTGACTTCCCATACCCGTCTTACATTGACAACAACTTCAAGGATCCCTGCATGGATCGAGCTCATGGACAAATTTCAAAAGTGTAAAACATGCATTTGACTACAAATAAATCCATGAAATTCTTCGTGGATTTCTTCACGAATTTATAACTTGTTCTAATTTTTTGTCAAGCTGGTCGTCAAATTACATGGTATCAACCTTGTTTTCCTTTCCATTATATTGAACAGCTTTTCATCTCAAGAATAGAACTTTGATAGAACTACAGTATTCAACAATATTCTTTCTACCTATGAGATTCGTCTCAAAATCAAAACCACAATCCACATAAAAGCTCAAAATGTTTCTAGCAAGAATTTGTTGCGTGGTTGCAGCACTGTGTACTGGCAAATATAATCAACATAATCTGACCTTCAAGAAATTCATCTGAATAAGTGAAGAAAGTGTTGATGTGAAACGGGTAACTTACGACCAATAGTTTGACATAAGAGCTAAATACTTGCTTTGTGACTGCCCATATTGGCGTCCTATCCATTCTGGAGGAACGTTGGTCTTCTATGGCTCATGTGAGAGGAACCCCACTGGGTGGTATCACCACATTTTTCAATAGTTTTGGGTGGTTGATGACTTATACCGAAGTGAAGCCCAATAAGGCTAAGTTTATTCGTGGGGTTTCTTACGCTCCAATCTTCTATCTTTTCGCGAAAGTCAAGTTGACTCTGGATCATATTCATCTATAGGACCAAAAATCTGAAAGATACTCTTCTCTTATCATTGGGCACCCGATTGTCAGGAATATTTAGAGAAATGTTTCAACACCTCAATCAGCGTTGATACTCAATCCGTTCTTACTTGTTTTAATAGATACTAAATTTGTTTGCGCCCAAGGCTATCACAAGGGTAGGTTTATGTCACAATGAAACAAAAATAGTACACTATTTTCTATTTTATCTCGATTTTTGGTGTCAACTATATAAAAACAATAAATATTACAACTGGCCCTAGCTTAACGATCTTACAGAACTGTTACTAAATCTATTAAATATTTAAATGCAATGATAGTACGCTAGTAGTAAACTGTTCAACGAATTCATGATTTGCTAAATTCTAATACTATTTTAAATCACATCAAAACATATATTTGCATACAAAACATAACAGGGCGCATAACAAGCTTTCAACCATTACAACATACTATATGTGTTCTTATAAAAAATAGCAAGACAGGAATTGTCTCACAGATATCAATGAGCGCTAACGTAAAGTGGTCCAACGATGCAGCGCTTTGATACTGAATAGCAGTAGACGTGTAATAGCTTTGACTGTTCGCAACATTAAGTCGTCAAACTGTCAAGTGAAAACTGCTGCAAAAAAATACATCGCACGCTACTGTAGTTGCGGTGTCCCTTTGATATCACAAAGTCGGAGCCTGAGTTTTCTGCCGGATTGAAGAAGATGCCGCGCTGGCCAGTGGCGTGCGATTGTTCCGCTGCCCTCTTCCTTTTGGTAATCGAGTATACTGCCATTCAGCACAAAAGTGCAACGCTGCTGGGTCGCTTTACGGTGGCTAAACGCTCTCATTGACCTAAATGACAAATTAGGTTAACATTTACGTATGCGGTATTTGTGATTGCCATTTCTTTAATAGCTTGCCACCAGCATGGTACATGGCTGTTAAAACTCCAAGATATCATGGATTTAATATCACAATGTTCTTTAGTTCACTTAAAAGGTAATAGTAACTCGTTAAAATCTAGTATCGTCGGGCATCCTTTCAAAGTATGCTATTTCGTTTTCTTCGACCCTGTAGTCGTGTAACCATCTGTTTCCTTTTCTCAAACTGCCGTCTATGCCGTCTTTCCAGACTCCCGCTGGAAGGTACACCTGCGAAATTGTAATAACATAATGTAATATTAAAGTCAGGGTCCTCATTGGAAGACATAATCTTTCAAAATACTCGTTTCCATTGTTTCACGTAACTACTGCAATCACTTTTAAATCACTTGGTAATATTATAATACGAGGGATGTCTTTTAAGTTTTGCATACGAGGGATGTCTTTTAAGTTTTGCATATGGAAGTAAAACAACACGGTAGGTAGTTTTACATGACTTTATTGTTTTTCGAAGTATTCTCCACGAAGATTGATACACATCTGCATGCGCTCGAACCAATTTTCGAATCACTTATTCCACTCGTTTGCTGGCAGATCCAAAACGGCATTTTTGAATGCGTCAACAGCTTCTTCTGGTGACTGGAACCTTTGACCACGCAGTCTGTTTTTTATTTTAGGGAAAGTAAAGAAATCGTCCAATAATTCCACGTTTTCTTCCGTTAAATACTGCCTTGTTATTTGGGATGTGTGCGAGCTTGCATGGTGGAGGATGATTCTTCTTTCGGGGTTGATTTTTCGAGGCTCGGTGATGACTTTGGCAAACAAATGGTGGTATACCACTGTCTTTTATTTTCTGGTTCATAACAGTAAATCCACGATTCTTCACCACTAACAATGCTGTACACATTTTTTAAGATTCCGGAATTGAAACAGTCAAGCGTTTTTTGACACCAATTAACCCTGGCTGCTTTCTGCTCTTTAGTCAACAGGTGGGGTATCCAACGAGAAGCTAATGTTCTTACTCCTAATTCTTCATGTAAAATTTTTTGAATTGAGGTCTTTGAGATCTTCAAGGACGCCTCAATCTTGCGATATGTTACATCTCTATCTTCAATGATGAGTTTGCGCACAGCATCGACGTTTTCCTGGATGACTGCCGTTTTTGGTGCACCCACCCTGGGATCGTCGCTAAGACTCACCCGTCCACGTTTAAATTCTCCATACCAACGGGAAATTGTCCACTGAATCGCGCTTTGTTGCCTAAAACAGGCAGTAACTCAGCAAGGCATTCTTGTTGCGATAATTGTCTCTGAAAGTTGTAATAAATTATGGCGCGAAAATCTTCTCGGTTGAGTTCCATTTTTCTAATGACGTGGTGTCACTTAAAAATTCACTGTAGTGAGAATACTGCACGTATTGTTGTGAAACTTTGAATTTAAGTTTACTAAAGAGTGAGGTTAAGATTCAGTACTGACGTTCTATCGGCGCGGCCTACTATGTTTCTATATGTAAAACTTAAAAGACATCCCTCGTACCGTACACAGTAATGGAATGTAGATTGACAGATGAAATTTCACTTTGGAATACTGCGTAACTTCATTTTTAGAATGCCTAAATTATTACCGAGGCATGTAATGACTAATGACAATTGATGACAGACAGTTCACTAATTTCTAACCACGTATACCACGTATCATGCGACCGTTCTTTTTATTATAAGAAACGGCATAGATACGTGATAGCCGATTTATCGTGAAAAATATACAGGGTGTTCCTTAACGATACCTATGCGAATATAATCTACAAAATTAGTGTCACAACAGTTGTTCAAAATGTCTTCCTCCAACCTGAATACACCGATTTAAACGTCGCACATGATTTCGGCGGACTTGACTAAAAATTTGATACTCGTTTTGAATGATTTCAAATGCTGCTGTCATTCTTCCAATTAAGTCTTGCTCTGTGTCTACTGGACTTCCGTAAACCAACGACTTTACATGTCTCCTCAGGAACGGGGTATTCAGGTTGGAGGAAGGCATTTTGAACAATTGTTGTGATGATATCATGTACAAAAGGCAAAAATTAAATGCATTAAATCCTATTTGGGCAATTCATCGTCTTTCTAAATTTTATCGCGTCTTAGGACCGTAGTGCTGTAGTGACACTTTTCCGGATATGCGTCCCTATACTCAAATGTTTTCTACTGTTACACTGAATAACCCCTACAAGTTTGATCCCATAGTTCTGAAACACCCTGTATGCTGGGTCGTGTCCAGACTTCTGACACTGTTGCCCTATCCCAAATATTAAGCTGGACCGAGTTTTGATATTCAGAAGTCATATTAAAGAGTACTGAAAAGTTAATATACACCAATAAGAAGCAAAGTTGGGGTTTTCCTTTTCAGAAACAACTACCCTTGAAATAACAAAGGTAATGGGTAGTGAAACGAGTAAAAAAAAAAATAAAGGAAAAAGTACTCACTCCCCAGTTGACGAGAAGGGCTAAGTACGTCTCTGCCCGAAATCATACCGCTCCAACATAAAATGAAATCAGCTGATGCGCTACCGAGCAGACGCAGGCAAACAAGGAAGGCAAAATGTTTCGTAAAAAGTCTAGGTATTGCATCCCGTCCAATCGATTTGGGAGAATAAATGGTCCAATGAGCGTACCGTTCACCATGCCAGCCCAAACATTCACCGAAAATGTTTGTTGAAAATGTGACCGACGGACAGCGTGCGGATTTTCTACTGACCAAACATGAGTGTTGCGAAAGTTATTCACCCCATTACGCGTGAACGCAGATTCGTCTGTCACCAATATGCACTTCAAAAAGTCCGGATTATTGTCATGTTGATGCAACAACCACTCACAAAACCGCACTCTTGCTGGAAAATCGTCAGGTTGAAGGACTTGTACACGTTGGACGTGAAACGGATACAGCCCCTCTTCATGCAGCGTTTGCCACACTATAGTTTTTGATACTTGCACTTCTCTAGCCACGTCTCTAGTGCTTGTTGCAAGATCTACATGTCGTGTAAAGGAAAACCCCAACGTTGCGGACACCCTGTATATTTGAATTTGAAAAAGTGGCTTCGTTTCAGAAAAAATGGAAAATCTGGCAGCAACGCGAATAGAATTGTCGTTTGATTGATTGATGATTGATTATCCCCCTGTTCAAAATTGGGCTTGAATCGGTCCATTAGTACCGAAGGTATTTGACCAGACTTGCCAATAACCTTGTATAGGATTCTACAATTTTTTTTTACCTTGGCACTTTGGTAGATTTCAGTTATTATTATAAATACTACATACGATAAAATACTGCGTTAACAGTGTCTTACGATGAGTTATAGAATTTAGTACTCGATTCCATAGTAACTTTAGAAAATTTGGGCCACTTAAAATAAAAACCTTTCGTCCTTATACAAAGAAACTCACTTCTCTTTGCCGGCGTCCTGAGTGCAAAATTGGCGCCACTATAAGCTCATCTCCAATAGAGAATTCGTCCATTACCGTATGGCACGATGGGTCCTCAGAGTCCAACATCCAAAGAGGCCTGATTATGGGCAAACCTAAATTCAATGAAACTCTTGCAAATCTTTTCAGTCGTGGTGTAACCTACGAAGTAAAAGTGATAATGAATTCCATGACTTCTTTCGAGAGTGATTCACACATCACTATTTTATACCATTTCCTTAAAATTTTAAAAATTCGATACTTGCTGGTGAAGATAAATTACTGGTTAAAATATGGTGAACTTCCATCAAAACTGAAGTGTTCTACCATAACTCCTGTTTCGAAAGTTAAGAATTTTGAGTTGTATACCAATTGCGGCCAACAAAATAATGTTCTGCCAGATGTTGAAAAAGTTTTTGAAGAAATTATGTACGAAAAGATCATCGAATAGAATTTTAACCAAGTTTCAAGCTGGATTCAGGAAAAAACACTCAACTGAAATGGCAATACAAATGGTTTTAAACGACTGGAGGAGATGTATGGACAGTAGGAAACATACAGTGACAGTGTTTTTGGACTTCAGAAGGGCATTTGAAACTACGAACAGAGATGAATTACTTACAAAGTTGCGCCACTATGGATTTAAAGGATCTGTATTCAGAATTATTCTTAATTGATAGAAGTCAAAAAACCAAAATTGAATCTACATTATCGAGCTCAAAAAATATTTCTGTTGGTGTACCGCAAGGTAGTAAACTAGGTCCACTACTATTTATTTTATACATTAATGACATTTGTGATATTTTTGATCATTGTAAAATACAGATATTGCCAGATGATACATTAATATACATATCAGCCCAAAATATAGATACTGATTTAAAAATGCTAGATTCTGATTTGGAAAAAATCATAAATTGATTAAATGTGAAGAAACTAAAATTGAATGCTTCTAAAACAAAATGTATGCTAATAGGGAAGTACCTAAATGTAAATACTATCACAGTTAGGATAAATGGTGAAACAATTGAAAATGTTGAATCAATTAAATATTTAGGTGAATATATTGATACTAAACTAAAGTTTGAGGATCACTATGAATATATTATTTCAAAAATTGTCAAAAAAATAAATTACTTTTATAATCGTAGTACATATTCCAAAAAAATAGTTTATAATACAATTATTCTACCGCATTTACTGTATTGTTCAACTATTTTGTTCATTTCCAATGAAGCTATATTTTCCAAATAACGAGTCCCCAAAATAAAATTATATAGAATGGTCAGAAGTGCATCTTGTTCACTGCCAATGAAGCTGTATCCTCAAAAATACAAGTCTTGCAAAATGAAGCTATGAGAATAATATTGAATAAAAATAAGTACACCAACATAAAATCTATGTTACAAGAGTTGCAGTGGTTGAATATAAAAAACTGCATATCATATACTAAGTGACATATAAATCCGAACACCCAGTTTAAATGGTTTTATTTTAATAAAAGTTGGTGAATGTACTCGTATTTATCTTACTGTAAATAACAAGTGAAACAATTTTCAGCCTTATCAGTTGGACATTCCGGTTTTTATACTGCTTTTTTTAATTCACTAACGCTCTAAAAATGAATATTTCAGCCGCAGTAAAGAATCAACGTTGGCGGATTTTGGTTCTTGACATCCTTTACGATCGGTTACGATGCCTAGAGTACGGAGACCGGTACGATTTCGTCAACTTAGTGAGTTTGATAGGGGCCGTATAGTGGGACTTCGGGAAGCTGGACTTTCTTTTCGGGCAGTTGCAGTTAGAGTGCAAAGAAGTGTAGACACTGTGGTTAAGTGTTGTCAGGCATGGCTTCGAGAAGGCATACGCAAAGAGCAAGGGACACTGGACGCCGCCGTAGAACAACAGACCGTGAAGATCGCCGCCTAAGATTATTGGCCTTAAGGGACCGTTTCTCCACTACCAGGTCCATTGCAAATGAATGGTTTGCAGAACACGGAAGACCTATTGGCATGCGAAGTGTTTACCGACGAATGAGAAGTTTTGGCTTGTTTTCATACCGGCCACACTGGGTCCTCCCTTTAACTCGAGAACACCGACGTAATCGCCTTGAGTGGTGCAGACAACGGTCACTCTGGGATCAGGAATGGAACAGTATTGTCTTTAGTGACGAGTCTCGATTTTGTTTAGGCATGCACGATGGTCGTGCCAGGGTTAGAAGGCGACGTGGTGAAAGTAGGAATCCACAGTTTTTTTGTTGAAAGACATGTTCATCACACTGTTGGAGTTATGGTTTGGGGTGCTATAGCTTATGGTTCCAGGTCACCTTTAATCTTCATCAGAGGTAACATGAACGCGCAGCGTTACATTTACGAAGTTCTCGAACCCCATCTTTTATCCTATCTTGACACCCTGGCAGATCCAACTTTCCAACAAGATAATGCCCGACCACATGTTGCAAGAGTCACAATAGACTTCTTTCAACATAGATCTCCCGACTTATCCCCAATTGAGCACGTGTGGGATATGATGGGTAGGAGATTGCTCAATTTGCAAGGTCCTCCTCAGACTCTAGAAGCACTTCGAGAGGAGTTGGTGGTTGCCTGGAATGAGATACCACAGGAGGACATTGACCACCTGATCAGAAGCATGATTAGGCGCGTTGGAGAATGCGTAGCACATCAGGGTGCATCCACACATTATTAAAGGTCAAAGGGCTTTAAAGCAGTGCAATCATTTTGAAATTTTTATCATTTACTTATTATGCTTCATTAAGTACTTATACAAAATTTTATTAAAATAAAACCATTTAAACTGGGTGTTCGGATTTATATGTCACTTAGTATATTTGGTTCTTCCTTTTTATATTAATGAGAAATCATCTTTTCAATCATCATTAACAAAACTACATAGAATTGAATAATCATTACCAAAATTATTAAACAAGAGGAAATATAGATTTTCATTTACAAAATTTCAGTAGTAATATAACTAGCAGATCAATATTTCAGAAAGGATTACTTGAATTTAATAGACTAAATGATGATATAAAGTCTACTTGTTATTTAAAGATGCCTAAAACAAAATTAAAGGAATTTTCATGGATAGTGAAGACTCTTAGAGATGCTAACTTTGTTTTTCTAAATATCTGTATGTTGTGTAATTGTCGTAGTGTTTTAAAAGAATGTAATTGTAGCAATCTTGCTAAATAAATCTTAAACAACAACAACAACAGAAAAAAAACATGATAAATGACAATATGCACATTCACGAGACGACAGTGACAGTAACCACTTATATCAGTTTTTCGGTGTAGCTGATTTGTTGCAATTCAATTTTGACCAAAGCGTTTTTAGTCTCTACAAAATATCAAGACTATGTGCTGGTTGGGAATATGGCTATTTGGCTATTACGATGGCAATTTTGTGTGGATGTTCAAATACAGCATATAGCTTAACATCTTCTTGGACAATGTCAACCTTAATGCAAAATAGATCCTAAAATGTCAACGGTGATTGTTTATTTGTGGTTTATTCTCGTTCTTATTACCTCAATATTTGCATTGTTATTTTATAAAAGCAGCTTTTTTCAAAAATTTGAGGTGCCCTTTCAAGCATTTTGCTAAAATGCCGATACCTCTGGGTCGGCAAGCAAAAAGATTTGTCATTTCTTTGACGAAATATATTGAGACCGAACGAGATCATGGAGTTCCATTATTAGGTAGTAAATAGAATTTATTCTAGCCCTAATGTTGGTTGCGGCAAGGCATCGAAGACATAGATTTAGTAAAACGTCCTAGGATCTAGTAGTTTTAATTAATGTGGCAACCATGTGCGTCAGTCATTATTTGACGTTGTGACGTAACTGCTTTGATTCAGTGAATAAACTAGGTATACATCGGAAATCTCATATAAGTGGCTGTCGTTTCATCATAGCGGAAATATTCCACTGTCAGGTAGTAGGTTATTTTTGAACATTTCGTGCCATAAGAATTGATGCAAAGTTACATCTAAACCTCGTTTTTGTATCCTTTTCGAGATTCCGATCATCTCTGGTCGACGGTGAATTGCACCTCAAAAATGGTGAATGTGTTATGTACTTTATAATTTAAGATAAATTCATCTTCAACCACTTTTATCTCACAACCCTTAGGGCTTAGGAGGTTGTGCCAATTAAGGCATTAATTTGTTCAGGATGATGAGATGAGAATGCTCAAATAAGCTCTTGTCCCTTTTTGTTCAGTTAACGTTCATTGTGATTTATGAAATGATTACCTTAGTTTGTCTGGTAATAGCTAGGCTTATAGCCATATCAGATATGTTCTTGTCTCCATAAGCGCTTGGCAGATTATGGTATCTCACTACAGGCAGAAAAGCGGAAAGTTGCAACCATCTGGTATACAACTCTGGGTCAGGTAGCATCTTATTCGCATTGCCGTTTGTAGATGTATCTGGACTCTCATAATCACCTCCTGGAATATATTTTTAAATGTAAGTTATTTCAAGACAGTTGGTATATTCAACCCTTAATTTGATATTGTATCTTATATGATACTATACAGGGTGTGGCGTAAAGAGTGGATAACCTTTAACCTGCAGCTAGAGGACATCACAACGATTAAAAACAATTGAAAATTGTGTCTAGTAAAAGTTGCACGGTTTTCAATTCTTATGAAGTTTTTCAAATTTGGAGGAAATGGGCACCTTCACTCACTGTTTCAAGTCTCTTGATAACTCATGAAGGGTTTTTCTCATTATTTTTTCATAAAATAGGAATTGCCATTTTCGTCCTACAGGCCTTAATTGATTTTTTTTAAATAACCAAAACTCGGAAAACAAATTAGTCACGTCTTGTTTCGCTAGATTACCGCGATATTATTGACACCACACGTGGTCAATCTTAAGAAGAAAAAAAAAACATTTTATCCGCGTTTTAACGATTTCTTAAAAAAGCAATCAAACCTGTAGCAGGGAAATGGCAATTTATATATAGAGACACATGTGTCCAAGAATACTTATGTTGAAAAAATAATGAGAAAAATCTTCATCATGTTACCACGAGACTTTTAAAACAGCGACTGAAGGAACCAATGTCCTCCAAATTTGAAAAACGTCAAAAGACTCGAAAACCGTGCACATTTTACTTGACATAATTTTAAATTTTTTGAATCATTATAATGTCCTCTAACTACAGGTTAAAGGTTATCCATTCTTTATGCCACACCCTGTATATATCATATTGTGCACACAACTAAATTTTCGAGGAATAACATTTGCAAAAGGAGAAGTTTCAAATTACATCAGCATTAGATAAAATTACAGAAGTAGTTATTCAAACTGAATTTATATGGGATATTATTTTTGTCTATTTACGCTTATACAGAGTGTCCCAGAAGTCGACGTCAAGCCGAATCCGGGTGATAGGCAAAGTCATAACAGCTATCAGAAAAATATTTAAAAAAAAATTATGTATGTGTTTTGAAAATTATAGGTCTTTGAAAAAAATAGAGAAATTTCACACCCTACGGCAGTCTGACAACTCCTGTTACTACAAATATTAACTTTTTTTGGATTTTATTTTTACAATGTAATGATGAATAATGCATCTTCAAACTGGTGTCTCAACCTTACTGCTAACTTTTCTCGTTCAGGAAAAATTGCCACTTATTTCCCAACCAAGTATTCCAAAGTAAAACTTTGCTCAACTTTAACTGGCTGTACTGGAAAAAATGTACTACGAGAGTTTGCAAGTAACCTTAAAAGTTGGCGCATTTAATAAGGATTCCAAAATGGTATAACACTTAGAAGATTATTCGTTAACTTATGCATAATTTTTATTTGAAGAAACACTGATGAAAATTTTTCAAAATTTCCTAATTAAACAGGGATTATGAAAACGCACAAGGACCCTTAAGGATAACACGCTCGACATCAGTGCGTGCAATAGAAACTAAAAACAGGTGTGCCCAAAAGTACAGCCCATAGAATCTTGCAAAAAAACGTGCTCCATCCATACCACATACAGCGTGTTCAACCTCTGCTGCCCCGGGATTATGAGCCCCGAGTTGCTTTTTGTCGGACAATGTTAGAAAGACACAGGAAAGATCCACAGTTCTTTGAAAAAATTTTATGGTCGGATGAGACCACATTTAAGAAAGATGAGTACATGAACCTGCATAACTTACACGAGTGGCACGTAGCAAACCCACATTTGATGAGAGAAGATAAATCTCAATATCGCTTCAAGATAAACCATTGGACAGGAATTTTAAATGGTAAAATAATCGGTCCGTTTGAGTTCCCAGAGACTTTGACTGCTGAAGTTTATTTGGATTTTTTGAAAAATCATGTACAAAATTTATTGGTGGACGTGCCACTGAGTATTTACAGGGACATGTGGTTTCAGCATGATGGCTGCCCAGCGCACTATGCACTCTCAGTGAGAGAGTATCTCGATCAAAACTTTCCAGGCAGATGGATAAGGCGGTCTGATACAATACCGTGGCCAGCCCGTCACCTGATTTGAATCCTTTAGATTTTTTTACTGGGGAACTGTAAAAGAAAAAGTGTATTTCAAGCTGATTCAAAATGTAGCTGAGCTACGGCAAAGACTATTGGAAGCAGCTGAGTTTGTTAATAACCGTACATTCGCTCGTTTAATAACCCGATCTTTTTTAAGAAGATGTCGAGCGTGTATTGCGGCTGAAGGAAAACAGTTTGAGCATTTGCTGTAAAGGTAAATCATCATCAGCAGCATTTTGACGGCCACTGTTGTGCAAACAGTTATCCTTAAGGGTCCTTGTGCGTTTTCATAATCGCTGTTAATTAGGAAATTTTGAAAAATTTTCATCAGTTTTTTTTCAAATAAAAATTGTGCTTAAGTTAACGAGTAATCTTCTAAGTGTTATACCATTTTGGAATCGCTATTAAATGCGCCAACTTTCAAGGTTACTTGCCAAACTCTCGTAGTACATTTTTTTCCAGTACAGCCAGTTAAAGTTGAGCAAAGTTTTACTTTGGAATACTTGGTTGGGAAATAAGTGGCAATTTTTCCTGAACGAGAAAAGTTGGCTGTAAGGTTGAGACACCAGTTTGAAGATGCATTATTCATCATTACATTGTAAAAATAAAATCCAAAAAAAGTTAATATTTGTAGTAACAGGAGTTGACAGACTGCCGTAGGGTGTGAAATTTCTCTATCTTTTTCAAGGACCTATAATTTTCAAAACACATACATAAAATTTTTTTAAATATTTTTCTGATAGCTGTTATGACTTTGCCTATCACCCGGTTTCAGCTTGACGTCGACTTCTGGGACACCCTGTATACTGTGAGTTTCTGATTCTGTGCAAGTTTTATGAACTATAAACTTAATTTGGGTGCACGTTATTATACAATTAAACCAATTGACAGAGTATCTCCTATTATACATAATAGCATAGCATACTAATTCAGCTATATGGGCGATATATCCTATCGGATAGTAGATGCTTATTGCATCACAAAAATCACAATCTCTCCCTCATAATACTTCTTCGGATTCTAAGGAATCTATAAATATCCATTGTAATAAAAAAATGAAACGAAAAACATGGGTTTGCGAAATCAAGTGTTAAAATACAAATGAGATGGAACAGAAATCAATTATAGTTTTTTCTCTGTAAGTGAAACGAATAAAATACCAGTGATACTTACCTACTGCTCCTGGTATCAAGAACGGATAACCGATTATACCATATGTCAAAATGGTTGGAATTACTTTTCCAAGTCCTTCCCATGATGATTCAAATTCTGGAAGCACAATGAAGCTTGGAGCTTTTGGACGTTGTATAGCTGAGTTTACTCCGAATAGGGGAATAGAGCCCTGCAAAAAATGACACTTTACTACTCTTCAAATTATAGGCTTAAAAAACGGAAAGATCGGAAAAAATTACACCATGTGATGATCTTTTAGTTCTCATCACTACAAATGTCAAGTTTTTTCCTAGACAAACTGACGGAAAAAATTGAAATTCTCATTAATCGGAATTGAAAGATCATCACACGGTGGAGATTTTTCCGATTTTTTTTAAAAGCCTATAATTTGAAAAGTACACGACTTGGATATTTTTAATATTTTTCTAATAATCATGACTTATGATATGAGGTATCTTTATTATTCTTCTATTCACCTCATTTTGTTGAACAAAAAAAAGCACTTGAAATTTGTGATAACGAAATATCCGCACAGATTCTGGCAATATATTGTGATGTATTCTGACACAGAAAATATACACTGAAAATAAATATACTAAGTGACATATAAATCCGAACACCCAGTTTAAATGGTTTTATTTTAATAAAAGTTGGTGAATGTATTTATCTTACTGTAAATAACAAGTGAAAAAATTTTCAGCCTTATCAGTTGGACATTCCGGTTTTTATACTGCTTTTTTTAATTCACTAACGCTCTAAAAATGAATATTTCAGCCGCAGTAAAGAATCAACGTTGGCGGATTTTGGCTCTTGACATCCTTTACGATCGGTTACGATGCCTAGAGTACGGAGACCTGTACGATTTCGTCAACTTAGTGAGCTTGATAGGGGCCGTATAGTGGGACTTCGGGGAGCTGGACTTTCTTTTCGGGCAATTGCAGTTAGAGTGCAAAGAAGTGAAGACACTGTGGTTAGGTGTTGTCAGGCATGGCTTCGAGAAGGCCGTACGCAAAGAGCAAGGGGCACTGGACGCCGCCGTAGAACAACAGACTGTGAAGATCGCCGCCTAAGATTATTGGCCTTAAGCGACCGTTTCTCCACTACCAGGTCCATTGCAAATGAATGGTTTGCAGAACACGGAAGACCTATTGGCATGCGAAGTGTTTACCGACGAATGAGAAGTTTTAGCTTGTTTTCATACCGGCCACACTGGGTCCTCCCTTTAACTCGAGAACACCGACGTAATCGCCTTGAGTGGTGCAGACAACGGTCACTCTGGGATCAGGAATGGAACAGTATTGTCTTTAGTGACGAGTCTCGATTTTGTTTAGGCATGCACGATGGTCGTGCCAGGGTCAGAAGGCGACGTGGTGAAAGGAGGAATCCACAGTTTTTTGTTGAAAGACATGTTCATCACACTGTTGGAGTTATGGTTTGGGGTGCTATAGCTTATGGTTCCAGGTCACCTTTAATCTTCATCAGAGGTAACATGAACGCGCAGCGTTATATCCACGAAGTTCTAGAACCCCATCTTTTACCCTATCTTGACACCCTGGCAGGTCCAACTTTCCAACAAGATAATGCCCGACCACATGTTGCAAGAGTCACAATAGACTTATTTCAACATAATGATGTCACATTGTTAACATGGCCACCAAGATCTCCCGACTTATCCCCAATTGAGCACGTGTGGGATATGATGGGTAGGAGATTGCTCAATTTGCAACGTCCTCCTCAGACTCTAGAAGCACTTCGAGAGGAGTTGGTGGTTGCCTGGAATGAGATACCACAGGAGGACATTGACCACCTGATCAGAAGCATGCCTAGGCGCGTTGGAGAATGCGTAGCACATCAGGGTACATTCACACATTATTAAAGGTCAAAGGGCTTTAAAGCAGTGCAATCATTTACTTATTATGCTTCATTAAGTACTTATACAAAATTTTATTAAAATAAAACCATTTAAACTGGGTGTTCGGTCACTTAGTATATTAACAAAACAAAATGAATGAGTATTTCTAAAGACCCGCAATATAGAAGTCCGATTAGAACAACAAATCATACAGCGAATAACACAGTTTAAATATTTAGGAATAATGGTAACAGAGGATCGAAACGTTGAGTCCGAAATACAAAACAGAATAAAAGCAATTACTAGATGATACTACCAACTAAATGAACACCTAATTAACAAAAAACAAATATCTTCAGAAACATAAATAAGGGTGTTTCAACTCCTGTATATCCCTATCCTAACACATGGTTCAGATCTGTGGATACTGAGTAAAATACACAGACAGAAAATACAAAAGAAATGAAATTGCTGAGAAAAATTGCGGGTCTGAAGACTGTAGGCAAAGTCAGAAACGTAGAAATAAGAAGAAAATGAGGAATCATATCTGTAGAAAAAGATTGCGAGTAAATGCTAAGATGGTTTGAATGCCAAGCACAAGATTGCTGAAAAGGGTTTGGAGAATGGGAAAATTTAAGAAAAAGACAAAAGAGAGATCAAGAAGAAGGTGGAATGACGGAATACTGGGGTACCTAAGACAAATGTATTTGGACTAGAAAGCAGCAGAAGGAATAGATAAAGAACAAAATGGAAAAAGAGAATAAGAGAAAACTGAAGAAGTGTAAAGAGATATTTCTACACTGGTTAGATCTGGTAGATGATGAAGGATTAAATCACTAGGTATACTGACACAGTTTTGTTGTGCTGTTGAATATTATACAGGGTGTCCGCAAAGTTGGGGTTTTCGTTTACACGACGTGTAGATCTTGCAAACATAAGCAATTTTTCTTAGTACCATATACACCAATGTCTTAAGGGAACCGAGATAAAGGGCAACATCAAAAATATCTGAATACCGTCCTGTAGCCGCGACATCCCCGAGTGGTACTAGGACACTAGCTCAATCCGACGACAGAACTGGGTCGGGGTCAGTGTGTCAGGTCAGTATGCAACCTTCAACCGACGGTTACGGTCACGCGTGTAGAGGTAATCGCGTAGACGAGAATCCCTCAACAAGCACTAGAGACGTGGCTAGAGAAGTGCAAGTATCAAAAACTAAAGTGTGGCAAACGCTGCATGAAGAGGGGCTGTATCCGTTTCACGTCCAACGTGTACAAGCCCTTCAATCTGACGATTTTCCAGCAAGAGTGCGGTTTTGTGACTCGTTGTTGCATCAACATGACAATAATCCGGACTTTTTGGTGACAGCAGAATCTACATTCACGCGTAATGGGGCGAATAACTTTCGCAACACTCATGTTTGGTCAGTAGAAAATCCGCACGCTGTCCGTCGGGCACATTTTCAACAAACATTTTCGGTGAATGTTTGGGCTGGCATGGTGAACCTCTGGACCATTTATTCTTCCAAATCGATTGGACGGGATGCAATACCTAGACTTTTTACGCAACATTTTGCCTTCCTTGTTTGTCTGCGTCTGCTCGGTAGCGCATCAGCTGATTTCATTTTCTGTTGGAGCGGTATGATTTCGGGCAGAGACGTACTTAGCCCTTCTCGTCAACTGGAGAGTGAGTACTTTTTCCTTTATTTTTTTTTACTTGGTCGCCCTGGTTTCATTACACATTACCTTTGTTATTTCAAGGGTAGTTGTTTCTGAAAAGGAAAACCCCAACTTTGCGGACACCCTGTATAAAAAGAAGAAACGCATTCTGTTTCAACAAGTCTTTAGCGATTTGGCGTTTTATCAGTTGAACTTACCTGCAAGCTGTTTGTGAATAAAGTCTTATACTGATCTGGATTGAGTAGCGGCTTTTCGCATTGATAATAGTGAGGCATATTATAAGCAATGCCCATATCTAAGTAGAAGGCATCAAATTTGTACTTTTCCATGACTTTTTTCAATTTGTCAATCAACCAACGCACAGTTTTTTCGTTGGTTATGTCCAAAACTCCGGCACTTTGCAATGTCTTGTATCTCGTGAGCGCTGGAATACTTCTATCACTAAACCTGTAAAAAACGTGACTTTGACATATCGTAACATGAAAAATACTAGAAAATTCAATAGAAATGGCCACGTGAACAGTTTTTCAAATATACAGAAATATTTTATACAGCCAGAACCGTCAGCCATCGAGCGGTCACATGGCGACTGTTCTATTAAGCGCGAACTGAGATCTTCTCAATTCCAACAAATAGCTGTTAAGCACTCTATGCAGTAGTACATTTTGCTGATAGATGGCGCCTTGCGCTGTCATATTTCTATAGACCTCCTGGATAGGGGATCGTTGCGAGGCTCTCGTTCGTAGTCCCAGACGCGAGAGACCAAGCCTAGACCATGCAGATGAGTTTCCAAAAAGCACGAATCAGCTGCCTTTTGGTGCGATGGATGAAAGGATCATGCTCGGTACTTACCTCTCAGAAACCAAGAGTCGCTTTCTGACAGCTTCAGCAAAGTTGAAACTCTCCGTAGATATAAATGGCTGTATGGTAAACACCACTCTAAATCCTCTGCGTTTAAGCATTTCCATAGTCTTTTCTAGGGTGGGGAATCGATTTAGATCTAATTCGAAATCTCCAACTTGATCTTGCCAAAACTCGTTTATCAGTACGTGGCCTTGTTTTAATACTGAGTTGGTTATGTCATCAGTGAAGTTGTAAATTGTTTCTGGAAAATAATAAATAATGATGACCCTTTGGTAGGATATCAGAACTGAATTACTATCTACTTGACAGTATCCTGAAAATACTAGGTCAATTCATTGATAAATTCAGAGTTTTGCTTTAGGAAAGGCGTATCTACCAAAGATGCCATGAAATTATTAGTAGCTGACTCGACTAATAATATTGTTAACAACAATACAACAATGGCTGTATTCATCGACTTACAAAAAGCTTTTGAAACTAATTGGAATTAGAGGTACACAATTATATGAAAATTCATTACATACAACTAGTGAAGAAATGACTGTCATGTATGGAGTTCCACAATGAAAAATACTTGAGTCCCTTCTGTTTAATATATATACGTATATATATATATTTTTTTTTGAGACGTGGTCATCGTCGTCTAGACCAGTTAGGTGAAAATTAAAGCTTTCGCCTTTTGTTGGGTACTTCGACAAAATTTAAGCAAGGAGGACTCTTTAAATTTTTTATTCTCTCTAGCTTTCAATGGTCTTTGCGATCATCATCAGGAGCTGTAATTACATTGATAACAGTAGCAACAATTGTGTAAAATGAATTTAAATTAACTTACAGTAGTATGTCAGGATGTTGCTAAATGTTGTTTACGTTAAGGATGAGGGAAACACCCAGTAACATGGTGAAAGCTGGATACATGGTACAATGGTCAAAATTATGCAAACTACACACAGCTGTATGACAAGAACAAATTAAAAACAGATTAAAAATATTTAAAACGAAAGTTAAGCATTACATCGTGAAGCCGCTTGATGTTTTCTCAAAATTGTGGGCATAGAATCATGAGTAAGATGAACCTTTTGACAGATGGCCGAAGGTTAGCAGTGTCCGTCAGTCCGTGTAGAATGATGGAACGAAAATTCTTTTGTAAGGCGTGTGATACGTTGCCAAATCACTTCAGATGGTGTGATTTTCAAGATATGTTGGGTAAGAACTTGTCAACCCGACCAGAGGCAGTAGAATTAACTATATTATCATGAGATGGGCAATTGAATTATTGAATTATGTATTGTAATTCATAAAAGTGATAGAAAAATTCCGTTTTTCGGTTTGATTTAAGAATCTCAAAATACATAAGATACACCCAAAAATTGTCCTGTCACTAATCCTGTAATCTGTCAACTAATAATGGTGGGCAAAAATAAGCACCGCGATTGATTGAGGTTTCTCAGGCTATTCAGTGGTGACCTTGGAGCTGACTTTGACAAGGTCATTTGAAGATCAAGTCGATTTTCTAAACGACCTGTGTTTGAACCCGTACATGAAAAGAGCGGAAAATTTCACGTTCAAATCTTGACCATTCTTAAATTTTCAGCCTACAGGTCATGGTCAAGGTCAAACCCAGGTACGGTGATATAACTTGAAAGCTAGAAGTCGTATATGCAAACTATCCAGACATTATTTTCATGATTTTTTCCGGATTTCCGATGGTGACCTTGGACCTGACCTTCAAAGTCTTTTGAAAGTCATTTTTTTATACCCTACACTTTTGACCACAGAAATAGGGGAATGTTCATGTTCGAATATGTCTTTGACCATTTATGAAACTTGACCTTGACCATCAAGTTTACCGTAATTTCTTCATAATTGAGAGAACTGTGTAATCTCCAGATAAACTGACTTCACTGTTGTTGCAGGATTGTGCCCTGGCTACAAAAATCGCCTTGACCTTCACATGACCTTGAAGGTCATGTCCAAGGTCAAATCCAAGGTCACCAATAAATGTCTGGAAAAACTCGTATCAGTCGCGAGGCTCAGATTTTTTATTCCATCATCATTTCCTAAATTATCGTGGGGTTCCCGAACTGTTTAGACACTCTGCATAAGAAGATTCTATTTCTTACGTTGTTAATAAAAACTATAAGGAATAGTTTTTTGGACTGGCTTGATGATTTGAAATTGTAAAATGCTAAAACTTGAACGAGGTTTTAGAATACATACCTTCAGTCAAATAATTCTTATTATCAGAAGTAATCTCCCATACTGGCTCCGTCAGTAGAGAATCAATGATATTCGTGTCTTCCTTCTTCAATCCGTCCCACAGGGTGTGCTCGCTGAGTTTTTCGTGCAAATCGGACATGTTGTAGCTGGTACACATGCTGTAATTCAGCTGCGGCATCGGAGTAAAACGATTTACAAACGCGAAATCGTCGTATTGAGCTCTGATGCAGAACTGCTTGCCGGAACCACTTATGGAGACGTATAGAGGCGTTTTATTGTCTACGATGATGGCGACGCCTGGAACCAACGATTTTTCATTTAGGCACAATCTCGTTAATTGAAAATTTTAAACAATCAACATCATCAAATAGCCTAGATTCTTCCTTTCTTCAACTAGTATACAACTTTGCACACGATGTATTTTTTAATTAAAAGCTTTATTGTAAATAATGATGCTTCAAAGTACATATTGTCCATTGTTTGCAACTACTTTCTCCCACCTTTTGGTTTGAAATGGGTTTCTAGCAGTCCAGATCTGTCACCTATTGAAACTTTGTGGCACGAGATAAAAAAGGTTCTACGACAACATCCTGCTCGTACAATCACCGAACTGAGACAAAAGCTTCAAGAAGTATGGGATTCTTTTACTCCAAATTTTTGCCAAAACTTGGTTAACACTATGCCCCAAAGAATTTCAGCCGTAATAAAAAATAAAGGTGACGTTACCCAATAGTAATCTTTCAATTGTTGCTTTGGTAACTTCGGGCATATATTCGCACATTGTTTATTTGTTCAGATGTTCTACTAGTTATAGGTCTAAGTGATTTCAAATATGTATTTTTTACGAGTAGAGTGTATCTAAAATGTTTTTGAGAAAATAAATTGTTTTAGAAGTAAATAGTTCGTCATGTTTATAAAGGCATATTTTGGTACAAATCTTGAAGTGGGCCAACTGAAGTGGGAAGGGGCTCGTAGACCTCCTCTGAATATGTATTTTCTAACTGGTCTCTGTCACGTTGTAGTGTTGAATACGAAACAGGTCCAGCGAACTCCATAAATGGCCTAACTTATGAAGTGAACAGAAGCCCAGCAGTGGAACTGTCATAACCCTAAAGGATTTTTCAATAAGGTGCAGACTCGTTTTGGCCTTAGTCGTTGAGTATTGGATATGCTTGGACAATGATAGACTATCCGATACAACAAGTCTTAAATCTATGTGTCTGGGGATACAGGAGATTTCCTGGTTCCCGATGATGTAGCTGATTTTTGGATTGTTCTTTCCAACGTGTAAGACTAAGCACTTCCCCAAGTTGAATAACTTTGTGTCGTCAGCATACAAGGAGCAGGTGGAAGATATGACACAAGGTTCGATGTGTATAGAAGACATAGCAGACGTCTCAACACGGAACTCTGGGGAACGCCGCCCTAATGGTTGGCAGTGAATCGCCTACCCTCACCGTGAACTCTCTTTTAGTAAGGAAATCCGTTATCCACTTCAGCAAGTCCCCAGTTATTCCTAGGTGTGCGTGTGGTACTCGATCGAATGCTCTCGAAAAATCCAGGTATAATATCGTGTTTTTCATTATGCATTAAATGCATTCGATAAAGATCCCTGTGATGATTTCAGAGGCTCATAATTTTACAACACCGAGCTGGTTCCACCAAATACATGACCTTGGAGCCGTGAATATTCGTCCGAAACCACTCATGACATGTTCTTTCACTTATTAAAGCAGCCTCCCCATAAGTCTCTAGGACCATTCTGTGAGCTTTAACCGCAGATTATTTAACATTGAAAAAATAATCTAACACCTGGAAGAAACGAGAATTCGGCTCATTAACTGACATTATTAATCAAGAATATCTGTATTATGTAAACATAAACCAACTACTAGTGCTTTCAGGTTATATTCACACATAATTCCGGAAACTCAAAAAATGTGTACAGCATTGTTAGTGGTGATGTATCGTGGATTTACTGTTATGAAACAGAAAATAAACGACAGTCTTTTGTTTGGGTGTTCCTAGGTGAAGAAAAGCCAACAACAGTCATCCGTTCTCGAAGTGTTTCGAAAAAGATGGTTGCGAGATTTGTGTCAAAAGCGGGTCATATTGCAACAATTCCTCTTAATGAGCAAAGACACGTTACTGCGGATTGGTATACCAGCATTTGTTTGCCAAAAGTCATCACCGAGCTTCGAAAAATCAACCCCGAAAGAAGAATTATCATTCACCAAGACAATGCAAGCTCGCACACAGCCCAAAAAACAAGTATTTATATCTGTATTTCAAAAGGGAGTATTTGAATTTAGTAAATTAAATCGTGATATTAAATATTGTTCGAATTTAAAAATGCTTAAGGTGATATTAAAAAATCACTTTATGAATATCCAAAATGCATATAGTCAACGCCAAACAAAGTGGCGTGCACGTCATCAAGGTGGGTGTGTTGAAAAATTTACATTGTTGCCAAACTTTTTGTAAAATAATAAAATTTAGTATTTACATATCTAGGTTTATAAGCAATATTAACCTCAAATGAGAACAAAAATAATAGTATAATAAAATTATAGATCTGTACTTGCATAATCATTAAGTATAACAATTATTGATCAGATGACACTATGAAACTACCATATTTAATTGATAGCTTAAAGGTACTGAATAAAAATCCAAATGGGGTCCTCCAAATTTTATGCATGGTATTTATTTTACAGAATTCATACAGAAAAATGCATTCTAAAATTAGGTAAGCTACTGGTGTAAGCTTTTTCTGTACAATAAAGTTAGTCGGAGTTTCTTTCTTCAGCGCTGTCTGAATCTGAATCTTCATCACTCTCAAAGTTGATTATTAAAGGTTCGATGTCTGGTCGATCAAAAATTCGTTCTCTTTCATACCATTTAAAAATTTCTTGCTCAGTATGTCGAACACTATTTTTCCACATGTCTGGGGTAACCGTTTGTAGAGCCTCGTTCCACATATCCAAACAGTCTTTTTCACTGTTACCATCTCTACCAATATGTCTGTTATAGTAACCTTTTGCTATGCCCCAAATTAACTCAATAGGGTTAAATATACAATGGTAAGGAGGCAGACGAAGAACTTTGTGCCCATGTTGTTCCGCCAATTCATCAATCACGTATATTTTAGGTGGTTTGTTTCTAAAAAAGCAGTTATTTTAAGAATAGGAATAAACAAAAGAAATATAAACTGTCGACCAAAATATATACATATAATTAAGAAGCATTATGTACCGAGCAACAATACTCCATAGCTCTGTTTTAAACATTGTGTTTAAAAATGGTATGTTTTGATTTGTCAACCAGTCTTGGATATTTTTTTTTGTCCATGCATTGTTGGGCACTTTGTTCAATATCATGCTGTGATAAGGGGCGTTATCCAGTATAATCATAGATGGACTCTCCAATTTTTCTAATAACTGATGTTGAAACCATTTCAAAAAATTGTCCTGGTTCATCTCTCCATGGTAATCGCTCAATTTTGTTTTCGAAGAAAATATCGCTTCACTACCCTCAATAAACCCATTTTCATTTCCAGCATGTAATATAATGTATCTAAAATATATTAGTTTTAAATTTTATAGTGCAAATTGTGTAAAAGTACATACCTTTTACCATCTGTTTTAATAGCTTTCACGCTCTTTTGGTTTCCATTTTGCCAAGAGCGACCTATGGTCCCATTTTGAAATATCCAAGTTTCATCGAGGAAGACAAACTGGTATAAGGCCTCAACCTTGGCTTGATTGTATTGCCTTAGAAATTCCACCCTTTTCAAAGCTATACTTGGTAGTTCCATGAGCCCTCGTCGCGGATTGTCCTTAAGCCACTTAAATCCAAGATCTCTAAGCAACCGCCTTAAAGACGTGGCACTACCATCAAATAATGCCCTATCTCTTAATCGAGACCATAAAGTTTGTATCGTAACTTGTTCTTCTGAAACCATGTGTAATATGACATTATAATTTAGTTAACAAATTAATGCAAATTTCTGATAAGTTATTATAATAAGATCTTACTTTTGTGATACATATTATAGATCACTTCTCGAATGGCACTTGTATCCAATGTCGCTGTGTTGGTTACACGTTTAATATAACTCCGCTTTTTCTTGGGCGATTCTAAATTTGCATCACTTTTCACACCCTCGGAAATACGACTAACTGTCCTTAAACTAATTTTTAAAGCAGCAGCAACACGCTACAAAAAATGAAATAAAATTTCACTATTATTAATATACATTACATATAATTATTAGTAACCTACCTCTTGAACAGCATTTAAAGGCAACAAAGGCCCGTTGTTGTCCCTTTCTTGCTCAAAGTAGTGCATTAACGAGGCCACGAGTTCCTTACACCGACTATTTAACTGTTTGGGCATCTTTATATACCAAAATTGCCTTTATCTACTCGTAAAATGAATAATTTTGTTTTGAAACAAACAGTTGTTGATTTACAGTATGCGGGGCCAAAGGATTTATAAAGATTTGAAATGCCACAAATTGATTCAGTGTCAAAATTAATACAAATGTCAGTTCCCAGTTTAAATAAGTTTCAAGGTGACAATGTGTCAACGCTGCGAAATCGGTTTAGTGCGTTTACATGTCGATAAGTGATTGGAGCGTTTGCAAAACATTTTATTTCGCATAATGCGTCTAAATTTATCAGAAAGCAACTTATGTGATATTTTAATAACAATGTTTATATGACTATTAACCATAATAAGAGAGTAATGACCATTTTACAATTTATATATCACATTAATATGAAACTGCAATAGAGCAATTGTGATAGAAACCTAGGCATTAGGTCGGGGAATTTTTATCGTGATGACGTGCACGCCACTTTGGTTGGCGTTGACTATAGCATTGTAATTTTAATAGACAAGATTGTAAAAATAATATACCAAATTTATGTAGTAACATTAATGCTAAATAAATCTTCAACAAACAAACAGTTACCTTTAGAACTAATGAAGTATCTTTTCAAGACATTGCCCCATCCATGTTTTTCAGTCCTTCCGGTAATAAATGGCTGGAAGTCATGTTCAGACTTCTCTAAAGGCCATGCGGATTCTGCGGTTTGGCCCCCTCCGTACCAGTGGTTGTTGGTCATATCAAAGCAGTCGGTAGGCGCGATGTTCTCAGATAAAGCTGTCCATTGAAGAGTGTAACACTTCACATCCGTCTCAAGCTGGATGAAATTCAAGTATAATCGAGCCCTGGAAATGTAATATGGAATAATCATTATTTTGATTTCCAAACAATCTGTATACATTATTAAAAGTTCCCAAAAGGCGATTCTGTTGAGAAAACGCTACAAACTTTTAAGACATACTTTCGCCTTCGAGATTGATGATACGATGGTACAATTATACTAAGTGACATATAAATCCGAACACCCAGTTTAAATGGTTTTATTTTAATAAAAGTTGGTGAATGTATTTATCTTACTGTAAATAACAAGTGAAAAAATTTTCAGCCTTATCAGTTGGACATTCCGGTTTTTATACTGCTTTTTTTTAATTCACTAACGCTCTAAGAATCAATATTTCAGCCGCAGTAAAGAATCATCGTTGGCGGATTTTGGTTCTTGACATCCTTTACGATCGGTTACGATGCCTAGAGTACGGAGACCTGTACGATTTCGTCAATTTAGTGAGTTTGATAGTGGCCGTATAGTGGGACTTCGGGAAGCTGGACTTTCTTTTCGGGCAATTGCAGTTAGAGTGCAAAGAAGTGTAGACACTGTGGTTAGGTGTTGTCAGGCATGGCTTCGAGAAGGCCGTACGCAAAGAGCAAGGGGCACTGGACGCCGCCGTAGAACAACAGACCGTGAAGATCGCCGCCTAAGATTATTGGCCTTAAGGGACCGTTTCTCCACTACCAGGTCCATTGCAAATGAATGGTTTGCAGAACACGGAAGACCTATTGGCATGCGAAGTGTTTACCGACGAATGAGAAGTTTTGGCTTGTTTTCATACCGGCTACACTGGGTCCTCCCTTTAACTCGAGAACACCGACGTAATCGCCTTGAGTGGTGCAGACAACGGTCACTCTGGGATCAGGAATGGAACAGTATTGTCTTTAGTGACGAGTCTCGATTTTGTTTAGGCATGCACGATGGCCGTGTCAGGGTTAGAAGGCGACGTGGTGAAAGGAGGAATCCACAGTTTTTTGTTGAAAGACATGTTCATCACACTGTTGGAGTTATGGTTTGGGGTGCTATAGCTTATGGTTCCAGGTCACCTTTAATCTTCATCAGAGGTAACATGAACGCGCAGCGTTATATCCACGAAGTTCTAGAACCCCATCTTTTACCCTATCTTGACACCCTGGCAGATCCAACTTTCCAACAAGATAATGCCCGACCACATGTTGCAAGAGTCACAATAGACTTCTTTCAACATAATGATGTCACATTGTTACCATGGCCACCAAGATCTCCCGACTTATCCCCAATTGAGCACGTGTGGGATATGATGGGTAGGAGATTGCTCAATTTGCAACGTCCTCCTCAGACTCTAGAAGCACTTCGAGAGGAGTTGGTGGTTGCCTGGAATGAGATACCACAGGAGGACATTGACCATCTGATCAGAAGCATGCCTAGGCGCGTTGGAGAATGCGTAGCACATCAGGGTGCATCCACACATTATTAAAGGTCAAAGGGCTTTAAAGCAGTGCAATCATTTTGAAATTTTTATCATTTACTTATTATGCTTCATTAAGTACTTATACAAAATTTTAATAAAATAAAACCATTTAAACTGGGTGTTCGGATTTATATGTCACTTAGTATATTTATACAGAGTTTCAATTTAACGTTTTAATTCAACCGATCGTTGTTAGTATGTCGATTCCGTAATGCCCCAAAAGGGGACTCTACACTCTGAAAAAGATCGGTTGAAAATGATGATGGTGACGATGTTTACGTTAGTATTTGGATGGAGTTTAAAGATGATAAAAAATAGCAACTTCTTCTTCGATGACAGAAGATGAGAAACAGCTAGCCATTGAACATAGACTAGAATGTTCATAGCAAACACTGGATTGAGGAGGGGATAGTGTGCAAAGATAGAATCCTACAAAGATGTGGTAGATGGGCCCAGTCAACAGCTACATGGTAAAACGTTCTCTGGTGACAATTGTACATATACATATTGAGATTCTACGAATAGTGAGACAGACGATAGTGAGTAAGGTCCTTGAATATATTGTCAGAAGGTCTCAAGAAAATCTTGGGAAATCATAAAATGCGCGACCACAGAATTATGGGAGGTTGAAAATAATCTTCAAATGAGAAAGAAGAATTTTGAATGTGCGAATGGAAGAAAATGGAAGCGTCTGTACCTCTGGAATAAATTTTAGCGAAAGAGCCATACTAAGTGAGTATCAGATCTGAGAAGTATTTGAATACTTGGTACTTTTAATTGGATTCAGAATACATTAGTCAAATACCATATTTGAATACTATCCGAATACATTTGTGTTTGCTATTCGACTAAATGCTTTTTTGGTCAATACTCGATATTCCGAATTCATACTATATACTATAGTATATTTCTAGTTTTTGTTAATCGATAGAGCAATCGTCAGAAAAAACCTAATAATCATTAGTTTTTCTATAACTTGATTTTCAAGAAATTTTGAAAGGCCTGTCTAATGGTACCAATGTTATGACCAAAAAATCTATAACATGTTATATGCACACGTGTTCCCTCGCCAGAGTCCGTGTGACCCTATAGCCCCACGGTACCGCATGGGTGAAAAGGTCTTAGGCCTTCGTGGTGGTTGGAGTATGAAAAAAATTATTTACATATTGATTGTTTTATTATCATTGCAGAAATGAGACTTGTCCTTAGATAAATTCGGTAAATAATGGCGATTCCTCAGGTTAGTAGTGAAAAAAGTGCTATTCTATTACCTGTCCATCCATTCAAGACAAATGCTTCCATCATTCCTCTGGTCTGCAGGAAGGCAAGGCAGAACTTTATCATAGTTTATTGTTGTACCTAACAGCGCATTAACAATAGGAATTCCTTCATTGTTATAAATCTTCATAACTCGCTTCACCTTGTTTAGTTTTATTTTCTCGAAATACGCTTTGGCTAAAATTTTCTGCTGATACAGGAAGTAAGCAGAAACTATCAAAATTACTATTGCTATGAATAAAAGCGCTACGAATATTTTTGTTTTGTACTCTGGGGTTTTCTTCCTCCGTAACGTTTGAGGCAGGCCCTGAAAAATAAAAACATTAATTTATTCATGAGTGCTTGCAGAAATGGATACATAAGAAGAAAGTCGGCATCATTAGAAAATATCTATAAGGAACGAATGCAAACTCTTATTTTTTTACGTGTATTTTGATACACTGGAGTGACCTTGAAAGAAAGTCTATTTGTCCAAGAAACCGAAACAATAATCAGCGCGTGCCTAGTGCGTTGATCAGCACATCGGTATACACATATTCCAAGAAATGGGATGATAAATAACTGTTATTGGGCAGAATGGGTTGACCCCATAAACAGGACCAATGCCAAACCAGGAAGCTGGAGTCCGATCACGTGAAGAATGCGTGAATATCTGTGGGCTTAGCTTCTTCGATAAATGGACTATAGTAGCATTTGGCTTCTGCCTTCAAAACAAGCTCGTTACTGCAGCTTGATTGTTAAGGTAGTCCAGCCAGTGAGGTTATTACGTAAAAAACCTATATGATGTCAAGTTGACGTCTTCACTCTTCAAGTGACGTAGTAGCCCTGCTGGTCTTCATGAATTTAACCACATCATGACAACTCATTGTTAGCCGAGCTGTCCCTAGACACTCATGTCATCACGGGTGATGTGACGCTCCTAGATCACACTTCGATCATCTTGCCATGTCATCCCCTCCTAGGAGGTACTACATAATGTTCCAGGCGACTTATGTTGTTCTGCCGTGTGTACCCTCAGAATGATGAAAACACTCAGTACCTGCACTTCAGGCTTCGATGATATTGCAGCAAATCTCTCTTATTTGTGCATCGGACTTTGAGCACTATTCTGGGACCAAGGTTTTCTGTGTGTCTTTGTTAAGACGATAGTTTTCAAAGTCGTACTTTGTTAGACACGCATACCACAAATACAGATGCTAAAGGGTCTATGGACGCCTCATTCTTGGTAGCACAAACTCTGTGAAAATTTAGATATTTGGACATACATCAAAATATAAGCGCAATTGAAGAAATATACTAAGTGACATATAAATCCGAACACCCAGTTTAAATGGTGTTATTTTAATAAATTTTGTATAAGTACTTAATGAAGCATGATAAAAATGATAAAAATTTCAAAATGATTGCACTGCTTTAAAGCCCTTTGACCTTTAATAATGTGTGGATGCACCCTGATGTGCTATGCATTCTCCAACGCGCCTAGGCATGCTTCTGATCAGGTGGTCAATGTCCTCCTGTGATATCTCATTCCAGGCAACCACCAACTCCTCTCGAAGTGCTTCTAGAGTCTGAGGAGGACGTTGCAAATTGAGCGATCTCCTACCCATCATATCCCACACGTGCTCAATTGGGGATAAGTCGGGAGATCTTGGTGGCCATGGTAACAAGGTGACATCATTATGTTGAAAGAAGTCTATTGTGACTCTTGCAACATGTGGTCGGGCATTAGCTTGTTGGAAAGTTGGATCTGCCAGGGTGTCAAAATAGGGTAAAAGATGGGGCTCTATAACTTCGTGGATATAACGCTGCGCGTCCATGTTACCTCTGATGAAGATTAAAGGTGACCTGGAATCATAAGCTAAAGCACCCCAAACCATAACTCCAACAGTGTGATGAACATGTCTTTCAACAAAAAACTGTGGATTCCTCCTTTCACCACGTCGCCTTCTAACCCTAGCACGGCCATCGTGCATGCCTAAACAAAATCGAGACTCGTCACTAAAGACAATACTGTTCCATTCCTGATCCCAGAGTGACCGTTGTCTGCACCACTCAAGGCGATTACGTCGGTGTTCTCGAGTTAAAGGGAGGACCCAGTGTGGCCGGTATGAAAACAAGCCAAAACTTCTCATTCGTCGGTAAACACTTCGCATGCCAATAGGTCTTCCGTGTTCTGCAAACCATTCATTTGCAATGGACCTGGTAGTGGAGAAACGGTCCCTTAAGGCCAATAATCTTAGGCGGCGATCTTCACGGTCTGTTGTTCTACGGCGGCGTCCAGTGCCCCTTGCTCTTTGCGTACGGCCTTCTCGAAGCCATGCCTGACAACACCTAACCACAGTGTCTACACTTCTTTGCACTCTAACTGTAATTGCCCGAAAAGAAAGTCCAGCTTCCCGAAGTCCCACTATACGGCCCCTATCAAACTCACTAAGTTGACGGAATCGTACAGGTCTCCGTACTCTAGGCATCGTAACCGATCGTAAAGGATCTCAAGAACCAAAATCCGCCAACGTTGATTCTTTACTGCGGCTGAAATATTCATTTTTAGAGCGTTAGTGAATTAAAAAAAAAGCAGTATAAAAACCGGAATGTCCAACTGATAAGGCTGACAATTTTTTCACTTGTTATTTACAGTAAGATAAATACATTCACCAACTTTTATTAAAATAAAACCATTTGAACTGGGCGTCGGATTAATATGTCACTTAGTGTAGATTAAATATTATAACCATGAATGATTCACGTAAATTACAAGGGAGTATCAAAAAGTTCCCGGACTAGCTCTGTAACTTATTAAAAACAGGCAGCTCGATGCTATGTTTTCTATAAGAATCAGCTGATAACCTCGCAGAGTACGAGGTTTTTTAATCGATTTTGCTTTTCAAGAATTTTTTTAGTGTTTTTGTGCCCGCTTGTTTTCCTCTGTCAGCAATTTCATCATGCACGAAAAGCGCTTTTCATTTTTTATCTCGCAAGTGAAACGAGATATGAAAGAAGAAAGAGAAGAAAGAAGGAGGCAGGTATTTTTAGCTCCTTAATTCGAGAAAAATTGAAAAAAGTCGGTGAAGCACTAATTTTTTGCTAAAGATATTGGTTAGGGTGTTCTCCGGGACGCCACCGGACTTAATCATTTCAATATAATTGGAGCTAAGGTAGTAAGGGTACTGCGCTTAATACCACTGCTAAATTTAAACAAAATCGACTAAAAAAAAGTTCGACATCCTGTATTTTGAAAATGAAGCATTTATGGAACTATGTTTATATAATCAGCTTTTTATCTCAAAATGACTGAAAGAATCACCTGCAGTTTGGCCACGTACTTAAACATCACCCTGTATAACTTCATCATATTAAACATATTATATTGTTATTATTGAAAATTATACTTAAATATTGACAATATTTGTTGTTTCACTGGTACTGCTTTTGAAATGACCCATTCAAATAGCCGTCGTCGAGTAGTGCGTGCAGAAACCACGAAAGTCCCGGACTTATGTTTTCGTACTGAACGTAGTCGTATATTACTTGGTGTTATTTGAATGAGAAGGAATGTAGTGTTCAATCAGAATACGCATCCACATTTAATGAACCGTTTGCAGAAAAGAAACATGTTGGTGAAAGAATGGACTAAATATGTTTTTGCAATGACCTTATTCGACATAATAACCTTACAGTTAATTTGTCCATGTTGATTATTGATGAATTCGGATTATATGCCAACTCGATTGTATGTGGACTTGTATAGTCTGCGAAAACCAAAAGTTCGCCAATTTTGGTCTCAAAAATAAGGTTAAAATCGCTTTAAAATAGACTAATCTAAATTCTCGTTTGAAATTTGTAGACAAAGTAGATGTTTCAAAGGTTTTATTTCGGACTTCCATCCCAGGTAGCACAAGTACGTGGACATGACGTTACTAATTGGTGAAAACCAAAAGTTCGCAAATTTTGGTCTCAAAAATATGGTTAAAACCGCTTTAAAATAGACTAATCTCAATTCTCGTTTGAAATTTGTAGATAAAGTAGACCTTTCAAAGGTTTTATTTCGGACTTCCATTCCCAGGTAGCACAAGTACGTGGACATGACATTACTAATTGGTGAAAACCAAAAGTTCGCCAATTTTGGTCTCAAAAATAAGGTTAAAATCGCTTTAAAATAGACTAATCTCAATTCTCGTTTGAAATTTGTAGACAAAGTAGATGTTTCAAAGGTTTTCTTTCGGACTTCCATTCCCAGGTAGCACAAGTACGTGGACATGACGTTACTAATTGGTGAAAACCAAAAGTTCGCCAATTTTGGTCTCAAAAATAAGGTTAAAATCGCTTTAAAATAGACTAATCTTAATTCTCGTTTGAAATTTGTAGACAAAGTAGATGTTTCAAAGGTTTTATTTTGGACTTCCGTTCCCAGGTAGCACAAGAACGTGGACATGACGTTACTAATTGGTAAATACCAAAAGTTCGCCAATTTTGGTCTCAAAAATGTGGTTAAAGTCGTTTTAAAATAGACTAATCTCAAGTCTTGTTTGAAATTTGTAGACAAACTAGATGTTTCAAAGGTTTTATTTCGGACTTCCGTTCCCAGGTAGCACAAGCACGTGGACATGACGTTACTAGTTGGTGAAAACCAAAAGGTCGCCAATTTTGGTCTCAAAAATATGGTTAAAATCGCTTTAAAATAGACTAATCTCAATTTTCGTTTGAAATTTGTAGACAAAGTAGATGTTTCAAAGATTTTATTTCGGACTTCCATTCCCAGGTAGCACAAGTACGTGGACATGACGTTACTAATTGGTGAAAACCAAAAGTTTGCCAATTTTGATCTCAAAAATAAGGTTAAAATCGCTTTAAAATAGACTAATCTCAATTCTCGTTTGAAATTTGTAGACAAAGTAGATGTTTCAAAGGTTTTATTTCGGACTTCCGTTCCCAGGTAGCACAAGCACGTGGACATGACGTTACTAATTGGTGAAAACCAAAAGTTCGCCAATTTTGGTCTAAAAAATAAGGTTAAAATCGCTTTAAAATAGACTAATCTCAATTTTCGTTTGAAATTTGAAGACAAAGTAGATGTTTCAAAGGTTTTATTTCTGACTTCCGTTCCCAGGTAGCACAAGCACGTGGACATGATGTTACTAATTGGTGAAAACCAAAAGTTCGCCAATTTTGGTCTCAAAAATAAGGTTAAAATCGCTTTAAAATAGACTAATCTCAATTTTCGTTTGAAATTTGTAGACAAAGTAGATGTTTCAAAGGTTTTATTTCGGACTTCCGTTCCCAGGTAGCACAAGCACGTGGATATGACGT